CAACAACCATCCATTTTGTACAAGTGCAATAACTTGTTTTCTTTGTCTAAAATATCTACAAAAATTTTTTTGTAAGCTATTCCATTTGTCCTCACCTGCCCTCAGACTGAGACTGAGAATTATTTAGTATTTTGGGCTACTTAAGGTCACCGAATAAAAATTTAAATAATATAAAATATAGTCAATGATAAATTGAGACACCAGAAAGGGTTTGATTCTTATGAAACGGGTAAAAAAAAAAATTGAGTGGGATTGCTATATTGTGACATCATGAGAAGGGGCTGGGCACAGAGCACATCTGCTACCTACAGTATATCGGTCTGGCTGCTGGGCTAGCCAAGCTGAAAGGGCAGAAGAACTTGGAATCCCTAGTCATAGCTGTTTTGAACCTGTCCAAGCACTACGGGATTTCCCACTGCAATTTGCTGCAGCTGAAAGTGGATAAACAGCTCGGCAGGAGGAGAGACCACCACTTGATTGTATTGACTGTTTCCAAGCTGTTTCCCAGATTAGCTTCTCTGATTGCACCATGTCAAGCTGCAAAAGTTTAGATTTCCCTAACTCTAGCATTTACCACTTTGCATGCATTTCAGACACTTTGCATGAAAGTCAGATTCCCCTGATGCTCAAATTGCATTCCCCATCAGACCACGGGTGCAGATGGTGTCCGACACAGAGTCCTTAAGTTTCATGAGGAGCAACTCTGAGGGATTTTGAAGTACCTCTTCAACCACAGTTTGACCCAGGTTGAAGGGGTACAGTTGCAGGGTTATGAAAGACCTCTTGCCTTTTTACAGTTCCTAAAAAAACTCTACAATCAATCCTTAATGACTGTACAATCTTCATAAATGGGATTTTGCCCTGATGGTCCACCGGATCAGTACAACTGACTAGCAAAAAAGTAGTGGTTGGCTGTTATCAGCGCTAACTTGCTGCGTTAACGACAAACTCTTACTGGGCTTAAAAATGTATTATTCTATTCTCACAGTTGGGCTGTGAGCTGGGTCTATACTAATGATGACTTTCACCTTGATATTCTGGCGCAAATGTATATCTGGGGTGGATGTATATCTGAGTAGCAAGAACTAATCAGTCTTCCAGCTTTTGTAGGAATAATGGGAAATTGCCACATTGAACATGACATGCTGACATGAATGCAGCCACTGTATAAGCACAGTTCTATCAGCCAAGCTAACCAATCTCCTCGCTCAGTGGATAGCCACAAGCTGCCAGCCCATCAGCGTGACTGATGGGTTTGAGCTTGTTTTCCAGGTGGCCACAGGTGACCCATTTACAAACTACCTGTGAGGGGAACTATCATGAGGAGAATACATGATGAGCTCGCCGTGGAGAAAGCCGCGAAAGATGAGGAATTGATCGAGGCAAAGTGTGTGTCAGATATATTGTGTCAGATATATTGTTAAAGTGGGACATCTATAATTGGAAGTGCGACACGCTATTTTTGCAGCAAAAACATGGTAATAATGAGCAAAAAAAGTATTTTTAACCTTGTCAAAATCTTAAGTAAGAAGACTAAGTTACCTGTTATTTTTTTGCAAACATAAAAAGTAAATCTTTTCTTTAAAATTCTGGAGGTAGCACACACATATCCCGAATGCTTTTGGCAGAAATGAGCGATTTTTATCTTCATTCATTTAGATTAATTCCAATATTACAGTGAGATTGATCTAGATTAAAATAATGAATCTATGCTCACCACTACAAAAAAAGCAAATGTTAGGAAACTTTGCAGTTTGCTAACTGTAACAGCTGCTTCTACAAACGTTATTTGGATGGAACTGAAAACACTATAAGGCCTATGTTCTATGATTTCTCCAGTGCATTTAACATGATAAAACCAGAGTTGCTTTGTCAGAAATTCCTAGAAGACTAGGAACGTTGGCCTAAACAACTACCTGGATCAAAGACTACCTATAAAACAGATTGTGAGGGTGAATGATTGTGTCTTAATAGGTACTTAGGAGCACAAGTGCACCTCTGCAGCACCTTCACAATGAGGAAAGTACAAGGGACTGTACTCAACATTCCTTTTTGCTCTATACACTTTTTATTACATGACAGAATCCTGTTAATGGCAAAAACTCTCAGAAGACTGAGTATATCATAGATGGACAAGAAGTTGAGTTAAGAGGTCTGACGGACCACTTTGTGGCTCTGTTAGAGTAGCAGCAATAGAGCAACTAAGTTGTGCACAATAAGCTAAAAAAAAACGGGATGGGGGCAGGCTCTGTTTTGTGAACTTCTCCAGAACATTTTGAGAGGATTTAACAAATATTAACAAGCCAAGATTATTGACAATAATATACTAACATACTAAATATCCTTTTTATCAGATTGTTGTACAAAAACACAGTCACAATCTTAAGTCAGAGACTTTTCCAGATCATATAGATCACAATATAGGAGATTCTTCATGCATACAATCTCCAACATCTACACCAACTTGCTCAAGTAATCCCTGTGAGTTACAACAAATTTAAACTTCTGCTTTGAATTATTAAGATTTTTTATCTTTTATTTTATCAAACCCAGTGGTACACCAGATTCACTGTAGACAAAAAATGAGAAGTTTAGCCACTATGATAGGGATAGTTTTTTTGGAGAAATCAATGGGTCTTTCGAACCTGAGATTATAGTACCAACTGGGACAAGTTGTGGTGGCAACATCATGCTATGGGTCAGGCTTGGTTTGGAGTGGACAACAGATTTCAAATTTGCTAAGAACTTCAAACAAACATCAGTCTATATGGTTTCAACATTGGATAAAATGTCTTTTTAAATTATTATTCCAAATACAGAAAAAAAAACTTGCTGTTAAATGGATAGAAAAGTTAAAAATTCCTAGAATAGCTCTGATTCCAATTTTATGTAATGTATTGATCATCTTTAAAAGCAAATAATTTGCCAGAGTACCTATAATTCGATTGAACTCTAGCAATTCTGGCTAGGAGAGCTGTTATATGTATTGCTGGAAATAAACCAGGGACTTATTAACAGAACAAAAAGCATTTGCCTGAAGTGCAACTAAAAATGTGTATATTTGAAAGTTGATTTTCTAAACGAATTGTAAAATGTTGAATTTTTATCTTGTATGATTATGCAATCCTGAAAGAGACTAATTAACACAACGATAAAGGCTGTTTTTTCTCAATGGAGCCTTATTTTCATTTCTACTCCACTGAGAAACTAACACATTTGAACTTTTCTGTAAACCTAGCTTAAGTAAATGTTTTAGCAATAAAAAGGGCCAGTTTTGGCCTTTGAACCTCTGTTTATACCTGATAAGACAGCAGTCCTTGAATTTGTTTGATCCTTTTGAAATTTCTGCTGTGAAGGTTTAGGTGTGTTCAGACTTAACAGTGATACAGGATCCAGTTGAAATATATATTAATTATTATTATGTTTGCATTGTTACAGATGTAGTTATAAAACAAGAAGTATTAAATGCATACAGTAGATACAATTTTGTTTTGCTTGCTTTAGAGAAGTAGGTCTGATGAAGTAGGACATTTACCAGCTTATATCTGATGAGTAGTGAATGCTTAACCTACTTCTTTAGTCTGTTTGGTCTCTTGTATCCAAAATATGATTGACAGGCATGTAACCCCAATCCACTCCAGCAGGTTAACACTGAAGACATGATGGAGTTTTTTTTAGCTGTAAGTGTGTAAAGTCCCCAAACTATGCAGCAAAATTAACTTTTACAGACAGAAGCTTAATATTCCATGTTCATTGGAGCTGGCGTTTAAATAGAAATGGTTTTGTTTACAGGGAAAATCAGATTTGTTTTACCTTGAAGGGAAAAAGTTTCCCTAAGAATGTTTTCACCTTTACAAATTTTTTACACTGTAGTTTTTCTTGCTTAAATGCTGAGGATCATTTTTTTAAAGATTTTCAAATAATAGTGAGTAAAAAAGAATTTAAACTAACCTCTCCTCATAAACGTTGCTATTGTAGCATGTTTTCTCTATCTATAGGCAATGACTGTTACTGAGGTTTGCTGCCTGAGATAAGACCCTTCAACCCAGATGTCAAGGACTTTTTTGTTTGTCTATTTTTCAGTTTCTTCAGATCTGGGCATTATGTGTAACTTTAAGATCTCATGCCTAATTCATGTTTTAAGATGTTTCCTGCTTAAGAGGTTGAAAACCATAGTAAATACAGCTACTTTTTCAGCTTTTATCCCTAAAGCAACAATTTGTCCTTATAAAACTGCATTTTTCTTTATATTTAGGTAATGTCTCTTGTATTAATTTCTCGTGGATGATCAGAAGTATTACATTTGGATTAAGATGGTAAACACTGTTTCACAGCACAATTTCATTACAGCAAAACATCAGATCCTATAAGAGTGTCTTGTTTTCGATACTTTTGAGCTTTAGTTTCCGCTGTTTTTTTATGCTTCCTGTTTAACCTTGCCAGTCCTGCAGAGGAATCTCCCAGCTGTTAACTGACTGCCGCATGCCAACAGCCTTTACACAGCAATTGTAAGTTGAACATGCAGAGAGGACACATGACCTTATTAGGCTTTGTTATAAGCTGTTAGAGTTCTTGTTTATACAGTATTTCCTAGATAACACATGGCGTAAGAGCAAGGATAGGGTAGAACAAATCGGCATTTAAATAGATTTTCCCAGAGAAAGAAAGGCCCTAGCAGATGTAATAGTTTTGTATTTCTATTTCTGTTTGTTAAGAAATGTATAGAAGATATAAAAATGTATATGACATCTCTTCTTTTTAACAGTGGATAACAGATGAAAGCCCACCCACAGTAAAAGGGCTGAACAGTCCTTCTTCTCTTAAATGTCATCTGTGTCTTCAACATGAATACGAAGTGTGTGTGTGTTGGTGTGTGTGTGTGTGTGTGAGAGACATTCACTCATTCTGACTCCACAACACAACCCTGGTCTGTGTGTGTGTTAGTGGGCAGGGAGTAGTGGAAATTTACAGTCTCCTACGTTGGTACCTGGTTTGACTGTCACAGTGAGGCTGCGTCCAATCTCTACTTTGGATTTAATTGTCTTTAGCCAAGGGGCGGGCCATGCTGTCAGCTCTGCTTCTTGTGACCCGTGTGTGCATAAAGGCATTCAGTACAGAGGAATGGTGACAGCTGAGAGGATCACTATACATAGTCTCAGCCATGAAGGAAATGTAAGTTTTCACATTGTTTGACTTTGCATGTTTTCAGTGAGAAATGTTCATGTTTGCATAGATTATAAGTGGTGAAATTAAAAGCAGTTTGATTATATTTATGGTACTATTTGTGAGCACATTCCATTGTTTGTTTTCCTTTGGTTGAAAAAACGTGATTGAAAGAGAGACTTTACATTTATTACATCTTTTGTTCTTTCTACATTAAAAACCCTAAATATCTTTTAAATAAATATGGGTTGAGTCACTATGTCCCCAATGACAGTTTCCAAATGGCAGGCAGGCAGGTGGAGGCGAATACACTGAGCAAGTTAGAGGAAAAGGAGAAGAAAGGATAAAAAGGAAGGCAAACAGGATGAGAAACAGAGTGTGCGAGATCTGATCCAGTTACATAAGCAGGTTTGAGAATGCAAAGCAGTTCGAGTTGACTTGTCATGCACAACAGAAGGGGAGAAATCCCTGAAATGATAGGACACAGTGAGCAACACAGTGCCAATTAACCAAGGAGGTTCATGGTTCTCAGTGGGAATGTGAGAGTTGGTTTCTGGTCAAAGTATCCATTCATTGGAGGGGGGATACTTTTCTTTTGAAGCCGATGATGAATCTGTTTGTAATACTCACATCCAACTTCAGTTTGTCCTTAGTACATTGTTAGGTCCTCACTCTGTTTGCTTTTTTGCTGCATATTTTCTTTTGTCTAAGCCTCCTGTTTTGACATTCATTTGGTGGCAAACATGGAGTTAAGAGGAAGCACTTACTTCTCCATTTGTGAAAAAAGAGAAGGAAGTTGCTCTTACAACAGGGTTTTTTTTTTTATAAGAAACCTCAGCTCTTAACATTCTTATTATTGTTCAATTATGTTGAAACTTAACTTTATTTTGTATTTTGGCTCACTTTTAATGGTTTCTTTTCTGTGATCAGGTTCATGTGCGAAAATCAAACACCATGGTCAGAAATAGCGAAGCTTGTCTTTCTTGGAAAGGCGTTTTACAGTGTAAACACCAAAGTAAACTTAAGCTGTAGTGGCTTCCTGAAACCCACTGATTTGCTAATGTGGGAGGATTATTTGACACCTTAAATTTGACCTACATACATCTAAGACATAGCGGGCAGAGGACATTTTTCCTTTAGGTTCTGCTTAGATCTGAAAGGCCTGCCCTTCCTTTTCCTTTAGTCACAATAACCCCTCCTCCTCAGAAGCATATTCTTTGGAAAACTCCGACCACGATGTGTACCAACATGAATATCTTGGCTATTGTTCTAGGAAAAAATGTTATGCTGCTGTTTGGTATTTGTTATGGTGTCATTTGTGGTACATAACTGAACATATTTTCCTTATTTCTCTTATGTTTCTCCTCAAACTCCTTAATGTCCAGTCTGAATGACCTCCATACAGTTTCCCAGATTAGAGAGATTACCGGCATTTCTCTGTATCCCATGTGCTCACACAGCACGCTGTAGGGCAGTCAGCAAACAGTATTATCTGCCTTAATGCTGCTCCCTGTCCGATGTTATCCTTCTCACCTCTGTGTCTCCGTTCGTTGCCTCGCTGCCTCATATGTTTTTCTTTTATTTTCCATCAGCATGGCATCAAAAGAAAAAATCAAATGTCTAAAAGACTTCCATAAGGACACCTTCAAACCTTCACCTGGGAAGAGCCCTGGCACCCGACCTGAGGATGAGGCTGAAGGAAAGGTTCCTCAGAGGGAGAAGTGGGCCAGTAAGCTCGATTTTGTCTTGTCCGTGGCCGGAGGCTTTGTTGGATTAGGAAACGTGTGGCGCTTTCCTTATCTTTGTTATAAAAACGGTGGAGGTAGGTAAAAAAAATCAAAAAGTAATATAAAAAATTGTAACTAGGCAATAAAATGCTGATGTAGACATTACTCCCCGGCCATTTTTTTCTAGGTGCATTCCTCATCCCCTACTTCATCTTCCTTATCGGAGGTGGCCTGCCTGTTTTTTTCCTAGAGGTGGCACTCGGTCAGTACACCTCTGAAGGAGGGATCACATGCTGGGCCAAGCTCTGTCCTATCTTCACTGGTTAGTTATGAACAAACACATCTTTACCTAAAGAAGAGACAATATTTGTCCATATTAGAATTGTGTTTTGATTTCCATCCTGTCTCTAAACACTCATCATGTGAACAATGTGTGATTTCCTTCATTGCAAAGCAAAGTTCGACTGCTCTAGTCACCATATTTTGGTGAATGGTTAAGAAACATTGTTTACCAGCAATTCCTTAAACAACATGATTTTGTGGACCCTATATGGGTTTAGCTTAGACTGTACATGTTTTAACTGGGTAGGAGCATGTAGAAATCTGTCTAAATGCAATATGCTTGAGCTGAATGAATATAAACTATTATGGTTAATTTTTGTTCATTCAACTCAATATTCATGCATGTTAAGGGAGCAGTGAGTCCTAAAACACCTTTTTGACCCACGTTTAAATGAGATGTCTTTGCAGACTTTAGCAATATTTTTATTTGAACAGACAGTAAAAATAAGGTATTTTGTCTCATGTCTGTGAAATTAAGGGTGAGAGATGAACTTTTAAATGATGTCTACCTGGGTATCAACATGTTTAAAAGATGTTCTGAAAAAGATCAGTCAAGCAAATCATGACTTTCATTTCCTTTCCGGGGAGATGTTTTAAAAGGATTTTTGTATAAAAATAATTTTAGTATATTACTTATTCCTAAACAAGGAGACCAACCACGGAACCTTTAATAGCCAAAAGACAGAAGTTCATCCTTCAATTTTTGGACAGTAAATTAAATTGTTTTGATCTTGTGGGAGATCGTAGATTCTGAAAATCCTGAAGTTGTTTGTGCTGGTATTGAGATAAATCAAAGAAGTTACGGGTTTGAAAACAACGATAAGAAATAAAAAAATCTTCACGTTCCTTTAAAAGTACAAAGTCCTTTTAAAAATTCTATAACATGTTTTTTTAAGCCTTCCAAAGTCTATTAGTCATATGATGAAATAATGCCTTCGGCAGTAAAAAACAACAGCTTGTTCTTAAATATTAGGTGTTTTTTCTAACCCACAAGAATGAGACCTGCCTTCCTATATGGCTGCCACCCTTTTCATGACACTGCCTTATTACACCCCTTTAGGCTCCTCTTTAGGAAAGATAAACAGAGTTCAAAACCTCTTGCAGCTGAAAAAATAAATTTTAATGACTAGCTTAAAAAAGAACAGTAGCCTTTATTGTGCAGCTTGGATGCCACTTTATCTAAACTTAGACTAGAAATGAACATGGTCTTCTACATATCACCGCTTGCCAATGGGAGGTTTTTATCAGGCAGGCAGTAGATGCTTCCTGGGGAGGGTGGGTAACGACAGCTCTATGTACACCGGTCATGGCCGCTTGTTTTCCAGGACAGGGAAGGCAGAATTAATGAGGATTGCTCAGGCATGCGTGAATTAAGCAAAATCCCACTTTGCACATCATTTTGATGATGTAATACAGTAGCATTGTAACATAGTTGAGAGCTATGAATTTTGCATGATATGGGCCCTTTAATGTCATCAAAGGATAATTTCCTTCAGTTATTTTAAACAGAAACCATTTCATTTAATTTCTCTTGTGAATTTTAAGCAACATTTTGAAGCGGTAGCAAACTAGAATGGACTGCAGATCAGGAATCCAGAGGTATGCTGCAATTGGGCAAGTTGTACATGCTTTGTCATATCATCTCTGTATGGGAGGTAACAGTGCCAATTCCAGCTTTCTAATGCATGTGTTCGGGTCTGTTATGTCAGAACTTTTGCAACAAATATGTTTCCATCTCCAGTTTAGGGCATATAATTTTCGAAAAAGTCACAAAAACCCTCAAGTGATATTTAGTCGGTTGATTCTAATTTAGCCTTTTCCATCAAGCTCTTCTAATGAGAGTCTTTAAATTAGTCTACAGAAACATTGATGGAAACACATCTAGAGAAGAATGTAGAGTTGCCCCTCACCATGCTAACCAGTTGGCTGAAAGAAGGATTTGCCTGGAAAATAAAGGAGCTCAAGCATCAAAAGAAGCCTGCTCTTAATCTCTGTGAGCAACTTAGCAGATAGCCTGACTATTTCACCAGTTCCTATTAGATAGTGTGTTTGTTACTCTACAGCAGGGGTCTGCAACCTTTCATATCCAAAGAGCCGTTTTGCCCAGAGTCTGACCAAGTAAAAGTTTTTTAGAGCCGCAAAATATAACATGACTTTTTCTTGAAAACCTTTTTTTTTTAATCTTGTATAGGAAATCTCAAACAATCAACAATTCATGTATTTTTAATGTTAAAACATATAATTTTCAAGCTAATTCATAGAAAAATGTCTCTTAAAACATATTTCTCGTTCTTTTAATCTCATTCTTTTCCATCTTATAAAAAACGCTAAAGCTATTGATACCGGTATATATTATAGTAAATTATTTGGCTCTTTATATACATTTTAACTACTATTAAGAGCCGCTGGAGAGGGTCCAAAGAGCCATATGTGGCAAAAAGGGATTTGGCTGTATTTTTCTCAGGGGTTTACTGGGGGAATCCCATGCTAGTTGATAAACAATAACACGTCACATGAAAAGAAAAGTTCATTTACTGCACTTTGTCTTCCTGCGGGGGTGGTGGTGGTGGTGGGGAGTGCTTAAGTAAGCAATCATGTGTTTAAGGTGTTTACTGTACTAACCATTCATAGAATCCAGCAATTTTCCCACACGTCCTCTAGACAAAGTCAAGTGTAGGCACACCTGCACCAGCACTGACATGCTCTTCAGTTGGCAATCGGCATGTGGAAATGAGGAGGTGGGTGTGGGGCTGACGGAGATGATAAGTTTAAAAATACTCCGGAGTGGTGGAAGAGTACGGGGAGGTGGGGGTCTGGTGTTCAGGTTCGAAGCAAAGTCCTCTAAAAATAACAGAAATACACCAAGGGCTACAGTTGAAAGTCCATTCCAGCTTGGGACATTTCCCCCAGTTTTTTGTTAGCCATTAGAGCCAGCTGCTGGAGTTTAAATAAAGCTTAGCCCAGACCTTCTGGTTTCACTGATGCTTGTTTAGAGAGGTGTCATCTCTATTACTGCAATATCATTGAAAACTACTCCGATAACACTGCAGGAGGTGTGAAGTCCGCTTTAGTTCAAGAAAGATATTCAGGTAACTTCTTAGAAAAGACAGCTGCTTACGAAAATAAAACCACAGAAAATTATGCTTTTTAAATTTTAGCATTTTGATCAATGCCATCACTATCATTGTCCATGAGTGACTTACAGTTAAACATGCTGGATCACTGAAAACCGGAAGGCGTTTATCTAATTTCTCCCCAATATGACCTGGAGTGTATTTATATTAGTATTATGGAGCTTGAAAACTGCTTTAAAATGCAGATTTAAACTGTAGTTTTTTTAAGGTATTCAATTAAGAAATATTTTAAATATCTTGCAGGTATCGGCTACGCTTCCATCGTGATTGTGTCTCTTCTCAACGTCTACTACATCGTGATCTTGGCCTGGGGACTCTACTACCTCTTTCAGTGCTTTCAGCCCGAGCTTCCATGGGCGAAATGCAAGCAGCCGTGGAACACAGAATACTGTGTTGAGGACACAATCCGCAAGAACAAGACCCTCTGGCTGGCAGCTAATATTACTAACTTCACCTCCCCAGTCACAGAGTTCTGGGAGTGAGTATTTACCAACAGCATGGCCAGCTCACACAGACAAATACACACATGTATGAGAAAAAATTGACATAACACTACCTCTTTATCTTTGTTGCGTAAACCTGTTTGAATAGGCTCAATTCTTGCACAATACAGTTTTGTAATAATTTCAGTTTTCAGCCATTGAGTACATTGAGTTCCTTACACCTCTTAATCTGGTTCATTCTCCAACTTTAAAAACTTTTAAACTCTGTTTCCTGTGCCAGAGCTGCTGAGCAACACAAGAAGATCTGGGCATGTGTTTGTTTAATATGCTTCCCTGTACTTTTAATAAGCTTCTCGTGATATTGCTCCATAGTTAACCCACATACTTGAGTGTTTTTTAAAGATAACACCTGTTGTGTCAAATCTTCTGCATTGCTGTTAACGTGTCCTGCACTCATTTGCTCTGCAGACGCAACGTCCTCAGTCTCTCCACCGGCATTGAGGACATTGGGCCTCTCAAATGGGACTTAGCCCTGTGTCTCCTGGCAGTGTGGGTTATCTGCTTCTTCTGCATCTGGAAAGGGGTCAAGTCCACAGGGAAAGTGAGTGCTGATGCAAGTAGGCACACATCCTGTAGGTATTGTGTTGCCTGGATGCTATTTGGTCTTTTGTTTTGTTCCCTCGCCAGTGAAAAAAACATTGTTGCTTGGATAAAGGCAACTTGCAGGGACTTAGGATCAATGAGACATCAAGCCTTTGGTTTTCCTGAAAACAACTTCCTTATCATTCATGCTGTGGAGTGTAAACAAATGTGTGTTACTGCTTTGAAGCATCTTTGAATCCGTCAGGGAAAATGGGCCATTTAGGAGAGAAAGAAAATTATTAACTCTATTTAAAGCTGTTTGCACCTCTGATTTCCCTATTGCATTGTACAATATGTTGTTTGACTGTAAAGTTAAGGAAGGGTACATTTCAATTAAGCTTACAGTTGTTTCCTTCACTGTATATTAAATGTTTTTTTATTGTTTTTGAAATTTTTAAGCAACATTCTCCATCCTATCTAGGTGGTGTACGTCACAGCTACTTTCCCATTTGTGATGCTAATCATTCTGCTGGTACGTGGTGTGACCCTGCCTGGAGCAGCTGAGGGCATAAAGTTTTATCTTTACCCTGACTTGACCCGTCTCCAGGATCCAGAGGTAGGATCAAAAGAAATTCCTTTATAATTGGGAAAATGTATAAAGAAAGTATTCCAACTTTTCTACTGAAAAGGAAATTAGAAGATGAATTTGTACATAACGAAATATTTTCCACAAAGTCTCTGCTCTTCTCTTGGCACACAGAATAAAAAAATAAAAAAAAAGAAAAATACTGAAGAAAACAGCTATGAGAGATGCCCCAAACAGACATGTAGTGGCATATACAGGTTAAAAAATAAAACTGAAACAAAAATTTTTAAAATTCTTTAAAATTTAATTAGTAGTATGAAAGATAAAGAGCCTGGAAAATATTTTCTATATTTTTACAAAAATATTAATTTTTATCCAATTCTAAGTAAACTTAGTTCATCAAACAAAATATTGCTAATTGGTGTGTTCATAGACCCAAATGATTTGAGTTCTGATTGTTGAACTATTCAAAGAACTGAAATATCTAGTGCTTATTTATATAGCTTAATTCAACACAAAGACCATTCAATGTGCTTTGTATAAATTAAACGATAAAATAGAACTTAAGTAAAAGCAGAATAAAAGAAAGTAAAGAGTTTGGGTACATTTGGGGTATTTAGCTAAAAAAACGATCAGGTATGCAAGGAAAAAATCTAAACAACTCTAATATTTGGATAGTCAATTGCCAAATGTTTTGCAATTATGCTGTATTTGATTCTCTTGCAAGGTCTAATTTCAGATGTGAGAAGGAAAATCCCAAATGAGTAGAGTTAATGGAGGTTAGAGGAAAAGGGAAAAGTAGTTGTACTCTGTGACCAGAATATTTGTCATTAGCAACATCAGGCAAAAAGTTGTTTTCCCTTTTTTTATTCTGTCCATTCAAACTGTAAATATTCAAAGTGATTGTACAGTTCAGTCCTACATCAGAATATAGGAAGTATTTTTCCCAGTAACATTCAAAATGTTCTATGCACATCAGTTGTATTGAATCTGAATAAGGATTATGGTGATGAATTTGGAATTTCTAAGTAGAAGTCCAGACTTCCTTAATTTTTTTTTTAATTAGAGTTCTAAAATCATAATTGGAAATCTGATAAGACCACATTATAAATGTTCATTGCATCAGTGACATACCTTTCTCTTCCAACAGGTGTGGATCGATGCAGGAACCCAGATCTTTTTCTCCTATGCAATCTGCCTGGGTGCCATGACGTCACTGGGGAGCTACAATAAGTACAGATACAACTGCTATAGGTGAGCTGGGTTTTTGCAGGGAGGAGCGGAACTGTAATAGTGACAGCAACACTCTGTCAGAGACGCTTGCGTGAAAAGAAAATAGGAACTTCGGTTCCACCTGTGTTCATTAACAACCTCCATGACATATGTGTGACATAGGGACTGTTTGCTGCTGGGAGGCCTCAACAGCGGTACCAGTTTTGTGTCTGGCTTCGCAATATTTTCCGTCCTGGGCTTCATGGCACAAGAGCAAGGGGTGGACATTGCCGATGTGGCAGAGTCAGGTACGAGGGTCCAAGGTGATGGCAGCAGTGATGGTGGGCGCTGCTGCCTAAAGAACGACAAAAGACAATTGGAAATGTTAAATTCTTTGGCAAATTTATAGGAGAAAAAAAAAACAGTAGTCCATAGTGTTTTGCCAAAGTTTCGGATACAATAGCGCTCGAAAGTACAGGTATCGGCAATTGCACACTCCTTGAATAAAGCCCTCAAAGTTGAAAAAAAAAAAGGCTTGTCCCCCATTTACTGAGAACAAACTACTTCGCATTGATCAACCGCTGTGTGTTAAAGCTACACAATGAACTGCTGCAATAAGGAGCTCCATCTACAGTTTGTCTCACAATAATCCTGCACGTGCAGTTTAGTAGCTCCATGTTCTTCTGACCAGTGGACACTGCTAAGAAGATTGGCTGTGTACTGAATGAATCTGACTGTACATGGGAACTTGCACTCTGAGGTTGATCATTTTGGACCAGCAGCACTGCCATGTAAACCTATTTCTTCTAACATGCTTTGGATCTAATGAGGTGGATGCCACTGGATCTTTTGCTGTTGTCCTGTATTTACTACATTGCCTTGCAAAACTATTAATACTCCAAATAGCCTTTCACAATTTGTGACATTACACCTTTAAATTTTAATGCATTTCATTGGTATTTTATTTGACAGACCAAGATAAAATGGGAGTGTATGGAAATGGATGCACGGTTTTCAACAACTTTTACCTACAAAAGCCAGAAGAATGACCTGCATCTGTTGTTCATCACGTCTCAGACTCTAGATGATGGATTTCTATTCTACACATAATGTAGACCTTTGATTACATAAATTGAGGCTATAATGAAGCTATAAATAGTACAATTCTGGAGGGTAAGATTTTAAAAGCTGCTTTGGACTTGGGTGGATGTTCACCTGGAAGGGGGTAGGAGTTAGAGGTGATTATTTTCTTTTTTTGGCAAAGGAAAAGTGGAAATTAATGGCTACAGATGTTGTCATTCAGTCTAACTAACCTTAGGCTATTTGGAAGAAATTTCAGTCTTCATATATGCAAAGCATATAAAAACCTGTTTGGCATGTAGAAAATTGTTTTGTTGGAATTGCTGCCAAACAGCATTCTAAAAAGCATAGACGAAAGGAAGCTGAATACAAATGAACTTCTAACCTTTTCAGAGTTTTAGTTTAAAAAGCAAATACATTGATTAAAAAAGCCTTAAAAAAAACAAGCAAAAACTCAAAATTATACACCACTTTGTGTTAAAAATCCCAATTAAATACGTTGAAGTTTGTGGCTGTTATTAGACAAACTTTGAAAAAGTAAAGGAGTGCAAGTACTTTTGCAAGGCACAGTACATGAAATTTAAAGGAAATGTTTTAAGGAATGTTTGATTGTGTTTACTTATAAATACAATGCTGTTGGGATTCATCTAAATTTTGCCAGTAATAAATATCATTCTGTGGTTGCATAGTAATCTTCACATCAAAGCACATGAACAAAATGATTGATAGAAGCAACCTTATGTGCTTTTTGCTTGTCTGTTCAAATGAGGTTCAATTGCTGACTCTGTATCTGATGCTGATGCTGACTCTGTAATATCCTGTTGAAGTGGCCTACTTAAGTTGTGTTATTTCAGATTCATGTTATTCCCATTGTTCACAGTAAGTACCAACATGAGGTGTAGCAAATGTCAGTTATCAAATGCAATGGCTATGAGCTAATGCTAAGACTGAGTAGTAGTGCTGTGACCCTGAGAAAGGGAAGATTATTCATAGAAATGTTAACCCACATAGAACGCTACATGTCTGTATTTTCTTTGCTTAAAAAGTTGTTAGAAATCAGCATACCGGTACATAAGAAAATTGTGGCATAATGTGAGTGTTGTAGGTTATGCAGAATGTAAAGGGCATTAAATGCTCCACTGATTTGCTAATGTACATTAACCCATATGGAACAATTTAAACATGAAGTGACCCTGCAAGCTCTGTGGTATCTTGTATATCATTTAATCTTCATTTTTTACTTTAAAAATGCTGAATACCAAAAGGTGTTGCCATATTATATATTTGTAGTTACAGCATTTGTAAGACTTATTAGACCTTTGTTTTTGTCCAATCAAATGGACAGAAGTATTAACCAAGTTTTCCCCCCCTTACCCCCTCCCCTCTTTGTTCTCCTTCCAGGTCCTGGCTTGGCCTTCATTGCCTACCCTAAGGCTGTGTCTATGATGCCGCTGCCAACACTGTGGGCTATCCTCTTCTTCATCATGCTGCTTCTGCTGGGCCTTGACAGCCAGGTCAGTGTGTTTACAGTCAATAAGTAGAATAATTATGTTAACTAGTCTGAAATCCACAGTTTAATCCATACCCCGATGCCATCCAATGGGTCATCTCGGACTGATTTGTAAATCTCATGCAGAGAATCTCTGATTCATATTTAACATGCTCAGGTTTCAGATATCCGGTGCTCCAACAAATGCATTTCAATCCCTTGCTCAACTTCACTGCGGGAGAATTGAAACAGCATTAACGCCGTGATGTGTCACAAAATATTTACACGTGTGTGTAATTTTTACAAACCTGTAAATCTTTCCACCCACAAAATTGTCAGAAAGTTAATTTGGATGACAAACGCCCAAGCCTTACACCTTTCATACGCAAGCTGAAGGATGAGTAGGACAAGATAATCTAAGTTGACAAAACACAAATGCGCACCAGAGGGCTTCTCAAGCTGTATCACATTTCCTGCCTCCAAGTGTAATTCTACTCCTGTACTAAGTCAGTCTCACACATGGCCAGCTACCCATCTCAGCCAAGAGCTACATCAGACCTAGGCTCTAAATTTGAGTACATGTAAATGCTCATGCAAGTTAAGTTATTTCCATATGGGAATTGGGGTCACTGGGCATTTGTATGTGACTGTTTAAAGGGTGGATCCTGAATGGTGTGTATTATTTTTACATGCCACTGTTTATAGTTTTGGCTTTCAGTTTTACACTGAAAGATTTATGTTTTAATCATACCCGGATTAAAAGGTGGTAAATGGGTTATGAAGGTAGCCATAAAGGTAGCTGACATTGGTCTAAGAATGTGAGGCCTCAATCTAGCAGACCTGGAGTGCAAAATGGTTTAGATATGTTTTAAACTGTCATAACAGCTCAAAAAGGACAGCTTTGTTTCTTTATTAGGTGTTTTTATATAGTCACTGAGAACTTTTTTCCCCTCACAGTTTGTCGAAGTAGAAGGGCAGATCACATCCATCGTAGACCTCTATCCATCAGTTCTTAGAAAGGGTTACCGCAGAGAGATCTTCATCGCAGGCATGTGTCTAATGAGCTATCTCCTGGGACTCGCAATGGTAACAAAAGTAAGTCTAATCTGAAAGAATATGATTTGTCGTTTGGACTTGGGCTTTTGTGCAGCTTAACTCTTGAAATCAAAGACTTTCTATTTTTCTTAGACATGTGTTTAAAAAACCCTCCAAACTTAACTTAGGCAGTTGCTTCAAAGGTTGAAGTCTTAACTTACATCCAAAGCTTTAAGATTTGAATCAGACATATGCTTTAAGGACTCAAGACTAAGATTCTTGATATCATTTTCTCTCTATTTCTCTTGGAATTAGGAGTGAAGGAAGGCTGCACTTCAATATGTTTAATCTCATCATTATAGAGCATGCTTACTCTTCAACAAAACATAGTTAACATTTATATTTAGTTTATGATTGTATCCATGGTCCTTTGTATCCTCTGACTCAGAGTGAGGAAAACAACTGGTGCTATTAATTAAAGAAATAAATCATATCTCATGAAATGTAATAGCAGTTAATTGAAAGAGAAAATAAAGAGCAAATACTTTGATTCATTCATAACCTCAACATTAAGAATAAATTGTACTTCTATAGGAAATAAGATATGAACATATTTCAGACTTGAGACCAAACTTGACTTTGGAACAAAAAGGTTCACTTAGAACATGTATAGTCTATGTATATTTGTATTGATAATCTTATTTTTATTATTTTATTGCTACACTGTTGCATTCAAATATGATTTCCTACTTTGTTGATGATCCACAAACTATATGAGCGAATGGAAAAATCTGGAAAGCCGTTTTCCATGTGCTGGTTTATGAGGCTCCAATGACATCCCAGCAACTGTTTAACTCTCCCTTTATTGATTGGGTGCCAAAGTTCTTGTGCGCCCTTCTTTCAACCACCCCCACCACCACAAACACACACAAACATGTTTTGTTACACTATCCTTGTTAGGACTTCCAACTGACTTCCATTTATTTCCCACTCACTTCTATTGCCTAACACAGACCCTTACCCTAAACCTAACATCTACTAACACATACCTAACCCTAAGCCTACAATGTACTCAATTCATACCCAGTCCTTAACCTAACCCCCACCCCAAGAAGAGAACCTTTCCTCATAGCATATCCCTGGGAAATTGTCCCCACAACATAGCCACACACACACATACACTGTCTTTCATCTTGCTATATGTAGTGAGGACCATGTGTTGACTCCCAATGACTTCTATTGATTTTTAGTCATTTTCAACTCTTTCTTTTCCCTAGCCTTAGAAATGACCCTGAACCTAACCGTTACCAGTGCACACCTAATCCAGCCGACACCTTAGGCGTAAACATAACCAGTAGCTAAACAGCGTGTTAAGATTGGTCAAAATGTCCCCACTTTGTAACAATTCCCCCCGCTTCAGAAGTTGAAAACTGAAACTGGTCCTTACTCTTACTCTAAAACGGGAGCACACACATATAGTTTTACATCCCTTTCTGTCTCTGTGACTCATTGCCTTGTTACACTTATCAAGGAGTTAATTAATGCTACCTTTTATCTTTTCTAGGGTGGCATGTATGTGTTCCAGCTCTTTGACTACTACGCAGCCAGTGGTGTGTGCCTTTTGTGGGTTGCATTCTTCGAATGCATTGCCGTAGCTTGGGTTTATGGTAAGTGGGAATGACTATATCCCCAGCTCTTTATGTAATGATTCACAGGAGTTGGATAAGAAGCCCGGAAGGAGCTCCAGAAAGACAAACAAAGGTGGAGGGAGTTTTACATGTCTGCAATAAATAAGATTAACAGAGCAGGGGAAATGAGAGAAAAAGTTGGACCCCTTTTAGATTGGGGTTATCCTTTTTGAGTTTCCCCTCACTGTATTGCTTCTAACAACGGTTGACGAAAACAAAATCTTCAGTCATAAAACGAACATCTCTGTTGGAATAAGAATGCTGTTGTTATAGGAATAAGTGAATGAATGAAAGAAAGACACAAAAATGAGGAAAAGATTTATTTATTTTTACTAACAATATCCAATCCAAACAGTTTTACACAGTATATTAAAATAATATAAAAATACAGGAGATAATACAAAACCTAAGAAAATACTAAACCGAATAATTTAGTAACATTTACAAAGGAAAGATTAGGCTTCTGTCTTTAAAGTTTACCATTAATGCCACAGTTTTAGTGTCAAGTAATTGTGTTAAATAAATTATGACTTTACCCTTTTTTAAGATAAGATTTAACTGACTAATACAACAACTGATAAAAATGATCTATATGAATAATTAATCTATGACAAAAATATTCCTATTTTGTTTATCAGAGGCTAGTATTGCGTTAAACTTTTGTCTTCAACAAATGCAGGTACAATTGTGTAGTACATTGGTTTTTAAGAACATTTTTAGGGATAAATGGACTTTAGTTTTGACAATAGGTAGAGAGGTAATGAGGAGAGGGGGAAAGCATGTGGCAAAGGTCATCATGCCAGACCCAGTGACAGCAATGTCAAGGACCAAAGATATGGGTTGCATGACTGACCCCTGCACCACTGCCACGTCCAACTTTGTTGATTACTGATAGCAGATATAAATATAATTTTATGAAAATGTACAAATAAAATAAAAATCAAACTCAAACTATTAACCACATGTATCACATTTTGAATGACAATAAGCAACAAGGAATACCTACAAGGTTATCTTGGATTACTAAATACCTACAATAAAAACACAGCAAGAGGAAAAAAAAAACACTAACAGTCTGAGACAATCCCATGACTGTTTGTAGCCTACATATTGAGCACATGACCCAGTGGAAAAAATATGTTATGGTTTATAGTAAACAGCACAGATAAGGGCTCATAATACTGCTAATCTCAGCATGTGTTTATGGAGGTCACTCTGTGATCAGAAATAATACTCAGAAATGTAGGATGGTATATCTTTTAGTGGACAGATATTGTATGCTTATGGATTCTTTTCTTTTCTTTTTCTTGCACAGGAGCTGATAATTTCTATGATGCAGTCGAGGATATGATTGGATACAGACCAAACCCATGGATGAAATGGAGCTGGACCATCATCACTCCTGTCCTCTGCATGGTAAGGAAGACAAATATTCTGATATTAGAACCACATGGAACACAGATGTTGACAAGAGGCTAAAGAGCTACTGCTTAATGCACTGCATGTTTTTTTCTATCTTAGGGCTGCTTTGTTTTCTCCCTGGTAAAGTATAAACCACTGACCTATAACAAGGTGTACGAATATCCTGAATGGGCCATTGGCCTGGGCTGGTGTTTGGCTCTGGCTTCCATGATTTGCATCCCCATGGTGATGGTCATCAAAATCCTGCAGTCTGAGGGACCTCTGATAGAGGTGAGCGTACACGGAGCCTCTAAAGGAAAGATAATGCAAATACCATCGCACTATTAGTTCTTTTAAACTTTCTTCCAACTTCGCTCAAAAGGCTCTCCCCGGAAAACCCTTAAAGTTTTAAAATGATTTCCAGTTTTGACAATTCATTTTATTGCAATAATTAGAATATAACACAAAAATTCTTCATAAATGAAAGTTTGTACAGTGGTTTTTGAAATTATGAACCCTCTTTAATGATATAAAAAACAAAGTTATAAACACTAATACAACAGAGAAAGTTTTAAATATTTTATTTTTTATTCCAAGAAAATGTTTTGTCTTAGATGCAACTCGAATTTTGTCAATTGCCGTATGTATATATATCTATATCTATATATATGTATATGTATATGTATATATATATATATATATATATATATATATATATATATATATATATATATATATATATATATATATATATATATATATATATATATATACAGGTGCTGGTCATAAAATTAGAATATCATGAAAAAGTAGATTGATTTCAGTAATTCCATTTAAAAAGTGAAACTTGTATATTATATTCATACATTACATACAAACTCATATATTTCAGATGTTTATTTTGTTTAATTTTGATGATTACAAATGACAACAAATGAAAATCTCAAATTCATCATATCAGAAAATTAGAATATTACTGAAGACCAATAAAAACAAAGGATTTATAGAAATGTTGGCCAACTGAAAAGTATGAACATGAAAAGTATGAGCATGTACAGCACTCAGTATTTAGTTGGGCCTCCTTTGGCCTGTATTACTGCAGCAATGCGGCGTGGCATGGAGTCGATCAGTCTGTGGCACTGCTCAGGTGTTATGATAGCCCAGGTTGCTCTAATAGTGGCTTTTAGCTCTTCTGAATTGTTGGGTCTGGTGTATTGCATCTTCTTCTTCACAATACCCCATAGATTTTCTATGGGGTTAAGGTCAGGAGAGTTTGCTGGCCAATTAAGAACAGGGATACCATGGTCCTTCAACCAGGTACTGGTAGCTTTGGCACTGTGTGCAGGTGCCAAGTCCTGTTGGAAAATGAAATCTGCATCTCCAAAAAGTTGGTCAGCTGCAGGAAGCATGAAGTGCTCTAAAACTTCCTGGTATGTGGCTGCGTTGACCCTGGACCTCAGAAAACACAATGGACCAACACCAGCAGATGACATGGCACCCCAAACCATCACTGACTGTGGAAACTTTACACTGGACTTCAAGCAACGTGGATGAAGTGCCTCTCTTCTTTTCCTCCAGACTCTGGGACCTTGATTTCCAAAGGAAATGCAAAATTTACTTTCATCAGAGAACATGACTTTGGACCACTCACCAGCAGTCCAGTCCTGTTTCTCTTTAGCCCAGGCAAGACGCTTCTGACGCTGTCTGTGGTTCAAGAGTGGCTTGACACAAGGAATGCGACAGCAGAAACCCATGTCTTTCATACGTCTGTGTGTGGTGGTTCTTGAAGCACTCACTCCAGCTGCAGTCCACTCTTTGTGAATCTCCCCCACATTTTTGAATGGGTTTTGTTTCACAATCCTCTCCAGGGTGCGGTTATCTCTCTTGCTTGTACACTTTTTTCGACCACATCTTTTCCTTCCCTTCGCCTCTCTATTAATGTGCTTGGACACTGAGCTCTGTGAACAGCCAGCCTCTTTAGCGATGACCTTTTGTGTCTTGCCCTCCTTGTGCAAGGTGTCGATGGTCGTCTTTTGGACAACTGTCAAGTCAGCAGTCTTCTCCATGATTGTGTAGCCTATAGAACTAGACTGAAAGACCATTTAAAGGCTTTTGCAGGTGGTTTGAGTTAATTAGCTGATTAGAGTGTGGCACCAGGGGCCATCAATTTTGAACCTTTTCACAATATTCTAATTTTCTGATATGATGAATTTGAGATTTTCATTTGTTGTCATTTGTAATCATCAAAATTAAACAAAATAAACATCTGAAATATATGAGTTTGTATGTAATGTATGAATATAATATACAAGTTTCACTTTTTAAATGGAATTACTGAAATCAATCTACTTTTTCATGATATTCTAATTTTATGACCAGCACCTGTATATATATATATATATACATGGGCGTAGGTTTGCATAGGGACCATAGGGACATGTCCCTACCAAAATTTTGAACCGACCTAATTGTCCCTACCAATAATTGGATGTGAGCAACATGTTTATAATTTACAGCAGTAGTTGTTGCAGCAGTGGCTTCTTTTCCTCTCGCTGCTCCTCTGCCTGGTCTCTCCTGTCCCTTTCACGCAGCAGCGCATGGAACTGTGCTGCGCTGTTTAACTCCACTCTCATTGGTTGTTCTGCCTTAGGTTCCGCCTCCTCTCTCTCTGATTGGCTGTTTTCTAGTCCTGGCGTGCTTGGAGCACAAAATTGAAAATTTATTCACACTAGAATGCTGCGGTTACTACAATAAATATTAGGCTACAAAACTAGTCCCAATTAAAAAAAATGAATATCATGTACACTAAAAAACAAAAACCTTTTTTTTTCTTTTATAAAGCGAAATATTCTGAGTCAGCCAGGAGTTCTGAAGACACAAAATGGGCAAATAAAGGCTGTAAGCCATCAACATTTCTGATTCTTATCCACAGCCAACTAAAAAAGAAAATGTGAGGATTTCCTTTTTACCAATATTTAGTTGCTATTACTGTTTTCATTTTTTATGACTCTTTGAGAAAGTTCAGGTATAATTATTAGCAGGTGTTATTTCTCTTATAGAGTACAACAACAAGAAATGGGGCCTAAACATCTGCTGTTTTTCATTTAAAAAGCATAATTAGGGTTCCACATAATAATAGTTCTATTTTATTGACTATTTATACTTCTAGAAATAGGATAAAGACAAGAACAAAAAAAGGAAGAATATAAACATTGATTTTATCTTACATAGATTTCCACACAGTCTATAAGTAAATTAGTACAAACATTAATGTCTGGTAAAAATGCTGGAATCTGGCTGTTTATTTTGGATAATGTTAAATTACAGATAAGATAGTGTTATATTGTCTTTTATAATTGTTAAAAATTATTTTATATTTGAATACGGTACAATTAGGCTCATTCTTAGTGTTGTGTTCGTAGATGATTCCACTAAAAAAGAAAATAGACATACAGTAAGGAGCTATTTAAACAGTCAGACAGTAAGCAATATAGGACAATGATAAAAGGTTGTGTTACATTTAATCCTTTACTATTAAAATTGCACTTATACATTATATGATTATAGGAAACACAGATATCCAGTAATAATGATGCAGGGCAGCTTGTAGGTGAAGCAGCTGGCCCTTCAGTGCTTCAGGTGATGTCTAAATAAACCAGGTGAAACTAAAATATTTCCAAATGAGGAGTTCTGGATGGAGAATATTGATATATATATATATATATATATATATATATATATATATATATATATATATATATATATATATATATATATATATATATATATATATATATACAGGTGCTGGTCATAAAATTAGAATATCATGAAAAAGTAGATTGATTTCAGTAATTCCATTTAAAAAGTGAAACTTGTATATTATATTCATACGTTACATACAAACTCATATATTTCAGATGTTTATTTTGTTTAATTTTGATGATTACAAATGACAACAAATGAAAATCTCAAATTCATCATATCAGAAAATTAGAATATTACTGAAGACCAATAAAAACAAAGGATTTATAGAAATGTTGGCCAACTGAAAAGTATGAACATGAAAAGTATGAGCATGTACAGCACTCAGTATTTAGTTGGGCCTCCTTTGGCCTGTATTACTGCAGCAATGCGGCGTGGCATGGAGTCGATCAGTCTGTGGCACTGCTCAGGTGTTATGATAGCCCAGGTTGCTCTAATAGTGGCTTTTAGCTCTTCTGAATTGTTGGGTCTGGTGTATTGCATCTTCTTCTTCACAATACCCCATAGATTTTCTATGGGGTTAAGGTCAGGAGAGTTTGCTGGCCAATTAAGAACAGGGATACCATGGTCCTTCAACCAGGTACTGGTAGCTTTGGCACTGTGTGCAGGTGCCAAGTCCTGTTGGAAAATGAAATCTGCATCTCCAAAAAGTTGGTCAGCTGCAGGAAGCATGAAGTGCTCTAAAACTTCCTGGTATGTGGCTGCGTTGACCCTGGACCTCTGAAAACACAATGGACCAACACCAGCAGATGACATGGCACCCCAAACCATCACTGACTGTGGAAACTTTACACTGGACTTCAAGCAACGTGGATGAAGTGCCTCTCTTCTTTTCCTCCAGACTCTGGGACCTTGATTTCCAAAGGAAATGCAAAATTTACTTTCATCAGAGAACATGACTTTGGACCACTCACCAGCAGTCCAGTCCTGTTTCTCTTTAGCCCAGGCAAGACGCTTCTGACGCTGTCTGTGGTTCAAGAGTGGCTTGACACAAGGAATGCGACAGCAGAAACCCATGTCTTTCATACGTCTGTGTGTGGTGGTTCTTGAAGCACTCACTCCAGCTGCAGTCCACTCTTTGTGAATCTCCCCCACATTTTTGAAGGGGTTTTGTTTCACAATCCTCTCCAGGGTGCGGTTATCTCTCTTGCTTGTACACTTTTTTCGACCACATCTTTTCCTTCCCTTCGCCTCTCTATTAATGTGCTTGGACACTGAGCTCTGTGAACAGCCAGCCTCTTTAGCGATTACCTTTTGTGTCTTGCCCTCCTTGTGCAAGGTGTCGATGGTCGTCTTTATGACAACTGTCAAGTCAGCAGTCTTCCCCATGATTGTGTAGCCTATAGAACTAGACTGAAAGACCATTTAAAGGCTTTTGCAGGTGGTTTGAGTTAATTAGCTGATTAGAGTGTGGCACCAGGGGCCATCAATTTTGAACCTTTTCACAATATTCTAATTTTCTGATATGATGAATTTGAGATTTTCATTTGTTGTCATTTGTAATCATCAAAATTAAACAAAATAAACATCTGAAATATATGAGTTTGTATGTAATGTATGAATATAATATACAAGTTTCACTTTTTAAATGGAATTACTGAAATCAACCTACTTTTTCATGATATTCTAATTTTATGACCAGCACCTGTATATATATATATATATATATATATATATATATATATATATATATATATATATATATATATATATATATATATATATATATTGTATTTTTACAATTTTGGTATAATTACTGATCTAAGTTGATTGTTCTATAGGGGAAAGGGACATTTATTTTACATTTATATTATGTTTTATAGTCTCCATTCACCAGTTAATGATTAATCACATACTAAATTAGTTGACGATTATTGAAATAATCAATTAATACGATTCATTTTTTCAGCCCTAGATAAAATACATAAAATGGGCTATACAGAGTAACTACAGCCCAGATGTTCAACTTTTATAGTGAAGTTAATATTTTATTGAATGTATTATTTTGCTGGATACAGAGAGAGCATAGTAGGTAAAATATAAGAGTGGGGTTTAACTCTGCACAATTGTATATCTTCAAAAGAAAATACTGTATTTACCTTTTCTATTAGTCATGCAAATGAAACCATTTACAAAGTGGAAAACAGTCCTAATTCCACATTCATCAGAGCCAGTGATACTTCAAACATTGATAAACAGCATCTAATGAGTATAGTGCTTATAAAATTTTTATTAATATAGCAAAATGATGCTTTTCTCTTTTAACAATGAATTCGTCTTATCAGTACGGATGCTCACATCGAGCATAAAAAAGGGCATGCATATTGCAGCACCAATGACACCCGACCAATAGTGTCCCTACCAAAGTTCAAATCAAACCTACGCCCTTGTATATATATATATATATATGTGAATATATACTTTCAGCGAACATAATTATTTTATTTTCTGTTTTTAAACTTCCAAAATAACTTTCTTAATAAAAAAATAAATAAAAACGTGACTTCAAGGCACTGTTTACTCGAAGGGTTTCTAAGTGTATCTAACCAACACATTTGACCTCTCTGACTCTTTGGTTTTGAAACAAAACCAGCTGTATTTAAACAAGCGATATGGGCCTAAAGTCACAATACACTATTAGAACTAACCTTATACTGATCCTTCGGGATACTTCTGTTATTTTATTTGTCAACAAAATGTTCTTGTTCAGTGTTTATGTCTCATGTCTCTGGTTCCTAAAACATTTGACATTCTAAATTCAGAAACTGTCCCTTTAAGCCCTGAAGGAGCCCTTTCTGATGATCATTAGCCTAATGTCTCATCTCCTTTCCCAAAACAGAGAATCAAGGCAGTGGCGGCCCCGGCAAAGTCAGGCGTGAGCTCTCGCCCGAAAGAGTACAATTTGAAGATCAGCGAGTTGACACAGCCTCTGGACCCAAACGGGAACAATGGCTTGATCAAGCCCACCCACACCGTTGTAGAAACAACGATGTGAGCGCTCTCTGTGAGAGGAATAAGATTGATGTGCTTACTGTGTTATTATATTTTGCTAACTTTGATAAGTGTAGGTTTACATTGTCCAATATATTCATATTAGAAAAACTATAGTTTGATTTATATTAAGAGAGATATATTTTATTGTAATTTTTTTTTTCTCGTAATTTTTTTTACTCTACTGATATTGTTGATGTTGCAAATGTCGCTGTAGTTGGCACTGATCTCAGTTAAGGCAGTATTTTTAAATAGAACCTGTTCAATGTTTACTACATTTCTTTAATTCTGAGGAGATGAGGAATTTAACGCATTCGAGGAAGAGACAGGAAATAACTCACTTCTCAATTCAATAACAAAGTGGATGATTAACCAAAAAATACTGAAAACATTCACATTTAATTTTTCCAACAAAATGAGTTTAATTGTTCAGATCATATTGTGGAAAATATGGCATCTATACCGTTATTTCTTCAGTACAAGGTAAACAATGCCTTGGCTCATTCTCAAAGATCCAACATGACAAAACTCTAATCCACATTTTCTAAAAAAAAAAAGAGAGAAAGAGTTAAGAAGGTAAGGAGAAAAGGGAAGAGGCGTTTAAGAGTACTTGTATCCTGCCTCTGTGACTACTTATATTGTCTGCCCCAGTGCATTTATGGAGCCTCTCTTTGCACTTTATGTCATATCACCTTTAATGTAGTATTTGCTCTTATTTGAGAGGAAATGTTTTTATCTTTTAACTTTTTGATATTGTTAACCTTGACACAGTGCAACTAGTTACTCCCTGCTAAAACAATGAAGGGACAGAGTAGGACTGCTGCATTTCAAATCTATGATTTTAATAATTAGTAAGATCTCTGAGGAGACCATTTTGTTATGGTACTTTTATCCTAAGCTATCTGACATTTATCTCAATTTTGCTGATTTCAATTGCAGGTTCTTTCTATGTAAAATCTGTATCGATGTCCTTGTTTGTGTTTTAGAATTTAAACTGTTAATAATTCACATATGCCTTTTTTATGACAGTTTTACACTGTGCATCACCTAAATAACATCACAGATTCTTCAGAAATGAGTATCCGCAGTATAGAAAGCTATCTTAAGCCTTTGCTACACATCAGTATGCAATAACAAATTATAAAGTCACTGGATTATTTGCCCATTGAAAAATACACATTTTTTATTGATTGGGTCATGCAGCTGTATACAAAACTTAAAAAATTAAAAATGCCCTCCTGAACTATGTGCAGGAGCCATTGCATTATCTTGCTGCTTTTCTACTTGGAAACTAAAATGTACCAAATCATTTTTTGTCTCAAAGTTATCCCCTTTAAGATGGTTATTGCATCATGTCTATATGGATAAAATAAACCTCTTTTCCTTGGATTGATTTTGTGTGAGGTTTGTTCTTTTTATTATAGATTTTTCAAAGAGTATACAAATGCACATGGTTTTAAAATGTGTCATCTAAGGCAGACTACTTTGGTTTATTTTTCAACAGTCCAGGATCTAAAACCTCTGTGTTAGTCTTGCCAGAGATCGGTGCTGCGTTTGACACCACTGTTGATAAAGTATCGATTGACAGACTGGTAAACTGGACTAGGTTCTCAGTTGCTCTGCTAAATTTAATCCAATTCTACTTGACAGACCAGGACTACTTTGTGTCATTTGTCTATGTTTCTGCATGGACAAAGATCACATGAATTGTTTTTCAAGGCTCCATACTTGGGCCACTTTAAATCAACATATTGGCATGCTCAAGCTAGCACTGATTATTTAATACAGCAATATTTTTGCTTTGAATACATAATAAACATTTCTGCCATTACATAGCCACTCTTAATTACTGACTGTTGGTTGACCCATAAAACAAATGAGCGGACTGGTGAGAAATGTCTCCAGCTTAATGCATGGAAACTACCAGAAACGGTATGGTTAGAAATCAGTTCTAAAGTAGGCTAAAAAAACAAAAGGGAAGAACAACCTTGGTGTTTGAATCTGTCAGGAAATACATCAGCCTAGTGCTATCGTCAATACAGGGCTTGTCATGAAAACAAACATAGGACAACTTGTACATGCACGTAATTTGCTTCGGTTGGAAAGAAACTGAGCTTAAAACCAGTTAGATCGCTAAACTCATCCAGAATGATTTTACAAGTTCTCTAATACCAGAGAAAGTGATCATATTACACCAGTCTGTCACTGTATTGGCTCTCGTTTATCAAAGCATTGATTTTATTTTTAAATACTCTGAGATAGATCTAAATAAATTTTAGTTGTCAGGTCCAAAATATGCAGGCCATCAGGTCATAAGAGATCTGCTCGTCCAGCACTTCCAGGATCAGAAGAAAGAGAAGACAGTCTTTAGTCTCTATAGACCTCAATCTGCAGGAACAAAATCCCTAGAAACCTGAGATGTGCAGACTCCTTTCTTTTAAACATTAGTTTGCTACATAAATATCAAAGAACATCCCGTGCTTTTTTTTGGTCTGTGATGCATTTGCTTACCTTTGTTTCTAGTCTACTGAAAAGTACATTAAATTATGTAAAGAAATTGTTGTGCAAATGAACCACTGTTTTTAACATTGGCTGTCAACCTTAGGCATAATGCATTGAAGACATTATGTAGGTTATGAACCAGAGTTGCGCCACACTGTGGACTGATGGAGAGCAAGTTTTTGGCCTTGAAAATAACACATTCTTTCATTTGGTTGTGAAACTACTGAAGAAAGAGGGATGCTGATCGCAGGTTTTGCTCAAGCCAACCCTTAATGAGTAGTTTTAAAATCCACCTTACACAGGTGAAAACATTTTTCCGTGATCATGGAAATACATTTTTATGTTTACAGTGCAAAAAGCTAAGCTTTTAATTTAGGATTGTAGCTATATGTAATTTCTTAGTCCTTGGAAAACAAAAAACAGCAAGAGAAAAAAATGTTGGTACCCCTGGAAAATATGTACCACATTTGACACGGACCAGACACAGAAAAGGAAAGAATTGACTTTTGAGATAAGAAAATTAGAGACAACCAGGCTAAAAGTATTTGCTATAGGGTATAAGATCATCTCCCAACAATTTGCTATTTCTTGACGAGAGTTGCACAAATTATTCAGAAATTTAGGATCCATGGGACTGTAGCCAACCTCCCAGGATGGGGCAGCAGCAGGAAAATTGATGAATTTAAAGAGCCGGATTATATGAATGGTAACAAAAGAGCCCAGAGAAACCCCAAAGAGATTAAGGGTGAACTTTAAGCCCAAGGAACATCCGTTTCAGATTGCACCCTCTGTCATTGAGCCAAACTGGAGAGGACAAAAGAGGGCACCATGTTTGAAAACAAATAATTAAAAAGCCAGACTGGAATTTGCCAAATTAAATGCTGATAATCCACAACGCTCTTGAGAGAAAATTCTACAGGTGCTGGTCATAAAATTAGAATATCATGAAAAAGTAGATTGATTTCAGTAATTCCATTTAAAAAGTGAAACTTGTATATTATATTCATACATTACATACAAACTCATATATTTCAGATGTTTATTTTGTTTAATTTTGATGATTACAAATGACAACAAATGAAAATCTCAAATTCATCATATCAGAAAATTAGAATATTACTGAAGACCAATAAAAACAAAGGATTTATAGAAATGTTGGCCAACTGAAAAGTATGAACATGAAAAGTATGAGCATGTACAGCACTCAGTATTTAGTTGGGCCTCCTTTGGCCTGTATTACTGCAGCAATGCGGCGTGGCATGGAGTCGATCAGTCTGTGGCACTGCTCAGGTGTTATGATAGCCCAGGTTGCTCTAATAGTGGCTTTTAGCTCTTCTGAATTGTTGGGTCTGGTGTATTGCATCTTCTTCTTCACAATACCCCATAGATTTTCTATGGGGTTAAGGTCAGGAGAGTTTGCTGGCCAATTAAGAACAGGGATACCATGGTCCTTCAACCAGGTACTGGTAGCTTTGGCACTGTGTGCAGGTGCCAAGTCCTGTTGGAAAATGAAATCTGCATCTCCAAAAAGTTGGTCAGCTGTAGGAAGCATGAAGTGCTCTAAAACTTCCTGGTATGTGGCTGCGTTGACCCTGGACCTCAGAAAACACAATGGACCAACACCAGCAGATGACATGGCACCCCAAACCATCACTGACTGTGGAAACTTTACACTGGACTTCAAGCAACGTGGATGAAGTGCCTCTCTTCTTTTCCTCCAGACTCTGGGACCTTGATTTCCAAAGGAAATGCAAAATTTACTTTCATCAGAGAACATGACTTTGGACCACTCACCAGCAGTCCAGTCCTGTTTCTCTTTAGCCCAGGCAAGACGCTTCTGACGCTGTCTGTGGTTCAAGAGTGGCTTGACACAAGGAATGCGACAGCAGAAACCCATGTCTTTCATACGTCTGTGTGTGGTGGTTCTTGAAGCACTCACTCCAGCTGCAGTCCACTCTTTGTGAATCTCCCCCACATTTTTGAATGGGTTTTGTTTCACAATCCTCTCCAGGGTGCGGTTATCTCTCTTGCTTGTACACTTTTTTCGACCACATCTTTTCCTTCCCTTCGCCTCTCTATTAATGTGCTTGGACACTGAGCTCTGTGAACAGCCAGCCTCTTTAGCGATGACCTTTTGTGTCTTGCCCTCCTTGTGCAAAGTGTCGATGGTCGTCTTTTGGACAACTGTCAAGTCAGCAGTCTTCCCCATGATTGTGTAGCCTATAGAACTAGACTGAAAGACCATTTAAAGGCTTTTGCAGGTGGTTTGAGTTAATTAGCTGATTAGAGTGTGGCACCAGGGGCCATCAATTTTGAACCTTTTCACAATATTCTAATTTTCTGATATGATGAATTTGAGATTTTCATTTGTTGTCATTTGTAATCATCAAAATTAAACAAAATAAACATCTGAAATATATGAGTTTGTATGTAATGTATGTACAGGACTTGGCACCTGCACACAGTGCCAAAGCTACCAGTACCTGGTTGAAGGACCATGGTATCCCTGTTCTTAATTGGCCAGCAAACTCTCCTGACCTTAACCCCATAGAAAATCTATGGGGTATTGTGAAGAAGAAGATGCAATACACCAGACCCAACAATTCAGAAGAGCTAAAAGCCACTATTAGAGCAACCTGGGCTATCATAACACCTGAGCAGTGCCACAGACTGATCGACTCCATGCCACGCCGCATTGCTGCAGTAATACAGGCCAAAGGAGGCCCAACTAAATACTGAGTGCTGTACATGCTCATACTTTTCATGTTCATACTTTTCAGTTGGCCAACATTTCTATAAATCCTTTGTTTTTATTGGTCTTCAGTAATATTCTAATTTTCTGATATGATGAATTTGAGATTTTCATTTGTTGTCATTTGTAATCATCAAAATTAAACAAAATAAACATCTGAAATATATGAGTTTGTATGTAATGTATGAATATAATATACAAGTTTCACTTTTTAAATGGAATTACTGAAATCAATCTACTTTTTCATGATATTCTAATTTTATGACCAGCACCTGTATGTACAGATGAGACAAAAATTTTAACTTTTTGCCAAGGAACATCAGTTCTATGTTCACAAACAGAAAAATTAAGCATATCAAGAAAATAACACTGTCCCTACTGTGAAACATGGAGGAGGCTCTGTTGTACTCTGGGACTGCTTTGCTTTAACTGGCATCTCTGCAGAATTCAATGAAGTATCAAGACTATCAAGAGAATCTAAAGAAAAATGTGCTGCACAGTGTTAGCTTGGCCTCAGTCGCGGGTCATGGGTCTCACAACACGATTAAGACCCAAAACACCAAAGAGTCCCTAAGAAGAAAACAGATTATTCTGAAGTGGCCTTCAATGAACCCTGACCTTAATCCTATTCGACATCTTTGGAATGAGCTGAAACATGCTGTCTGGAAAAGGCACCCTTCCTAAGACAACTGTACAGAGGCCTTAGTCCCCGTTGCTGACCCAGGTTCAAATCCAGCCTGTGGTACTTTGCCGCATGCCTCTTACGTACTCCCTTTCATGTCAGCCTACTTTGCAAATTAGCAGCGCTAGTGCAGCAAATTTGAAATATCAAACAGACTGAGATGATCACAGACTGCTGTAAATTATTTAAGAATGTGTTGCCATTGGGTATATTTGTTTTTCCTTTCCAAATAGTATCAGGTTGGTCATTTGAGTTGCAATAGAATGGGAATGTGCTTAGGATTGTCCTCCATGCTGGTTCAATACATCAGCCCTCCAACTTCAGATTGCTCTGCTGCGGTCACATGAAAAAACTGAGTCAGTCAATTAAAGCCTGTTTTGCGCTATTATTGGTGATGTTACAGGCCCACCAGAGGGAAAAAAAATAAAATGCAAACGATTGATCCGAATTAACTAATTGCATTCATGCATAGACCTGAATCAAACCAATTTTTCCTTGTAAATTGCCGTGCGGATTAAATAAAAAAAATTCATATATTTTTGAAAAGACAACAGATTTGGCACAACCTTCCCAAATAAATGGGTCACAAAAGACTGGACAGATAACCTTATAACTTTATTGCAATAAAAAAAATGGCATTACTCACTAAATAAAAATTTTAATAACTTCACAAATTGACAGACAACTTAAAAAATTAGTTCAGAAACACATTCAGTATCTCAGCTTTCTTGGAAGATCCTGAAAACATTTGATCCAAACAACAAGACATTAGACATCAGTGTCTTTTACTGTAAAAGCTTTCTTTTACATTAAAAGACTTTAAAAAGTGGCCTAGATATGGAGCAAATTCAACAACAACAAAAAAAAAGTGAAGGTTACAACCCAACTATAATAATTTGGCTCCAAGGCTGCTACAAATGGGACAGTAACATATTCACATCAGCTGACACATGACTTATTGTAATCCATTTTCAGACCAGTACGTTCATTAGAAAAAGGAAAAAACATCGAGAACAGTGTTATTGAAAAAAAAAAGCACTCACATAGTTCTAAGCAAATAGAAAATGTTAATTTGTACACACTTTGTATCCTTAGAGTTATGTGTTAGAAAGAGCAGCTTATTCAGAAAAGTCGTGAACATTGAAATAAAAAAACTGAAAAACATGCAGAAGCTGTGTTTTAAACTGTGCAAACGTAATTTAGTTTTTAAACGTGATAAACACTCAAAAAAAAAAAAAAGTGAACATCGAAAAAAATTCACCCACGCATATGAAAAGTGTCTCTGAAACACAGGTGACAAAATAATCATGAATCAAGTGTTGTAAAAATAGAGAACAAAATGTTTGCGGCATTGTTGTTGGCAGGTATCGGGGCGAGCTCAGACTATTTCAGGGCACCATCCGCCCTTTAGCCAGTGCAGGTTAGAGAATGGAAACAAAGGTAGTGAGCCAACTCATGGCTAAAATAAGTGCAATCTTCTTTGATCTTAGGATCCATCAATATGCAATCTCTGTAAGAGAATCTGTTAATTAACAGGTGCATCCTTTGTGAAAATGGAAAGAAAAACAATGTTAAAACAAGGCCTAATTAAAAATTAAATTTTAGGCAGTGAGTGTGCACATCATGTGGTTTTGCAGAGTAAAGACATGTGCGTTGATGTCCTGGCCCCCCGTCAGAAGCTATGACTCCTCTGTTATATAACCCTCCATGTGGTTCTGCCTCTGGTGAGGGGGGTGGGAGCTCTGTTCTGAAACCTTTGTCTCCACAGAGCAGATAATCTGAACGCAGCAATAAATAAAAGCTTTCGTGTAATGTTAACAGAGAGATGCCCTGAGGCAAAAGAACGGTTGTTCCTCTGTGAAAAACACAAGCGTGAAGGTTTGACAGCTACAATGTGACAAAATAAACCACGTGTGATGCATGCGTGAATTCCCAGCCAGCCGTGCTGTGTTCTTCATCCATCTCTGTGTTCACAGGGCAATGCTGTTGCTCCCGTAGTTGGCAAAGCACAGAAACGAGCTTGAGGGGCCGTCACAGTCGTTGGGCAGCTCCGCATAGGCCACTGCCAGTGGATTCCTGCTAATGACCAGATCCAAACAGTCTCCGGCCTCCATAATTAGAGGGACAGTGAGACAGCAGTCCAAGTCCCGGGTCCTCACACGGTTCACCTGGAAGAACACAGCTACCAATTAACATTCAGTACTATTTATTTATTCCACTAAAACCTGCAGTTTCTAACATATTAGAACTACCTTGTCAAGATGTGACTTGTATTTATAACATACAAGTATTATAAAATAACACATAATTACTTAATGTATGCTGTCTGACTTCACTCCAATGTTAAAATTTCCAAGTTGGCTCTTGAAAAAAATCCCTGTACAAATACAGACCTAAGAAGTCTGTATTAGATATCAGATCACACAGTATTATATAGCCACTAGTAGTTAACATAAAGCTATATTTGTAAAATTTACATAATGCTTTTTTTTCTGTGCTGCTAATAGCCAAAGTATGATCAATTGTAGATCCCATTGTATACAGAAGTAGCCAAAAACCCCAGTTGTAAAAACATTGATGATATGGTTAACCATGTCATTATGATCAAATGTGGGGATGTCACTACAGTAGAGCTGCTAAGCTTACATCAGCACATTTTATACCCAAAATTGCTTAAATCAGCACCAGGGACTAGAAAATTAGCCAGCAACATATTTAACCTTCAATGTTTCTCAAGTCCTGAACATTAACAGTAAAAATTTTGTACCCTTATCTAAGTAAATTGGCAATAAGTCATCTTTGCTCATTGTTTACCGACTTATGATGCAACTCTCTACTTCCAAAGCCAAGATTTGATGACACCTTATTTACGATGACCACATGCTGAAAATTAGTCAAAATATTCAACATTGATCGAGTGGCTCCTTAGAAAAAAATCATTATGTAGCTCTGTTTTGTATATTGTTTTTTTCCTTTTGTGTAATTAGTTTTTTAGTAGAGCAGCATTGAGTGCATTACAGTTTGTGTGGAAACAGATGCATTTAGCATTCATCATGCTAAATTGATTGATAAAAAAAAAAAAAAAAAAAAAAAAGGAATATTGAACAAAAACACTGAATATGTCATAGCTTAATTTAGGAAAGCTTAAATGAATTTTCAAGCCACAAGGGGCATTGTGATGCTCTGTTGTGGCTCCCCTTCTCAAAAACTCACATTTAATTAGAGAGGGTCGGATCAGTCTCTGGAGGAGTCACATGATACAATTCCCTTTAAAAACTAGACCTAACGAATCTAAGTTATTAGCTCAGTTATTACGCAACAAAACAAATATTTACGACAAAGTATCAGAGCCAGACTAAAGAGAATGTTTTTGACAGACTAATATGAGAATATCGTAGTGGATTAAACTCATATTACGATATCAACGTAAAACTTTTCTCATAATATTACAATTACAATTAAAATTGTTACATTACAAGGTTAGTCTTAATACCAGAATAAAGTCAATGTTATTTAATGAGAATGCTTGCACTGTTATCCCTGCACTGAAATGAGGACTTGAGAATTGTGTGGAGCTATACTTTGATATCGGTTTTACAAAGAAGGAAATACCAAACCTTATAACCCATCAGCATCAAATTAATGTTTACAAATGGAGCTCAGATTGCTGTTTGGTGCTTAGACATTGAGGATTTCTTTTTTGAAAGGACAAATAATCTGATGTCTGTGTTCTATCATGATTTTATTCTCGACACGTTACAACTTTATTCTCATAATATTACGAGAATAAAGTGTCAATATTAGTGTTGCACCGATACCGATACCAGTATCGGACGGGGCCCCGATACTGCCCTAAAATGGTGGTATCAGTATCGGCGAGTACCAACAAATAGGGCACCAATACCATTTTGAGAGCCATAAGTTTATTCAACTATTGTCACCCACTCCTGGTAGGCAATAAAAAGTTCTACTGGATTCACTTTGTATTAGATTTTTTCCTGCTTCACAAAGGTAGGCAGCAGCTCGACAAAGCCACGATTGAAATTATTTTACATTATTATGGTATCGGCCGATACTGCACAGCCAGGTATCGGGTATCAGGGCCAAAAAATGGCATCGGTGCAACACTAGTCAATATTATAACTGTAATTTTTTTCCCTAGTTTGGCCCTAATACACCGTCATAGATATGACCCTTACCTGGACAAACTTTTTGGTTCTCTAATACAGGATTTAATCTAGAGGGGAGATTGTGATCTTGCCTTACATGTGACTCAGTGACTTCTCAGTCTGCTGGTTCAAAATGGTTTACAATTAGTTTCCAAAACTCAGAGGGAGACTGTTTAAATTTGGGAGAGTGCAGTGTAGCCAGTTGCTTGCAGGGGGCCCTAAACCTGGAAGTTACAACTCTAGCACCCTCAGTGGCTAAAAATTACAAAGTGTTCCTTTATGCAATAAAGGTATATGTTTGTATGATACAAAAATCTGAACCTTCTAATGAACATTGCAACAACTTCCTCTTTAACCTTTAAACTGCTTTATTTTATTTTATTTAAGTAAAACAAACCTGAAGGATTCGGTCGAAGGGTTTCAGGCCAGCTTCTTCAGCTGGTCCTTCTGGCCTAATCATGTTGACATAAACTCCCTTTTCCAGGAGCCCATCCGACACACTAAAACCAAAGTCATGGCTTTCAGGATCCTTCCTTAGACACACCTGCAGACAAGGAACAATTTTGTTTGCACACAAATATAGAAAAGTGCTGAGAATTTTTATTTTTAAAGTGTCTCTTTTGTATTTTACAAGATTTGATTATAGAATCCACGGAACAGTACAGCTACTACCTGGAAACCAGACTAAATGGTTGCCCTGGATTTGCACAGGTTATTCTATTTAGCCTTTATGTAAACACTTAGTTATAGTAACCAGAACTTTATGTATTCATATCATTTGTTTCTCTTTGGTTTCCGGTAACAGTGCCAGCAGATTTATCCATGACCAAACACACACACACAAAAAAAAAAAAAACAGCTTTAACAGGGCATCAAATACTTTCCATAATATGAGAAAAGTTGTGTAAACTCTAAATAGTGTTATTACTCCGTGGTTGCCAGTCATGGGTTCGTTTATTGGTAGCTAAACACAGCCCCAGGAAGGCAGCAACAGGTGTGTGAGGAAAATTTGAGAACATTATGTGCGTGGAGATCTAAAGTATGAATACAGTTTTTCAAGCGCATGTTGAGACAAGGCATGAATCCACATAGTTCAGTTACCTTAAAAACTGTTAGCCAGCATCTGTAGGTGTGGCTTGTTTACATTAGAGCCTCAAGTCATGGTGGATTTAAAGTAATCTTATTTTAAAAAGGTACATTTGCATTCAACACAGGAGATGATTCATAGAACAGACTCGTACAAACTTGCTGGCATCCTGCTCGAGATAATAGGGGAGGTTGGAGATGAAAAGCCTTGAAATATCCCTAACTGTAGCAGAATAACCACTCTCTAAACAATTTTAAACAAAATCAGCCTTTAGGCTAAAAAGGCACAACTATTGGTACTTTGGATACCACATAGGTACAAAACCCTTAGGGCATCACTGATATCCATGCAATAACACTTCTTCAGGTCCTTGGAAATCCATCATGCATATTCAGCTCAGCTCATGCTTTTCAGGAGGATGCGGACCTTCAGACAGATAAATGTAAAATGTATTTGTTTATGTATTGTGTGTTTCAGTTAGCTCCATGTTATTTAAAAGCGTGGCAATAAAAAAAACAAATTTTTGATGAAGTATGCCAATGCTGGTTTCTGTCAGCGTCTTTGAATATGACTATGGTGTCTTATTAACCCATGATATATAGTGTATAGATACACACAAAAGAAATAAATCACCACCACTACTACCTGCACACTTTTGGTAGGTGTGCAAAGGTTAAGATTTAAGGAATACTTTTCCAGTGGAAATTCTATTGCAACTATGTTGAATTGTTTGTAATTTGTAAAACTGAAAGTATTTGTTGGGAAAAAAAAAAAAAAAAAACAAAGAAAAGAAAATGTTGGGTGCGGAGCCTTTCAGTCCATCCCAGCGAAACTGTAGATGTTGCAGCTACATTTAATTGACTGTGGACTCTTAAAAGGCAGGAAAAGGCCTTTTGATGGCTTAATTTTATTGAACTATTTTATTATGTCTTATCTTTTTTTTATCAGCATTTTATTTTAATTGTTTCAATACTTTACAGGGCTCTGATAATTCCGTCTTTGACAAGGTGCTTTACAAATACATGTTAGTTAAAAAAAATTTTTGCCGACCCATTTTAGAAATAAAGCCCCCTCCTTTAAAGGATTTATGAAGTACATGTTTAGGGCCCAGGAAGACAGAAACTGGTAGGGTAAAAATTTGATTTTCATACACATTTTGAGCAATTTAAATAAAATTGTCATTTCCATTACTTTGAGATTTTTAGGTGTGCTGGTAGTACTTGCAGAAGTCACTTTGATAAAAAATACATCAACCTATTCTTAAAGCTTAATTTCGTCCAAGTTTATTCTACTGCAGTAAATTCCATAGATCCTATAAAGCCAATCAGAGAAGTTAATATAAATTAAGCATATTTCTCCCCAGTAACTGTTGATTTTACATTCACCTTCTGTAGAGTCAAAGCTGCAGGAGACAGAATGTCAGCTGCTTCCCCTTTGGCCCTGGATGACCCATCTCTGGCTCTGGTAGACAGGTTCAGGCTTTTGTTTTTTGACCCATTGTGGATTCCTTCTTTTTTTATTGGACTAATCTCAGAGAGAAACATTGAGTCTTCACTGGTCTTGGTCTCCTCCAAGTAAAGGCTAAGAGTGCTGCCCGTCATAGAAGCCTAAAAGAGTTAATATATATACAGGAATTAATTCAACATTAAGTTGCAGAGCAGAAAAAAAAACAAAACAAACAAAAAACAGTCATTTGAATCATGCACACATATTCTCTGATGTGGTCTGGTATACAGATTAGGTCAATCTGGCAGCAGGTGCCCGGCTTTTCTTGTCAGATATAATAAGAGATTATACATTGATGGTTATTATGCTTCGTCTGGCATGTTCCCTTAAGCCTAGATAAGTCTGAGGAATCAGAAGGACAAAGAAGAAGGAGGCCACCTACTTCTAGGTCCCTGAGAATCCCAGATTGGCCACAGGTCTCAAGGTCCTGCAGAGCCTGGGACCAGAAGCTGTCATCCTTGTTCAGTGAGCCATGGCAGCGAGGGGGGCTGATGAATCTATGACAGTGCAGGAACCAGAACATAAGAGCAGCCCTGAAGTCTGGAGGTGACTGCTGCTAAGAAAGGCAGCATGGGAAACTCACGTTTGTTTTGGCTGCTAAACTGGAGAGCCCAACCATTAAAAAATAAAAAAAAAGGATTTTTTTTTTTCACTGTAATCTGACCCAAAGGCTTAACTAGATTGAGTCCCACTAGATGGAAAAAAAAAAGAAGAAGAAAAAAAAGCAGGAAACAAATGCAACAAGTTCATAATGATCAAGCTTGTGGAGACATGAGGCAGATGTTTCCTTAAGTCTTTAAGTTGCTTTCAGAGGAAAATGGATAAGGGTGACAGGACATCTGTAACACCAGAGAGCTTGCGGACAGTTAATAAAGCAGATCAGAGAAAGAATACCTGAGAAAGAAGAAGAAAAAAAAAGGGACAGTTTGGAAAAGAACAAAACATGAAAACACACATACCAAAATAACAACAGGTGCAAAGAGAATCTCTTGACAAAACACAGCAGGACCAACATGTTTAAACAAAGAACACAGTTCTGATCAGACTTTCTTGAATTAGAAAATGTTTCATAAACAATTAGTGTACTAGCAAACTGCAGGACTGCTTCATAAACAATTAGTGTACTAGCAAACTGCAGGACTGCTTCAATCATATATTTTGGATGCACACATTTTCATATTTTGAATTTAACCATTGTTTATAGTGAGTATATCTCTATGGTGATAATAGAGGTCAATCGTCGTTCATGAACTGGTAAACGGTTAATGTTGTTTACTTCAACAGGTTTTTTTTTATCCCACCTGACAGGTTTAAAACTGGATTTTAACCGACAAAAACACTGGGGAGATTTTCTTTAACAGGTTAGGTTAGAATAGATTATAGGGCTAGTGGCAGTTTTTACCTACACAATAGGAATCAGACTATGAAAACATTTTGCAACTCTCATCTTGGTTTTGTTTTTCATGAAGATCATATATCACTGTCCTTCCCATTCTTTGTGATGCAGACCTTTATTTGCAATGCCAGCTGTCTAACCAGTCGTATGCAGAATTTGATGGCGCTTCAAGTTTTTTCAGTTAACTTGATATCAAAATGCAGAGGTCTCATTTGAAAAAATTGATATGTGAAAAAAATTTACCAAACTTGTCAGCAACCAATTTCCTCTGTGATTTTTAACCTTTGGCATTCCACTGTTTCAATTACAAAACTACCCTGCTGCCCCTTCATTCTGGAAATCCTCCAACCATGCTTGAAACTCTTCAATCTAATCTCTTTGGTGATTTTAAATGGATCAGAACGACATTTGAATGTTTACATGATGCTGCTTATTCTTTGTGTGAACAAATGATTTCAATGTTACATGAACTAAACTTGTTCTGCATTTTTTTAGTCATACAGTCCACTCGGTGCATTTATACAACAATATTAGTCAAACTCATACAATTAAACAGGGATCAACTGGAAGGGAACTGGGGTTCTGTCTGCTCGCACTTGTCATTACCCAGACGACTGAGAATTTACACAAGAACTCATATCATTCACCAATATGCAGATAGGTATTGCAATGTGGAGGTAAGTCCTTCTGATGATGATATAAACATTCTACAGTAAGAAGCTGGACTCCAGCACACAGTTTTAGGACTTCTAGACAACTACTCCTCCCACTAAGCAGCTCAGTAGCTCATCTTAAAGTCATGTCAGCTTTTTAGTGAAGCTAAAACAAGACATCACATTTGAAACATGCCACAAGTCACGTTTGAGACAAGAAAAAAAACATGTGGCAAAAGGTAATCTGAGCAGATAAAAACATATTTCATATATTATTTACTCAAAACAACTGAAAGGTATAGACCTGCCCTCAGATCCTGCAGAGGAAATTTAAATATTATGAAATCCATATCAGCAATAAAACGATTATTTTTTTATGGAAAATATATATAAAGGAACAAAACAAGTTGAACAAGCATTGTTTAATAACCTCAGAAGAAGAGGAAATCTCGATAATTTCTAATGTAACCTCTAAACTCAGGACTCACCCAGGTATCTTGTCCCACTCATCTTCGTTGAATCCCCCATCATACAGCCCAGCTTGTAGCCCCAAACCTCCAGAGCTGGAGGTGGTGTGGCCTCTAAGCTTTGGCCGCCTCCAGTCAAATGGATTCAGGAGTAAATCAGAGGTTTTATGCAGATATGTCCCTAAAAGCAAATGAGAAAAATCATTTTCTCTCAGAGTTATAGTAAGTCTCTTCTGATACAAACATTCTCTTTTACATAAAAGTTGCTCAGATAAAACAAGTGTTAATCTCCAAAAAGGATAACCTCAGTAAAGACTAAACGCATGTCATCAGTGGATTTCATTTAATAAAATTCAAGCCAAATAACTTCCTGTTAAACCTAACTTGTTGAACCATCAAGCAACCTGATAACCATCCTTTATATCACTGCAGGAATGTTTAACCCCTCACCTTAAATTGTTTTTAATCTGCAACACTGGAAGATTTTCGAACTTGAATATGTCTGATTTAAAGAACCCAGAAGTCATTTGAAAATATTTAGACACTCAGAAATTAACCTGCTGAAGTGCTTTAAAAAATTTTTCTGTCCAAATGTGTTTAGTTTAAAGTCCCAATCTGATGACAGAAGAGTCTGTTCTGTGGGTACCATGATACCTACGGTGGGCCAGGGGTGTCAGGTCAAAAACAAAAGCCAAAACACACACAAAAAAGTCACAATGGAAATACAAAGGTTTTGTCTTTAGTTTTTGTGTTCCATCATTTGTTTTTGACTCGGCACCTCTGGGCCACCGTTAATTCCTGCTTTTGGCAAATACAGCAACTCATCAAAGTGCTGCAGCAGAACTACAGCTTCAGACCAACTCATTAATGTAATGTAGACTGCTTGTGTGTGTATATATATATATATATATATATATATATATATTTTTTTTTTTTTTATATATCTCTATATCTCTCTCTATATATATATTTATATATCTCTATATTTTTATATATCTCTATATCTACAGGTGCTGGTCATAAAATTAGAATATCATGAAAAAGTAGATTGATTTCAGTAATTCCATTTAAAAAGTGAAACTTGTATATTATATTCATACATTACATACAAACTCATATATTTCAGATGTTTATTTTGTTTAATTTTGATGATTACAAATGACAACAAATGAAAATCTCAAATTCATCATATCAGAAAATTAGAATATTGTGAAAAGGTTCAAAATTGATGGCCCCTGGTGCCACACTCTAATCAGCTAATTAACTCAAACCACCTGCAAAAGCCTTTAAATGGTCTTTCAGTCTAGTTCTATAGGCTACACAATCATGGGGAAGACTGCTGACTTGACAGTTGTCCAAAAGACGACCATCGACACCTTGCACAAGGAGGGCAAGACACAAAAGGTCATCGCTAAAGAGGCTGGCTGTTCACAGAGCTCAGTGTCCAAGCACATTAATAGAGAGGCGAAGGGAAGGAAAAGATGTGGTCGAAAAAAGTGTACAAGCAAGAGAGATAACCGCACCCTGGAGAGGATTGTGAAACAAAACCCATTCAAAAATGTGGGGGAGATTCACAAAGAGTGGACTGCAGCTGGAGTGAGTGCTTCAAGAACCACCACACACAGACGTATGAAAGACATGGGTTTCTGCTGTCGCATTCCTTGTGTCAAGCCACTCTTGAACCACAGACAGCGTCAGAAGCGTCTTGCCTGGGCTAAAGAGAAACAGGACTGGACTGCTGGTGAGTGGTCCAAAGTCATGTTCTCTGATGAAAGTAAATTTTGCATTTCCTTTGGAAATCAAGGTCCCAGAGTCTGGAGGAAAAGAAGAGAGGCACTTCATCCACGTTGCTTGAAGTCCAGTGTAAAGCTTCCACAGTCAGTGATGGTTTGGGGTGCCATGTCATCTGCTGGTGTTGGTCCATTGTGTTTTCTGAGGTCCAGGGTCAACGCAGCCACATACCAGGAAGTTTTAGAGCACTTCATGCTTCCTGCAGCTGACCAACTTTTTGGAGATGCAGATTTCATTTTCCAACAGGACTTGGCACCTGCACACAGTGCCAAAGCTACCAGTACCTGGTTGAAGGACCATGGTATCCCTGTTCTTAATTGGCCAGCAAACTCTCCTGACCTTAACCCCATAGAAAATCTATGGGGTATTGTGAAGAAGAAGATGCAATACACCAGACCCAACAATTCAGAAGAGCTAAAAGCCACTATTAGAGCAACCTGGGCTATCATAACACCTGAGCAGTGCCACAGACTGATCGACTCCATGCCACGCCGCATTGCTGCAGTAATACAGGCCAAAGGAGGCCCAACTAAATACTGAGTGCTGTACATGCTCATACTTTTCATGTTCATACTTTTCAGTTGGCCAACATTTCTATAAATCCTTTGTTTTTATTGGTCTTCAGTAATATTCTAATTTTCTGATATGATGAATTTGAGATTTTCATTTGTTGTCATTTGTAATCATCAAAATTAAACAAAATAAACATCTGAAATATATGAGTTTGTATGTAATGTATGAATATAATATACAAGTTTCACTTTTTAAATGGAATTACTGAAATCAATCTACTTTTTCATGATATTCTACTTTTATGACCAGCACCTGTATATATATATATATTTTTTTTTTTTTTTTTTTTATCTGTTTTATGACACATAAAACATGCTTTAATGAAGCATATATCTGTAAAAGGTTTCACTTGTCTAAACACAAAAGGATTTCAAACAAAATGTTTTTGGTATCTATTAGTGTGTTTTTGTCAAATGACAAATCTGTCTTGTGTTATTTTATTTGTTTTGCCAGCAGTAGCTTTGGACTCTCATTTTCAAACAGCCTCTTTGGAAGTAATCAAGCCATGATATGACTAATAAAATCATACCAGAGAAAACGTGGTGAATCAGAAACTGATGTATTAAGCAAAGTCCTCCGTTGAAACCTGCTTTTTGGTTTTATTCAGTTTATCTCTAATAACAATCATTCTATTATATGAAACTTATAATTATGATATGACATAAAACAAAAGATAATCCAATAAAGGAGCAAATACTTTTTAGTTCCTTTTAGCAAAAGAAACAGTACTGAGTCCTTTCTAGCCTGTGAGCTCAGGGCCCCACCTTGACTAATGTAGCCTGCATCAAATGCTGTGCTGTCCCAGGAGCTCATAGCAGAGTCTATGCTGGGAACAGTGGCCGAGTAGGCCTCGGAGAGTTTACTGGTTTTTTGGGAGTCGGTTAGCTCATCCTCCGGATCACTTAGAAAGCCCGGTTCTCTGTCTGGTTGTCGCCGACAGCCGGATGCTGAAAGCAAACAGAGCAAAGGGTTAGTACTTGAGGGAAGGCGTTACATTTTTCATTCTCAGAGCAGATTTTTTTTTAAACTTCCAAAATTAAATTATCTTATTTGTCCTATTTCCTTTTTAGTGACTTATGTTTACTTAAAGCTGAGGTTGTTTTGTATATTTTTAACTTTAATTTAGAGTAAAATTTCTTATGACCAGCAAGTTTTAAAGGCAGTGCTATAGGTAACCGCCTGGGATCTGGGCAGCCAGGTAACCTGTGGGAACCTGGCAAGCCATATCAATGCGCCGTTCTGCCAAATGGCAGCTTTCTGTGGCACGAACGGTTGTACTGAAACTGAAATTTGATTGCAATGTAAATAGTTGACAAGAAGTTTGATTGTAATACACTGCAAAAACATATCTTAAAATAAATAAAAAATTGACCCTGTTAAAAAGATATTTTCGCCAATGGATTCAGTATGTTTGCCCTTTAAATAAGATATTAGGTACTTAAAAATTAGAGTTGTTTTTTGTTATTTTAAATGTAAATCAAATTCCCCTGGTAATTTTTACCAACTTACTCAACAGAAGTTAAAATAGACTTATTTTAAGAAAAAAAAGACTTGCTTATATATCAGTTTTTGCAGTGTAGATAAGTGAAAGGAAAAAAAATGTACAAAAAAAAAAATAAACCTTTATAAAGGATATAAAAGGGATTTATACCCCTTAATTTCAGTTTTCTTTCTATTCTAGCCATTTGCAAACTAAACCATTAGTTTGAAAGTAAAATTTTCAGAGTTGATATATACGGTCAGCTTGTTTTTTGATCTTGAGGGTGACTGACTCCCCGGCCATCTGCAGCAGATGGATAGCCTCGCTCAGAGGCTTCCCTTTAAGGCTGACCCCGTTGATGGCTAGGACTCTATCCCCCATGTGGATGGCCCCAGTCCTGCAGAGACAGGAAGACAGTGCAGAAAGAGTTAGCAGATTATACCAGACAGTAACAACAGGGCCAGTTCAGGGCTCCTGTCAAACTGCCAGTGATTGGACTGAGATAGAAACAAAGAGGCCTCTTGTTGTTGAAAGAAAGCAGACAGCCATTGTTTAAGCGCTTCATTGATTATTAAAAGGAAAAAGGCTTCACATGTTCTTAAGCGTGCTCTTTGCTCACCTCTCAGCCAGACCTTTCTTGGTGAGGCCAGAGATGACGATAGGGTCAAAAGGTTCCTCTGTGCCAGATATTGTAATGCCCAGGGGTCCGTTAAACCTCTTCAGTTCAACTGTGTAGATGATTGAGCCTGACATTTCCAGCTCATCTACAACAAAAAGCATTCAGGAGCATAAAATATATGCAATAAATTCCTTGAAAATGCATAGTAAAATACTGAAGCATCACAGATACAAATTGTTTGCTTTTTTTTAGGACACCTTCGCAAGACTTTTACATATTTATTGCCGAGCCATAACTCTTTATACCAATTAGTTTGGAAGAAGACCAATGCTGGTAGCTCCATTTCCTGTGTAGGAAAACCTCTAAGAATAATAAAGACTACAGTCCTAACTTGACCACGAAAAAGCATTACACCTTGGTTATACAGTGCATTGCTGAAGCACTCATTTTTCTTGCATATCTTATGCATTTTAAAACACAAAGTTTGATGGTTTCTATTGTAATTTTTTGTGGGATAGTAACACAAAGGGCAATGAAGACGTAGGAAAGTGATGAATGGTTTCCAATATTGATTACAAAGAATACCATCTGTACCCCTTTACACCATAATTTTATTGTTGTATTTTTTACTTGTGTTGCATTGTTTTTGCACATTAATGCATTATGGAAGCATACTAAGTCATGTACCAATGTTGTCCTCGTCCTTCTGGATCCGCAATTTGACCATGTCTTCAGCCTGCTGTAGGACGCTCATGGCATCCTCCATGGAACAGTTATCCAGACGCACGGAGTCGATGGCCAGCAGACGGTCTCCAGGCTCCAGAGTGCCTGTTCTAGCAGACAGAACCAAGAGCAAGATGATCCCAACTATTAACCTGGACCTAAAGAGGCAGCAGCAGAATCCTCTTAGCCCCGGCGTCACAGTGGGATCTGTGGGGGTGACCATAACCTCATCCTAAACCTAATCGACCCAGAGTCTTTCTAAAATGTAGCTGCCCTACTGATCTAGTTATGATTACTCAATCCTATTAGGCTTGTTACACAGCAGACACAGATATGCGTTGTCCACCAGCGAGCCTGTGTAAACCTTGAGGAAGATTACCTCTGATGTGACCTAGCAGTGCTGAGGGAAATATAAATATGTCGGCTCTGCATGATCAAACCCACCTGTGTGCTATGCTTCCTTTCCTGATGTCTGAGATGATGAGGGGCTTGCCAGGTTTCTTACTTGCTGGAAAAAAAAAAAAAAAAGAAAAAATATATTTGAACAGAGCAATCTTTAAACATTGTTATTTTGTGTTTGTTTCTCTTGCATCTGGCATCCACTGTTATTTCAAAAGTTAGAGCCGAAAGGCTAATGAAAGATATGGATGCAGAGCAGTAATGTTCACAGGCAGACGTGTCAAGTAACAAAGTACAAATACTTCTTTACTGTTCTTAAGTACACTTTTTAGGTATATATGCACTTTACTCCATTACTTATTTTTCTTCCTACTTCTCACTTCATCTTATTATATATTCACACAAGCGTCTGTACTTCCTATTCCTTACATTTTTAAAACCAACGTTACTCGTTACTCTTGGCTTCAGTTTAATGTTTATAAATATTTATTTCACGTCATGTGTGCCATCCAATGCAGATCATTGGCTCCATCCACATCTAGTGAAAAGTAATGTAATTGGATGAGTCATATAACGCAAACACTCATTGGTTAGCTAAAGGAAATCATCAGAAGCAAGCAGGTGTTCTTCAAACTGCAAACGTGAATCGTCTATGCAATGCTACAATGTGGGATTCAGAAAAAGATGTTGAAATGTCTGAAAGGTCGGACACAGGTGAGAGCGTATCGGGAGATGGAGACCAACAAGACCTCCCTCATCCTTGGCCCTATCTCAAATAATTTTTTGAAATAGTCAAAAAATTGAGCTTTCAATTCATATAGTTGCCTTTAAAGGTTACCTTATACTTTTATACTTTCAGTAGTTTAAGGAGCACATACTTTTTCACTTTTACTTGAGTAAAGAGGTCAAGTTGATACTTCAACTTTTACCAGAGTGTTTTTAAACTGCAGTATCTATACTTCTAGTTAAGTAACAAAAGTGTGTACTTTTGACACCACTGTTCACAGGTAATAAGGTATGTGTCTTTATGTTTTCAGGATCAGAGGATCCCGATTCCACAACATGTTAAGTTTTATTGAGCAACACTGCCCTCTGCTGGCAGTATTGCACACTTACCGCTGATAGTGATGCCCAACTCCACTCCCCTCCGCTTGGGCAATTTAACATGGAAGGTGCCGCTGCTTGGAACCACAGACTCTACAATTCAGGAAAACGGAAAATAATATAACTAAAAGGTAAAGATTCACAATAACTTTAATTTGACTGACAAAAAAATTTAAAAATTAAAAACTTTTAAGTTATACCTGCGACATCAAACTCAACCTCCACTGTAACCTTGTTTGCCAGAGCAGAGTCTCTGAGCAGCTGATGAGCTTCTTCCAGAGTTCCATCCTCAGTCGGGATCCCATTGATGGACAACATTCTGTCTCCAACCTGCAACAGCCCACACCTTTGCAGCAAAAAAATAAAAAGGAAATGTATTCATAAATAAAGATATAGAAAATTAGATTAAAAAAATAAATTAAATAAAAACAGTAAGAGAAAAAAAAACTGAAAAAACAAAAGCTTAGGCATAAAAAATATACAAGTTAAGAGATTGCTTTTTTTTTCTCAAGATACAAAATAAAAACAAAAACAGACATGAAAAAAGAAAGTACGTACAACATAAAATGGGTTTATTTCTGTATAGGCATTTGTTTCTTTGCATAAAAACAGATATATAATTATTTGTAGCAGTAGTAGGTGGATTAAATGTGTTGACAGTAGTTTAGCATAAAAGGAGACATATCTGTAAAACTTTATAATTAATTTTTAAAAATAAAATATCTAATTAACTTGGTTAATAATTTCAAATACCCTCTTTGGAAAACACTAAGGTTTAAAGCATTTTTCTCCATCTTCCGTCAGCAACAATATACACCACACTTTATTCTAGTTTGACTATTAATAAAAATCTTAGTTCTTTTGAACAGAGTACGAGTTTTTTTAAATCTAAAAGGAATGAATCAAATTATTTAGGATTTTATTTACCCTTTTTAGAGCCCTTGAGTTTTTTGTCCTGTCTCCTCCAACAACAGGAGAAAAGGTTTACCAAAGTTAACTGACAAAAGAGTGATGCTGATAAACTTGGCCAGACTTTCGCCAATGCAATCTGGTATCCACAAGCAGGTCCAACCCTGCATACAAGAGCAGTTGTCAAAAACAGCATGGATAAAATCAATTCTAGCACCGCAAGCTTGACTTTTTGGATGGGCTTTAAAAGTTCTCTTACCAAATGAAACCCATATGGAGGAGAGAGGAGACATATAAATGTTAAAACTATTAAGGAGACACCAAACTGCACAGGAAAACATTAAAATGCCATCAACTGATATGAATTCACTAAAAACTGCATCTCGTTGACCTTGCATGGAGGCTTAAACACTAAAATCACAGTAGGCTGCTGTAGTCGAGTCACTGTTATCAAACTGCCTCTGGACTAATCATGTTACAGACTCAGGGGACATGGCCCACACTGCCGAAACACACATCATCATCATTACTCTTGTAGGACACACATTATAAACTGTCCTCGTTTAGGCTGCCTGCTATTTACGGTGTAACATGCACTGCCTTTGATCATGTGGTTACATCAAATCACTATGTTTTTAATACATGACTGATTTATTCATCTTCTAACCAACACAGAACCCAGTAAAACCCCTACAGCATTGACCATGAACTGGTCACACCTTCTGATATTCATATTAGGGTGTATTTAGTGTAACAAAATAGACAAAAAAAATCCCTGGATGCACAACTACTGGTACCCTAAAAAACCCTTCAGAAATAACCCTAACTGCAGCATTTTTAGACTTCATGGTTTACTTTTTAAGTCTTAGAGGCTTATTGGTTATCCAGGATTATCTGTGAAAATCCAGGATAATGAGTAGGAGAACCGTTTCGGTTTAGATGGAAATTAAAGATGAATATTTGAGTAAATCTTATTGTATGTTTAAGTATTTTACACAGGAATCTTTGATGCTGTGGGCCAGTTTCTGCTCCAAAGGGCATAGGATCCATATTAGACTGTATGACATAAGGAAGTTTTTACACTCCTAGACCATCTAAAAGTGTGTTGGCTTCTTCCCTAGCCACCTTAGAGCCTAGAATTAAATCCTGCAGAAATGCTGTGCATCATCTGAGGGGATATCTGTGGAGGATACAGATAGATTGTGCAAAAATAAATGGTCAAAGTCTCACTGTTTGAGCAGACCATGGAAAATTTGAGTGAAAATGAAAACTATGCACATTTCTGTTAGCAGAAGGAGTTAGAGATCAGAAGGAGTGGGGTGCATATTTATGCTTTTATTGCAAGTAATTGTATAACTTTTTTTAGCAATTCAATAGAAGTGTTTAAATGTACAATATGCTACTGCAATTAGATATTAATGTTAAGACACTTTAAAAAATTAGGCTGCCAAAGGTGGCAAATGCATGCATTCTTTCTATAATAAATAATACTAAAATGAGAGAAAACAACTTGGCCAAAAACTGCTGAATGATTATGGTAAATATTCCAGAGCAGAACCCAAGCAGATGATTCATCCCATTAGATTTATCATCTCCCTGACGCACACTGCAACTTATGTTTCAATGAATCATTGTTGTCAAGACTAAAATAAGACATTGTTTTGCTTCAGTAGGGCTCAGTGCTCCTGTTATCACCTCCTTGTTGTACACCATGTGTATGTAAAAGACATAACAAGGTATCACCAGATTATTACAGAATGGATTATGACCCGTTTTATTTTCCAGTCCTGATCTAAACTTGGAAAAGAATAGAAACAAATTATGTGCATTCATTCTTTCACATTTAAAAATAATCTCCACTTTCAGAACCTCTTCTCACTTTAGATATTTTCATAAATACCTTATCGATCATAATTAGTTAGTGTTAATTTGAGTTTTATTCTAATGATATTCTTTAATTCCATTTTATTTTGCATGAAAAGACTGTATATCATAAGGGGTTTTTTGGTAAACAAACCAAATAAGATGAAAAAGTTCAATTCAATGGCTATTTATTTTAAACTAATTGTGAATATGGCCATTTTCAAACAATTCAGAATAAACAAACTGAACAAAAAAAAAAAAAAGGCAAAAGAACCCTCACTGTGCAGCACTCTTCAGGAGAAGAATGAGAGCTACTGACACCCGTCATACATTTGTTCTACCTTCATCTCACCCAAATTGCTCCACTGGAGGCAATAAGGCCCTGAAAGTTGAATTCTTCTATTCTATTCTTATACTCCATTATATTCACTCCAATTTAAAACAAGCACGAACATGGATTTTTTTTAATCCAAGAAAAAGATTGCTGTCCAACTCAATAGTAGACAAGCCTAATATATAGATTTTTATAACAGCCATTCTGACTGTGTTCAAGGGAAATAGGCACATTTTCCTTTAAACATTTTCCTTTAAACATCTAAATGCAGATGTCCTCTTTAGAGCTCTTGAGCACTCGAGGCAGGCTGTGACATACAGGCATAAAGACATTCAGTCACGTAGAATACTTCTCCGCTTCATTTGGAAAACCTACAGATTGCTCTGGGCTTTACACTAACAGCAGCAAACTCAGAGCTTCCAAATGTCATAAAAGCATGAAAATGTCCCAATATGATTCAAAATGTTGCATCTTATTTGTGCTCTCTAATCTTTTAGCATCTTAACATAGAATGAGGACTGATTGAGTCGCTATCCAATTAGGAGAAAAGTTATTCCAAAGAAACCTTTTTTGTACCATGACTGTTCTTATTTATTGTTATATAAAACCTTGGTTATCAAAGTAAAAGAAGAAAAAAACAAAAACAAACAAAACAACAAGCACAATATTGATCTAACTTTCTGTACAATTGCATTTTGCCTCAGGAAAACATAATGATGTAGACTTATTGCAAAATACTGCAATGACTTGTTGGCTGCAATTAATCCACATTTTTATTTGCTGTGTTTCATCACCGCAACATTCCCACTGCTTTTGTTGCAAGTTTAAAAGATGCAACCAAGATGATCTAAACAGGTCCTGGCATCATGGAGAGTAATGGTAACTTCTCTGGGCAAATTTGCATTATTTGCATGCAGTGCATTTCAAAACCACCCACAAGCCTTGAACCTTTTTTACTTTGTCAGATTATAACCTCTTACTCCCATGTGTGTCATCCGGATGTTATTAATCAAACACAACAAAGTGGCTCTTATTGTTAAGAGTAAAGGAAAAGCCACTATTTAAAAGTTCTTTTTAAACCCCCCCCCCCCCCCCCCCCCCCCCCAAATTCCTAATAACTTCATACGCGTTTCTTATAAAAAGAGCTTTCTTCCAGATGCTCTTGCATAAAGGCCAAATTTATGCAGTGTACAACACAAATCCATGCCAAACTTTCTAGATTTCTCCATTAAAAATAACTTAATGTGCTATCTCTTTGCATTGATTCTTTTTGTTGTATTATTACATACATTCCTCAATAAAATACATTTACGATTGTGGATATAAACTGACTAAATCTAATGTACTGTAGTGTGTGTGTGCATTTTGCTAGCCATCATCAGTCAATCATCTAAAATTGAAACATTCTTATCAGTGACAGTTTTAATTTTGCTTTTTTAAATCAGTAAGGAAACCAGAGCAAATTTCTCACAGGTTTGTTGAATCATTGGCACTGACGCCCTTCTGGTAAAGGTGAACATGTTTGCTGCATGATTTCTGGTTAGGTGTCTTAATGGGTTACCTCTCAGCTGGGCTTTCGGGCTCTATAAAGCGGATGACCGGGGGAGCGGACAGCGTTTCTGTTGCAAACACCCCCCCTTGCAGCTGGATCCCAAATCCTGTGAGTGGATCTCCCCTAAGGAGGATTTCACTTGTTTCCACATGAAAAATCTGCCCCCCAGGACCGACGGAGCTGGAGGTCAGAGACACTAAAAAGGGGAGAATTGATGGGACACATCAGGGAGAGAGAGATCAGTGGAAATGTGGCAGATAGAGCAAAAGGGAGGAACCATTTGTGATGATTTGAGAGGGTGAGGAAAAAAGACAGTCGCCCACTGGCAAGAACGGCATGGGAATGGAAAGGGAATGAGTCACAGTCACGCATGCGACAACTATCAGTCAAATCTATTCTCACACAGAGGCTCAGGTTACTAGGATAAATCCGCTTTCACACCTCTGTGTAGGCACTTCAAGGCTCTGAACCCAAAAATATACCGACAACGTGAGCCGACAGCTGACTGAAATTAGATTCAATGAATGACTGTTAAATTACTCCATGACCCATTAAACTGACGAGGGAGTGGATACTACAAGTGCAGGAGTGGATTTAAACATGTCAATCTTTGTGTTCAGAAATAGTCACTATTTTGTGCTTCAAATCAAATAAGAGAGGATAAATATATTTAGAAATGTTCATCATCTAAAACATTTAAAATAAAACATGATATTGGAATTTAGAGTCAACTTGGCATATGATTAAATGGAATCCACTTCATATTAATCTTAATGGCTAAAGCTAATCATGATCGCTTTGAAAAGGTACTTATTACCTCACAGATTTTGTTTTCTTAAATGCTTCAGATCAAACTGTTAATGTCAGGCAAAGGCAACCTGAGTAAATGCCAAAGTTGTATTCATACATTTTTTAAGAACCAACTATGATTAACTGCATTCTTCTAAATTGTTGGGTACAGTTATATTAGCAGCTAAACCCAGCTTTGATTACCACCAGCCAAATTTAAAGGCTTTAATCCAATCTGACAAACAGAAATAAGATAAAAACGCTCTAGAAGTATCCAAATCGTTACAATAAGTGTGAGGTCAAATATGGCCCCTATGATAGGAAAAAAAAAAACATTTCCATGTGTACAGTAAAGAAAGTTTGTTTTGTTTTTGGTGGGACTATTCTGTTCACTGATAAGTTGGAAGTGAAACCTTATGAAAAGTGGGCCTCTAGCAATGTAAGGCTAAATGCCCACAGCATTTAAAAAACAAAAAACACATGGTCAGTCAAAAAGAGATTGTGCAGCTTTGCTACTATAGAATCAGGACCACTTCCCACAATCAGTGTGTTCTGGAATCCTGCGCTCTACTAGAAAATCCTTAAGGATCATTTCCAGCCATCAATTTCTGATATAAAGCCCAGGCGCATATGGATTTTTTTTTTTTTAGCAAAATAAATATATTTTAAAAAATATATCACAACATCAAGTTTACCTATAAATAGCTGAGATGGATAACCTTGTTTAAAGGTGTAATCAAAGTGGAGACTTGAATTCAACCTCTCATTTGTTGTTCATGTTTTGAAAACACCGCATGGCTGAATTAACACAATTCTGCAAAGACGAGGGGGCTAAAATTCCTCCACAGGGAAGATTCCAAGGGATAGGTTATTTTGGATAGTCTTTTTTTTTTTTTCACCTGTAAAAATTCTAATTGTGTTACATTTATTTTGTCCATCTTAGACCCATTGTCAACAGAAGAATTTCTAAATTCTGTAAAGGCACCATACCTTTTCAAAGCACTGCATTTTTTTGTTTTGAAAATACAAAATTGTCACAACCAACACCAAACTCTCTTGCTCTCACTAATGTTATTTTAACTCAAAAAGAGATTATTTGTCATACATGAGCTCTTGTGGTCCTTTTTCCTGATCCTCCTCTTCTCAGTGGAGTTACGAGGGCTGGTGGGGGCGATGGGAGCATTGGGGCAGGGCAGAGTGTTGCTACCTTGGCTGCTAAAGCCTGAGGTGGCTGTAGAGGAAGGGGAGAAACTGCCGCTCACAGCTGCTAGAAAAAAATAAAAAAGTGCATTACAAACTACATGAAATGGGCTGTTCCCATAGAAATACATCTGTAGCAGTAAAATGCAGCAAATCTATGAAAAGTGGTGACAACTGTTAGGGCAAACCTCATGGAGAGAGAATTTTATAACTGCTGTTAAGGATCTACCAAAACTGTCCTGCCAGCAGCACATCTGTCACAAGTGATTACGTACATTTGCAGTGGTCCTGCTGGTTGTGTGGGTGGCTTGGGCTGCTCCATGTCTTGCTGTGGCTGGCATGTGGGGGATGGCAGTAGTTGCTGCTTTGGTCCCAGTGATGATGGTTGCTTTTCTGTACTTTAACTGCAGCAAAGAGAAGAAAAAAAAACCTCATGCATTATTAAAATACGATGCAGTCATTTAGTGCATAATGTTAAAAATTCGATCAAACGGGAACCAACATGAATTGATTCTTAAGTCTCACTTTATACCAATGATCGGGGAATACATTAAAAGTAGTTTTTATATAATGTCTTCTATGCAACACACTAGACTGAATTGTGTTCATTAATTTACATTCACAGATTAGGAAAAACAGGCAGTTATTGAAAAGAATAGAAAGAACAAAAAAAAAATCTTACTTTTACTAGCCAGGCTCCAAAGAGCTGCTCTCAAACTAAAGATCATTTTGATCATTTCATTCTCACAAAGGGGGTGAAACTGCTGAACAAAGTCATGAAATCCAGCTCACTGACAGCTAAAGGGGATGTGACTTGTCCTTGATTGAGTACAGCTGAAGGCCTGATTGGTGTTAATGCAGAGTTTGTGTATCTGCGTCTAATTGGCAATTTGAAAAATACTTCATGTCAGTCTTTATCATCCCTAACCTCCTCAATAAACATTCAGCTATACATCTAATGTGGTTCCTTTGTTGAAGGGTTTCACTCTTCATTTAAAAACCTGAGCATTCTGTCAGACTGCATTCATAAAGCAATCAAAGAAAAAAAACAGCTGACCGACTGTCTGACACTTACCTCAGTACTTCCTCTCTTCCAGATTCAGACAGCTGTATCAGTCATTCAATGCTGAATTTGACAGTCATCCTTCTAATCTCTGACAGCTTGCCTGCCTGAATGAAGGACTTTCTGGAGAGGTTGCTGAATGGGGGATGTTTGCATTACTCGGGGACCCTGGTTAAATCCAATCATCTGCATTTAGACTATATGCAATAGAACCTCTAGCCCTTATCAAGAACCCAAGTTCTATATAACTCAAATCAGACTGAAAAGCCATGACTCTGCCAGCTTAAATTAAGCTCACCTAAGGCACTCTGTCCAAGATATATTGCTTTCAGTCTTAGTGGGTGGAAAGAAACATTTTCTCCTAATCTTGTGCCTGCTCTATCAGTCTCATTAAATCCCCTGAGCGGATTAAACTAATTGCATCTTTTAATCGTGCCTCCTACCAGAAAAATATGAGCTGTAAAAAATCTCTTGTGAAAATCAGTATTATTTATGTGCTGAGTTTTGGCCAAGGGAAATAATCAGAAAACTAGACTGTTACCATACCAGTTATCAAGAGAAACACACATTCATCATTTATCTGTAGTAGAACAGACTGAATTCTGTTTCCACAAAAATAAGTTCAAATTTACAATATAATCCTTATATATTATATCTTATATATATATTATATAATACTTGATAATATATTATTTAAATATGTGTGTTAAAATGAAAGCGAATCTTTCTCTTATTTATAATTTTCATTAGTAAAGATGAGTTTAAAAAAAACAATTCTAGAAAAAAAATCCTTAACCATATTATGCAGCAGGGGGAAATACATAAAAAAGCCAACAGCACACCCACCCATATAATATAGGAGGCGAAAAGTGTCTTATTTAGATGTATATTCTTTGCTGTACCCCAACCTCCAGATTCATTTGAACTTTGATTAATCAAATGCAATCAGCTGAAATTAAATACACAGAAATGTTTTGGCAACTCTTTCTGTTTGTAATGGTTGGACTACCCAACAACTGGTTTGCATGGCAATAGAACATGATAGCTGTCCTGGAGACCTTTTAACCCTCAGAGTTCCACTTTTTACTGCAGTTTTCTAAAAGTAAACTTTAAAGATTTTTTCCTATTTCTATTCTAAAGATTGATCTTTGTCTTACTTGGTGGCAGGTGGCTGATAAAATAGGCATCTGTGTCAAGTTATATTTATATGCCAGTGAAAGGGAAACATATCAGTTACTATTTAAAAGTTCATATTGACTTTGAATAACTTAAAAGAAGTAGTAATGCATAGATTTAAAAAAAAATGCTTTATTTCACAAAGATTGTGCAAAGAGCTGTGACAGCTATGATTTTGTAAATATCAGTAATTTTTCTGTGACATGGGAGGTTTTCCTCACTGAATACAATTGAAACCTGAATTTACAAAAATATGTAATTATCTAATCTATTTTATACATTATCATTATGCATAAATTGCAATAAAATTGTGGCTTATAAAATAATCAGGATTGCCGTAATTTCTGTTCAGATGTGTCACTACAACCAAAAATGGTGTGCACTAAAACATTACAGAAATGTCACATAAAGCATACATTTTTTTTATGACTTTTCTCTTTTCAGAAGAAGCAACGTTAAAAAGCTTCACAATCTACAACATTTTAATGACAACGATATTTAAGGCTAGATTCATTAAAAACGAAGAATAATGTACAGAAACACATTGAAGGAAATGGAATGTGTGAATTAATTATATGACTTCTTAGAATAAACAGCAGCACTTTTCCTTATGTTTAATTCCTCCTCTTGTGTGATCCTACACATGTATTTGTTCATGCAGAAGCAGATGTTCGTACAACGACTCAAAATAAAAAATAATGGTGCATATGGTGGGCAGGAACATATCTGACACAGAAAAGCTAAACTGTTTATTGTATGACATGCAAGTGTGCAACCAATGCAAGAGGCCATTGATATACAGAAAAAACATACACAGGAGGATTTAGACAGCCTGGACAAAGTAAGAAATGGCCTGATTATTAGGAAGGGAAATGCACACTTTTTTGAAGTGAATAGGCAACAGTTCTTTTCTAGGAGAATAAATCTGCAAGTTTATCTGTTTGTGTTGCATTTAATCTGCAAAACTTCTGAAGTTTGCAGATGAACCATTGTCTGATGCAGATCTGCATACTTGCAAGAGGTGGACTTATAGGTGTGCTCAACACCACCTGGATCTAAACCAGCTACGCTGGTAATGAGGGTGGACTTCTGAAATAGCAAAGACTGTTCTCCCTCTGGCAACTCAAGAAGTACAACATTCTACAGGAGCTTGAAGGCATCATCTACATCTCCGTCATTCAGTGTGTTATTGCACACATTCATCTTTGTGTGGTTTTCCTCATCTACAAAACACGACAGGTCCAAACTGCAAAAAACAATTAGGTCTATAGAGAGAATCATCAGGGACTTCCATTTATGACATGCATTTCTAGAGCTTAAAAACATAACATCTTTGTTAACCCCTGGCATCCTGCTTAGAGGCAACTTAAGCTTTTACCTTCAGGCTAGTGCTACAGAGCCCTGCAGGCAAAAACAAACGACCCAGAGACAAACTATTTCCCCAGACAGGCTCTGTTTAACACAATAAACACGTCACATATGTACAAACACTGTTAAAAACAGTTATGGTCTTTTTCACGATCCCAGCTTCCTATCCGACATTTATCTATTTATTCTAAAAAAAAAAAGGTGGTGTGCACAAGCATGCTTATGCATACTGCTATTACCCTTGATTTTTATCTTATTTTTTTAATCTATAAATTGTAGTAATTTGAAAAGTAAATTACAACACGATCGATGTAAATCCAAAGTAAGATTCCTTCTTCTACATAATAATGTGGCCAATAGTTTATTCTTATTCAGGTATTATACGTGCATTTTTTTAAATATATTTATTTATATATATATATTTATTTAGATAGTAGTATGATAAATCACTTTAACATCATTAACAGGAAAGATTTAAATAAAATAACTTTTCTTCTTTCTTAACAATTAATATTATATTTTACAGTGAGAATTTCTAAATATCTAAAAAGTATGAAACAGAAAAGTATGACAGCTGTTTTTTTAAAGCAGAAAAAATATTAAAAAAAAAACAATATGTATTTCTCAGTTAAAATACAGTAAAAATTTAACATTTGTAAATTCAAGTATATATTATATTATATATATAAGTACCGTAAGTAGTATATTCAAATGTAACCAGCTAAGCAAGTTAGACTTAAGTATTTCCATTTATTTATATTTATTGATAATAATAATAAAAAAAAAGATTTCATCTAAAATGTCCCTGCAGGGAATACCTGTGTCTTGTGGTCGGATGGGAAGTCTGCTCTGACTGGCTGGAAGAATCTCAAGTTTGAGAGTGTCAGAGGTGCTGGCCAGCAGCTGTGTGGCCTCCATCAGGGAGCAGTGCTCAGTATTTGTCCCATCTATGGACAGCAGGATGTCTCCCACGTGAAGTGCTCCACATCTGAAAGTAAGACAGAAGCTGAGGCTCTGTTGAAATGTCTCCTCTTGTTCTTATGGAACATTCAAAGCATTTTGCTTCACCTTTCTGCCACACTTGCTGGCTTTATCTTGTCGATAATGATGACTTGCTTGCTTCTATATATTGTTGTTGTGAGGCTGATCCCCAGGCTAGCTGAAGAACCTTTCACTATTTCCACCAGCAGAGGGCCTGAGGCCTGCTGCACTGCCTCTGAAACAGATAACACAGGCATGCAGAACATCACACAGGCCTACTGACTCTAAATCATCAATTTCATTCTCATTCACATTTCCATTTTTATCGAGCATATGTAACAGGAGTTACAGCATTTCATTTGGCATTCAATAAAGTATTTTTTAATTTGAATTGAATTTGAATATGCACATTACAGTTTCCAGTTAGAAAGGGTTAGGGTTAATAATAGCTGCCTGACCAGAAGTTGACTAAATAAATATTTAATGACTTCTTGAAACAGACAATAAGGTAGAAAAGAAACCATGTAATTGTAAAACATTAGTATCAAAGATGTTTTGTGTTGTTGTATTTAGATTTTAATAAAGGGGCTTTGAGGACTTGGGATCCCACTTCTAAACATAATAATAATAATAATTAACAATTATTATTATAATTATTATAGGTAAGTTGTTCTCAGTTCCTCATTAAATAACTTTTTTTGTCTTTACTACATTTTGTGTTTTGGATTCTCCTTCAACTTCAAAATTTTTACTATGAGAAATGCTTATAAGGAATTACTTAAACTTTTTTCTGTTTGACTGCCTAAAAGCAAAGCATTTTTTTTTATGAATAAGCAGTTATAATTTGCAAAGAAAAAGAAAAAATGTTTTTACTCTGATTTTACTGTTTGCTGTGAATGATTTCACGCCTTGATTAATCTGCAGACAGAAGGTCTGAATCCTAAATTTCATGCACTGGGAGGAAACGTGTGCCAACTATCCTTAGTGACCTGCCCTAGTTTGAACAGACCAGAGCAAAGAGCGTGATCTTGAGAATTAGTCACCATGACCAAATGGAGGTTATAATTAGGCTTTTAGTCATGTTGTTGGATCTTGTATTTGGTATATTCTGAGACTCAGAATCAAAATCTACTTTATTTGCCAGGTACGTGTACACATACGAGGAATCTGACTTTAAATTGTACAATGTTATTAGTGAGCTCCCTTATACAACAATGCAATGATTTAAAAAAAAATCAGATACAGGCTACAAAACAAGAAATGTGCACATACTCTTAAAAAAATGGACAGATTAAAACAATAGCAAATTGAAAGTGCAAAGCATGCAGAAATAATGAAACACTGAAGTTATGACGAGTAAAGAGGTTGAATGGAGGAAGTTCAACTGGGGTCACTATTTGCTATTTTATGATTACTAATATGTGTATACAAGCTTTAAGATGAAAAAGTAATTTTATTACCATAATAAGTAGAAAAATTGTGCAAAAAGGATGTTTTTAAAGATCATTCACTCAATAACCTACAACTGGATTATGCCTCTGCAATAAAACATCAATTTATTTTCTGTCTTTCTTTATATACCGTACCAACAAATAAATATAAGTATGGAAGATATTGGGAAATTGTTTTTTTTTTTCTTTACTTGAAGCTTTAAACTTAAGGAACACTGAAGCTACATTTTCTTTCTTAAACTTCTGTTAGTTTATTGTTTTTTTGTTCGTTAGCTTCTGTTTGATCTGCTGACTGCATTTCATCTTCTAATTGAAAATGTTAGCCAAATGAATTAAATCGTTCATTTGGGAGGGAGAAGCCAAATTGCCTTTTAAATCAGTAAAAAGAAAAAGCTCCTACAACAAAAACTGGTGCAAAGCAAGTCAAAGTAGATCCAATCTGTATCGACCTTCAGGGGCAGGGCTGACCTTCTAAAACAACAATAGAGAATGCAAATCATGTCTGAGTATTTATATGGATAAAGTAGCTTTAGTAAGCTGACAGAAAGTGGCTCCAGGCCTGGTACTGGATGAGTCTGAAGTAATCAAAGTTTCTGTGATGGATCACAGTCTAAACATCGTATAACGTCGTCCACTGTAGACCATCTGTATGAAAACCCTTAAAATATGAGGATTTAACTGCAATGGGAGAAAAGAAATGTTTATTTTGAACCATTCAGTGGTTATTCTCAGTCACGTAGAATTAAATTTTAAAAAATAACAACAATGTATAGTTTAGTTTTTTTTTTTTTTTTTTTCAGACTGGAGATGTGGTGTAATTATGGAACTGTGTAAGAACAAGATATGATTGAACGACCAGGAACTCCAGAAGTCTAAAGACGGTGACATTAGTTGAGACTGTACTTTTTTTTTTTTTTTTTGTATTTGTATCTGGGATTTTTTTTTCTTTCTGTCTAACAACATGCAATGGGATGTTCTTACATAGGCTCTATAATACACAATTTATGAAATGAATAAAGTGACAATTGATTTTTATTCAATACAAAAATTCAAATGCTATTTGTAGGTTAAATCTAAAAAAAAAGATGTATATGAGCAAGAAAATCAAAGATGATCTTCAATGCAAAAAGTTGTTGATACTTTCCCACTTAATGGTGAAAGGTTTCTACACTACTTTCAGTCTTTTTCTACTTTTTGATTTATTCATATTAAGAATTCAAGCCCAACTGTTTTTTTGTAATAATCTTGATAAAACTGCACCAGCGTCTCCAGCACCAACAATCATCCATGTACCTAAATGGGCACCTCAAAGAAACCCTGCCTTCGCAAAGCCTCCACATGCTCCTCACGTGTGTGTGTGATTCCTCACCCATGACGGAAACATCATACTCGATCAGGAAGAGAGCTTCTTGTCCACTTTGCATCAGCATGGTCAGAGCCTCAGCATGCCTCTCTCTGTTTAAAGGCATCCCATCTATGCTTAGAACTCGATCTCCAGCCTTTATTGTGCCCTCTCTAAAAGGAAAACCACCAGACATAAACAATGAGAATGAAATATGCTAAATAAAAGATTCTCTGGGCCGGATTTATCAAGATCCAATTTTGCGTGCAGTAATTTGCGCTCGCAAACTGGAATTTTGCGCGAGGGGCTGAACCATGGTTTGCGGGTGATTTAACAAGAGCGATTGCGTAACTGGTGGTAGGTGCAAAACTGTTGGAGACGCCCTATTTAAATGATGGTTTTGCGCATTTTGTGGTTTGCGGCAAAGTAGTTTGCAGTTTGTGCAAACTAGTGCATTAAGAAATTTTAATCTTACAGTGACACCCCCACCCCCTCCCAAAAAAAAAAAAAAAAAAATATATATATATATATATATATATATATATATATATATATATATATATATATATATATATATATATATATATATATATATATATAAACCTTGGCAACCTTTATTCCCCAAGGTGGTATGTGGCTGAAAAATGCACATACCAAATGGCTCACAAGAAGTGACTGGATAAGATGATGCGCGTACGCTTCCCCGCAGCATTGGCATGTTGCTCCACAGGCGCAAGGGGGAGGTCAGGGTTTTTCGGTAGGGCGTCAGGGAGACATGGCATTTAGAACGTCGGACAGCACTTCTGAAAAACGATTTTGGGAGATCCCAGATCCCAGATGCAAAAAAGTGCAATGTTGCAAGGAGTTTTGTGATATCTGGTATTGCGTGGGTCCTCCTTGTAGCTGGCTCCAAATCCATTCGGAGTTCCCCCAACAGCTCCAAAATGGCAATGCTGGATAAACGATATGTTTTGATGATCGTTTCCTCGTTCATTCCAAAAATATTCACACGGAGTGAAAAAAATGCGTTCTCGGGGTCTCCTTCTTGCGACAATAACCGCTGCCATGTGTGCGCAATTACGCATACAGACCATTTGCACCTTCTTTTGAAACGTGTTAAATATAGAGTCAGATACCGTCAGCAAAATTGCTTTCAGGTTTGATAAATCACTTTGCGAGTGCTAAATTAATATATTTACATTTTCTCCTCCCACAAGACGCACTTTTGCGTGTAAACGCCCCATATTGCATATTCATTGCAGAAAAAGTACTAAATGGATAAGAGACGCTATTTAGCACGTTTCAAAGACCAAATCCTTTTAGCACGCTGTTGATAGATCAGTTTGTACATTTTTTAGCGTGCGCAGTGAAATAGCTCACGTTTTTATACACGCAAACCTTTGATAAATCCGGCCCTCTGTGTTTTGGTGTTCTCAGTTTTTCTTGGGAAAAAAAGTGCAAAGCTGCATTAGCCTCAGGATGAGTTAGTGCCCTTTCATTTATAGATGCTGCCCTCGTGTTGCAGCAACAATTTTGTGCAGTATGATTTAAAATGGTTATTTCAACATAAATGCACAGCAGATCTTTTAATGAATATCTACATTTTTCATGGATCCTCAATTCTTTATCAAGAATTTGCTGATGTTTGATTTAATGCATGTCAACAAGGAAATTATTTTAATGGATTCATTAGTGGACATTCCTCTGTATGCACGCTTGCTTACATGCTCTGACAGATTAGTCCATGAAAACCTGACATGCACACTCACACACACAGTCAAAAACAGGTTAAACACAATCGCTATCTATACAGATGGTTATCCTCAACCTGACCTGTCAGCCGGACCCCCAGGCCGGACGCCAGTAACTACTAGAGGACGAGACCTTCGCCAGTCTTCATGAAAGCCCCCTTTAGAACAAATTTAATGAAATATGGGGGAGGGGATCAGCTGTAAAGCCATATACTTTATTCAAAATTGTGAAATTCCTAATGCAAGCAAAGCAAAGAGTTGTTTCCCAGCCTCTTACCTCTCATGACAAACCCAAAACTGTTTCCCTCCTTGTGTAAACACACCTCTATTGTTTTAGTTATGACGCCCGAGGGATTCTGGACTAAAAGGAGAGAGAAAATCATGATGCATAAAAGATTGACATCTGCAAACTGGATGGTTTGATCATTTTCGATTCCAAAACATTTTATTAAACACAAAAGGAAAATTCAGTTTGACTAGTGTTTTTGAAGTAGTTTTTATTTTATGATTCTATCTGAGAAAAGGAAAGGAGGAGCATAAATATGTAGAAATACTACAGTGACGATGTTGCACACAGGAGGACGATGTTAAGGTCCCCTCTTGGCTCACCTTAATTAAATGCATTATGGGTTCTCTATTACAAGAAGTATTCAAAGAAAAAAACTGAAATTACTGGCAAATTACCAATTTTTTTAAATGTATTTCTTTTGGTTAACAATGTCTGTAAAAAACATTCTTTCCTTTTTTTTCTCATTTGTTTTTCCTACATTGCATACAACTTAATGAATCCTCTTATTGAAACCAAATTTAACCTGAAGATAATGTATGATTGTTGGAGCCTTTTTTTACTTACTAAAATGCTGTACATGTTTTCTGAATGCTCTAGTCAAAATGCAGTTAGTCATATTTTGATTTGATGTCAAGAGAATGGACAATGATTTCAGGGTTATTTCAGGCTTACTATCATCAAACTTAACTTGTAAGAACATTAAAACCTTTTTATTATAGCATTTTGCTTTAAAATTACTATTGCTTTGACATTTTTTTGTCCACTAGATTTATTTCTTTAGTTTGTTCTCACCAAATGGAGGCAGCTCATATTCAACTTCCAGGACGACTCGCTCCCCGATGTTTTTCAGTAGGCTAATGATTTCGTCATGCCGGAGCTTGGACAGGTTGATGCCATTTACTGACTTGATGTAGTCACCCACATTCAGCTGGTCGCTCCTGTTCAAAGTCATAACAGACCATTAAGAACAGCAATATGCTTCACTCACTGTTAAAAGCAAAAAGGTTCTAAAATTCTCCAATCTTGGCTGGTGTATTAACAAAGCAGTACATTTGAACTAATTATAATGAAATATATAAAAAAAACAAATGTTAACTATTATTACATTAAAAGACCCTACTTCTTGAAAAACAACTATATTTAGTCCACAATGTAAGGTCATCCACAGCTATCTTTAATACATGTTTAGGATTGCTGTCGCCTCTAAATTCCCAACCCTGTTAAAGTATTAAACACTGATTAAACCAGTTACCCTCAGATCAAAGGAAGCTGGTTTAAATATTCAGGAACAACCAAAAACCTTTAAAGCCCACCTTTTATCTTGAAGAAACTGCTATACTAGTGTTAAATCAATGTTAAAAATGTTGAAAAAGGGTACTCTTACCAAATTATTCAAGTTCAATGCGACAATTACCCTAAAGATTACTTAAATCTGGTTTAAGAATAGACAGCTTAAACCAACAGTCTATAGTAAATATCAATCAGGTTTTACAATAACTCTACAATTTTTAATAGAGCTGGACAAATACTTGGCCCAAATGATGCCATAAATGTCTGCTTATCCATAAAAAATAGGCTGTCTTGCAAAATTTGTTGAAAGTTTTTATTGTATTAACATTATAACCTAGGAAAAGCAATCACTAAAATGAATAACTAGATTAAGATGAATCTGCGATGGGTTTAAGTTATCCTATGACCAGAGTAGTATTCTGAACTACAATGTGTGACTTAAAATCTCCGCAGATGAACACAGGACAAATGTGCAGAAAGCAGAACAGATATTAAAGGGAGACAGTTGGTAGTCTCTCCATCTTTGCCGCAGTCAGAGATGAGTATATGGTGTCTCACAATTGACTTTCTGAGACAACGCACCACTCACTGGAGAGCTAATTAATCAAATAGTTGTTCCGCCCTTCTTGCCCTTTTCACCCCCCCAGCTACTGTCAATCAGCCATGACAGCAGACAGAGAGGACTCTCAAGCTTAGCAGCACTGAACATCAGGATGGTCCGTTCTCATCACACCTTTCCATCCATTTCACTCTCTGCCCCCGCATGTCCCCACCCTTTAAATTACCGGCTACTTCAACACAGGCATGAACTCAGCTGTGTGAAAACGAGCTGTTTGGGAGAATTATCATGGTGTCCCTTCGACGTGACAAGGAATGACATATTTGGCTGTGACTTTTTCAAAGGAATGTGTCATTGAAGGTGGGGGTTTTTTTCCACATCACTTTTATTCAAGGTGACATCCTCCCAGCGCCAAGTGAAACAAAAGTAACATCATTGATCAATTTTATATTATTTGCATGTACCGGTATTTGAAAAACTTTTTTTAAAGTGACTCATTCCATCTCTGACCGTTATCTGCCCACGTATGTCATTTAAAGGTACAGAAAATTCATAGATATATATACTACTGGATATTAACAGTGTTTTATATCCTAAAGTCAGTGGTTAACTGATATTTAAACTGTTTTATGTGAGTTTTCAGCTCTGTGAACCAAGAGGAATCCATGGTTGGCTGGAATAAGCAAAGAGTTTTTTTCCAAAAGATGATAAATGTCTCCTATCCTGATCACCAATATTTATATTTTGCTTCCTCTTGATGCAAAAGCAACCAAAAGAATAGAAAGGCAGAAGTAGATGCTTGTCAAGAACATAATTCATAAAAGAACCACCAAATGGTGCAAACTGTCTGGAAAGATAAATCCCCTTGTATTGTTCTTATGCTTTATTAGAATAACAGAAATGTACGTTTTTTTTATTATTCCAGTCCAAATTATTTCAAGCAAATATTCAGCAGAGGAAATTATTTAACTCTCCCTCTCTCACTTGTTTCCTCTATTATTCCTTAGTTATCTCACCTCCATTTTAATCATGCTGTTTGTCCTTTTAGCAGGATGACAAGTGTTTAAGTTTTTTATGTTATAGGTGAGGTTCTGTTGAGTTTGGTCTAGGATATTTTAAGGTGATGACTTACTGTAAAGATTTAGTAAGGGGTCTGGCTGCAGACCTGCACTGTGAGGACCCTGGCTGCTGAGCTGCACTGTAGGGTCTCCTGTGCTGTCAGAAAAGGGAAGTTTATTCGAAGACTTTCAAAGTAAAACAAAGTTGATTTGAAGCCTCTCAAAGTAAAAGCTAGCGTCGATTAACTCCCCGATTTAATCCCCACCAAACTCATATCTAGAATAATAGATATGTGCTACATAGAAATAAGTCTCTGGATTTGAATCGTTGGATGGAAAAGGGCATTTGGTCTATAAGATATTTTCTAAACGACAATGGAGGCTGGGTTTACTATGAGGATTTTTGCTTACTGTATAATTTAAACTGCTCCTATGCTCAGTTTTACAGAGTATTAAACTCTAATCCAGAAACACGTGCTGCATGCTATTCCCAAAGGCATCGAATACAACTTCCGGAATAAACTTCCAGTCCTGACAGTGCAGCAGACCCCATTTTGCAGGTCTGCCATAAAGGGTCCTGACAGTGCAGGTCTGCAGCCAGACTCTCTTGAAGATTTATGCATTAGTTTAAGCATTGAGTCAAAATAGGTACCACTTTTAACCACCTGTTTGCATTTTTAACTTGTAAGGCTTTTTAACCTGCATTACACAATAAATGCCACTGAATATATCACAGATAAAAAGTGTCTGAATTATATAATAACCTCAATCCAAACAGTTCTTCTCTGGTTAGTTTTTTCTTAGGTAAGGGAATTTCCCAAAGAGAATGAATGCTAAATCACTGAATAGCAATGCTTTAAATAGAACTCTTTAGCCCTTAAAAGATGTGGGTGCAGAAGGCATGTCTGACAGGTTTGCTGGGGTTGCCACATTTAGAGCACATCACAGAGCCCAGATCTCACCTGGCAGCCAGCCCACCTGGCCGTAGGTTTGACACTCTGGGCTTGCCATCTTTATCAGAGCCTCCGGAGATGGTGAGGCCAAGGCTGCTGCCTTCCCTTTTCATCAGCTCCACCGTGGTCACTCCTCGATACTCCTCTGCTGACAGATACAGACCCAGGCACAGACCCACAGAAAGAATTAGCCTCTGCTTGACAGAGCTGCCCTGTCTGGAAGGCATGGAGAGACTTTTTGTTTTTTTCTCTGTGAATCTTTCAACAACAAAAAAAAAGTCTCTAAGATACAACCACAGGCAGCAGTTTTCAGATTCTCTCTCTTGTTTTCATTTCTTCATATTTGAAGTACATATTTGTGTTGTAATGTGAAGGACAATAGAGTAAAATATAAAACTTCAAATAAATGGAAAGCTGTCCCTACATGCTCATCCAGGAGTGAATCCTGCAAAATCAATGACCCAATGCAATCAGCTGGTTTTCCTTAGAGACACTTTAACCAATCTGTCTGTATGATCTGTCTGAATTGTCTCTTTAAGATGACAGGTGTTGTTAATTGGCGCTATATATAAAAAATGAATTAAAAACATGCAAATATACGTTAACATCAAGGTCAAATGTTACAGTACATACATATTTCTTTAATGCAAAAAAAAACATTGTCTTTGTAAAACAAAAATCAATCTCAGTGATTTTAAAAGAATAAAGAGGAAGCAAAATGCTGCTTATTATATAATCAGGACTGACTCAACACGCTGGTGTGTGCAGATCTGTAAAGGCAAAGGTCTTCACAGTTTGTCACTCTGGAGCATTAGAGCTGTTTTAACACAACACCAAAAGGGAAAGAGAAGAGTGATGACCTTAGAGAAGTCACTGCTGCAACCCATTTATATGGAAAGCCATTTTCAAATGCTCATGAGTTCATCGTTCCACAAAAGGAAAGATTATTCAAAATAGGACAGTCGGCATAGTCTGGAGCTAAAGCCCCAGCAGGTTCCTCCAAGCAGTAAAACTCAACAAAATTCAAAAGAAGCACAATGGTCTAGACTGAAGTATGTATACCTTAGATCCAGTCATATGCCCATCAGCTCTGATCCGCTTCTCTTTCTGTGATGAAGATTGACCATCAATCTAAATGCATGATACTGGCACTATAATGTTTCACCACTGGGCTGCTGTGTTCAGGGTGACATGCAACATTAATTATTCTCCCCACAGCATTTACTCTGAAGGCCAAATTAATGCTCACCTTGACTAGTTTTCATTTAAAGTGAATAACCTTTTCCTATTGGCTTTGAAGTTGGACCATTACCTCGTTATTTTTCAGACTGTGAATTAAAACACAGCCAGGTAACTTCAGTCCTCCAGGGCGGGAGTCCTGCATATTTTAGTTGTTTCCACTACTGGTCCCATCTGATTGAAATACCTGCATCATGGACAGGCTGAAGGGATAATTCAGTGATTAGAGTCACACCAGTTGATGGACTGCTTCTAGTTCTATATCTGTAATGTATCTGCAATGAGAAATGTTTAACTTTGGCTGCCTTTCTCTGTCGCTTTAACTCAGACCTAATTCGACAATACAGCTTTTTTAACTCAGCCGTTCTCCTTTTGGAACTTGCTTTAGAAAACTTTGAAATTCAATTCGTATTTTTAGAAGCTAAAGAGGATCTTCACAAATTTTTGAAAAGACCTGCCCTCTCCATGAAAAAAAAAAAAAATACTCATGCACAACCCTGTACCCGCTCCTAAGAGGGAACGCTTATTAAACACGTGCAAGAGCATGCACAAGCCAATTTCTCCTCGTGCACGGACTGTTTAAAAGGTGCTGTTTGTATCGCTCATACTAGCTTACCTCCCAAAAAAAGATTTCCAATGTTTCCACTATGTCAGACCAGTATGTGAAAAAAGGGGCGAGGACGGATTTACATAAACATATCACCAGAATGATTGACAGTTAGGAGGACCACTTATTTTGATGATCCACTCGGAAAAAAGAATATCCTCCACTATACCTAAAATGTAGCTTTTGTGAATTCTTTAAATTGTGCAACTCTCTTGATTTATCTGTTGTGGCCTCATGGGATTCCTTCAAAAAGAGTATATTTTTAATGTCACTAGAACTATATCCCTTAATAAAAAATAGTAAATAAACAGACCCCTGATGCCTTTACAGAACAGGTTTAAGATTAATTTAAATACATTTAAAATTTACCTATTGTTTAGGAGACTCATGAATGCAGATGCACAGGATTTTATTTAGGAGTATCACAGCAAAGCCTGTCACACTTTTCAGATTTTTCTTTCTTCAGCCATTTGAAATGAATCACTTTCCTTCTGCTTAACAATTATGCATTAATTTGTTGCTTTTTTTCCTTTTGTGTATAATTAAATGTATCTAATGCTGTGCTTTTATGGTGAAAATGTGAAAAAGTATAAAGAGTGAGGTTTGTTTTTGGAAGGCCCTATACACCTAAGTCTTACTTGACATCTTAACTGTGAGATTCAAACTGCTTTCCTCAAAAATAATATAAAACATTTTAATTAAGTAGCATCTGGACAAACACGATTAGGTCATTGATCATCTCCATTGTATAGATGAGACCAAGGCAGAAATGGCTGATGCTTATGCACATGGTAACTTCAAACAGAACTACATGTCAAACAAACAGGCCCTTTGGTGGAAGAATGAGGATTAAGTTTGTGTTTCCAGCAACCAGAGTTGGATACTTTGATGTTATCAAAAAGAAGATAAACTGTTGTGTATTAATAACACATATATTAAAGTCCAATGTAAGGAGATTTTTCAGACTAAGACCAGGATCTTAGGCTGAGCAGCAGCAACAGAATTTCTTATAAAGACCAGATACCTGAAATCATGGAGGTCATTAGTGAACAAATCTTAGCTCATGATATTAAATTACTAAAAAGTTTAACTGAAAGCTGTAGAACATGCTTGGATCCCACATTCTGCTTTAACAATTTTGACTTAGTTTTTCAAAGTTATTAAAGCCTGTGGTTCCGCTGAAGTTTTGTTTAATGAATTTGCAGCAAGAACCACAGCATTAAATAATGTAAAAAAAAAAACAAAAAAAAAGGATTTACCTACTTTGACAATGATTTCATAGTAGATTTACAGTACAGTATTATCACTACGTGTTTACATGACTTAACTGTGCAAATTGAAAGAAATAAATTCAGAATGATTGATGTCTGTGTGGTTTCATCGTGTCATCAGAGAACTCATTCTGTCTTGTGTTCTCCTTTGTGCTGTGTTGGTCATTCTCCCCCCATCCTTCCAACAACATTTTAGCATTCATGACAGGTATGCAACAAGAGCATTTTTTAAACGTATCTAAGCATTCATAGGATCAAATGTTGAAGCAAATCACTGGAGGCACATAATTCAAATCTCAACAGAGATGACCTGCAATCTTTTCTTGGGGACTAAATAGGATTGTGACTCAGACGGCAGACGAAACAAAATACATTTAGGGTTGACTGCAATGTACCTGAAAGGCTTCGACCTCGGGTGGAATGTGATTGGTCAGTTGTCTCTTTGCTCCCTTTTGAATAGGGCCCTTCATCTGAAGAGACAGCAGAGAAGTGTAGGAGGTTATGAAGACTGAAGTTAAAGGTGTGCGGCACTTAATCGGCTTAAATCATTAACGCCATTCATTTCACATGAAAATACATTTTCAGGGAATAAGATGTATGCAGCCACTTGGGCATGGAAACAGCATGCAGTTAATGGACTGATTTTGGATGGGGAGGAAAAGATCATTTGCATGTCATTTACAGAGGCTGCTATGGAGAGCAGCAAAATGTTCAATCTGTTCAGCAGAGAAACAGATTTATTTTTCCACTTCTCACCCATAGTGGGAACCATTTCTGACACTGTTCACAGATTAACAGATTCAGTGCCCAGCCATCTGAGCCTGAATGCATCAATGAAACCATATCTGCAGTCACAGTGATGAGGATTCTGACAAGGCGCTTCGGTAATCCTGTCCACTATGGATTAGTTTTTTCAGATGTCCAGTACAATGATTAAAAATCCCTCTGGAAAGCTGTGGAGCTGTTTGGCAGGAAATTACTCTATGCATCAGTTATACAGTAGTACAAAAAAAAAAGAAACTCTATGCATCAGTTATACAGTAGTACAAAAAAAAAGAAACCTTTATTTGATTTCTGCATACAGAGATTTCCACATCTTGAAAGACTTACCAGTGCTTCTCAACAAATAGCATTAGTTAATAAATAAAGTTATATTAAAATGCCTTTATATCTACATAAACTGTACCATCTGCATAGTCACAATTCATATCCATCTAATCAAAAAATATATTTTACATATATACAGAAGTGAAAATATCCATAACATTAGTAAGCTAAACGAGATGGAATAAAGGAATTATATCCAATTATAAAACAAAATCACAACAGAAATGAGACAGGACAATGTTCTGAGTTTTAAGGAGTCATAGAGAAGAAAGAAGCTGGGTACCAGGAAATGCTTGAGAAAAACTAAAGAGTTAACCTTCAGTGAAGATGGCCAGTTTATACATATAGCCATATTTGTAATGGGATGATTTAGCTCATAGCATTTTCTAGAGTCACCTAATCAAAGGCTAGACTTGAATGAAAATATTAATCTAAAAACAAAACTGTAAGCTGGTGCTCATAGACTCTACCTACCTAATCTGAATGCAAAACTCTTTAGATTTCTTGTTAAATAAAAAAAAAAAAAACTTTGCTTTATTCTTCTATTTTAAAGCAATCCCTTCTTTACCTTGCTCTAACTGCTAAAGTTATGAAAGAGTACATTAAAGTATGTGATTATAAAATGATAAAATGTAATACAGTTAAAGAAGTATGAATACTTTTGCAGGCCACTTTCGTGTGATTACATAATCACTACGACAGGAATGGTCAACGCACAACTCACCTGCTCCAGAGGTCACAACTTCATTTGGCCATGTCACATCTGAGTGCTTATAAGTTTAAAACAATAAATGCCTCATCATCCATATTTTAAGTGTTTCCAGCTCTTTCAAGTCCTGCTGAGCCAAGCAAGAGAAGAGGAGCCAGAGGACATCAGGTCCACTCCTTTGTCTCTAGCATGACTCTACCTCTGTCCAGCTGAAGCTGAAACCTTCCGACAGCCGAGAGGTATGGATCCTTCGTCATACCTTCAGTGATCTGAAACCTTTGGGCAGCTGCTTGATACAAGTAGTGGGAAAAAAATATAGTCTGTGTAGCAGCTGCATGACTCAGACCTAAACCACAAAAATATCTCCATTTGACTCACATATCATGGTGATGTAGAGGACACACACATCTGTGATGGGATTTTACTCTCCCCCTATATCCTTTTTCTCAAGCAGTGTGTCCAGGCTGTCTGGCCACACATGTACACAAAGCGAATGACACACAACAAAGACTTTGGGCAAGGCAAAAGCAGAGTAACCATGCAGGCTCCCAGGGGCCCTCACAGTTCAGCAGCTGTCATCTCTGTCAAAAGGCAGCATTAGCTCTGGGTTACAAAGAGCCAATGGAGTGCACGTGACCGAACATTACTGTACCATCAAGCTGTCCGCCGGCAATCCTCCTCCAGCTTAAAATAACCATCACTCACCCTCGGAGCCACGGCTGGGAACAAGCTGATTACACCCAACCCCAACATACAACGTATAACACTTGTATCTATCTATCTGCCAGCCTGTAGATTAATTGAGTTATGGTTATATAATTAGAGACTCAGCTGAGGCATGATCCCTCCTTTATAAATAAATAGAGCTAATTAACTCCACATTTGAATGAGGGCACTGACTGACATCCATTTCATATCCAGCAAGAATGTGGGTTAAATATGGGGCCAGAGATGAGACTGGAATCCTAATCTTATTTCAGATGTGAAACTTTATTTTTAAAACCAGCGGCCCCATATCTGGTCACAATGCTATTTCTGCTCTACTGTTCTAATTACGCATGGTAAGACGTCATGCCAAGTTAGTGGTCCAGTCCTCTCACATTTAAATCTTTTCCAGTGAAGTATGCATGCATCCAGGGTGGATGGATGCAGTGGGGCTCTTATTGAGAGGAGAGAGATCAGTGACCTCCTGCTTGCTCTGAAGATCAAAGTGCGGTCCTCTTACCAATGCTGTTCTTGGTGTCTCTCCTCAAACCACACAGCATGGCTGCAGCTGTTCTTCAGCTTAGTGTGCAGAGTTGATGTTCCACCTGAGAGACCAGGTCTCAGCCGCTCACATGAGACAGGAAATACTTCTCTTTTTCTTCACGATTGTCTCCAACCATGCTGCTATTTATAAGAGATGTAGATGTTGTTCCTTAGATCATCCTCTTTTTAAACTTGCAGGATAGATCCTTCGCCGTCCTCACAGGTGAAACCTCCATCAGCTGAGATCTTCATGAAAATCCAGTGCAGGGAGAGGAATGACTTGAGCCCTGTTCTTTGCATCCTGCTGTTGCCCCGTTTTTCCAGCTATTCTTGCAAATGGTTCGTGGGTTTTCTCATGCCCTGCTCATACACTCACATGAGCTCACACATAACCCCTCTCCCTCTCTCTCAGTGGTTGCTCATCCTCTCTTCTTCTCTGCCAGAGGGGCTCAGTGAGGCAGCCACACACGATAGTCACTTCTCCCCTCCCTCCACCCACAGAAACACACAAGCTCTCACTTTATCCCACCAAGTCCTGAATCCCACCCTCTCACACATGCACAGTTCACACACTGAGATTAGACAAGACACAACGGCGCACACACCAAAACACTGAACTGTCGGCACAATTAACACCACCTGCGCATTCACTGTTAAAGCGTGTGTCACGCTTTTCTCACATAGATCTTGCACCCGCATCCCACACATACATGCATAATGGCAACATGCATATGCAGGATTCCTGTGCCAAACAGCTGCCTGCATGCCTTACATCTAAGGTTGATTTAAAGCACAGACCAGCTGCCACACAGGTGACTGATCCATAATGAAATCCTGGAAAGACAATGATTTTTACATATAAAACAAGAGAGGACGTTCAAATGAACCCTTTATAATGCTTGACCCCCTGAGTCTCCATGAACCTAAACACAGAAGTGACCATCATTGCAACTGCGGCCATTTTTCATGCACACATGTCTCAAAGACTGCCACTATTACACCACAGACAATCCCTCTAAAAGTAGTCATAGTACTGTTCTTACCAAGATTTAAGACAAAAAACAAGACACAAGAAATTTTTGACAATGCACTGGTTAGTTCTTTGCAAATTTCAACAGTGATCAAAAATAACTTGCAGCATAATAAGCAGACATTCTGGAGGATGCAACAAACTTTAGCTCAGACAATTCTCTTTGAGGCTGTTTATTTGAATATCTTATTTACATGGGGTGTAGCCATTTAGAGTGAGTATGGTTAATTTTCTGCAGTTTAAAGAGAACTATAGAAGATCAAAAATCATTGAAGAAAAATCCCAGAGGAAATAAACAGGGAAATTATTTAACTAGAGAGAGATTTAGGCTCATTCTACAATAAGGTGAAAATATTGAGGGAAAAAAAAACTTTTTTTTAATTATTTATCCCAATTTAGCCAACAATGTAACAACTGATGAAAGATCTGAATTCTGATTAAACCAACCACACTGCCATCTTATGGTGGTCTGCTCAGGCTGCAGAAGGAAGCTAGAGGACAAAAGTTCACCTTAAATTTAAAAACATACAATATTATATTAAAATCTTAAGTTAGGAATATCTAGATTTAACAACTTAAAGACTCTTAAGGACCCCTCAGATGCATTTTAAACAGACAACTTTAAACTTTACAATCTTCTTGAAGCTAAGGGTGTAATTATTTAACAGCAATTTTCTACAGGTAAAGACTTCCCATCTGTTTTACCTTTGGTTCTTCCTCTGATGATTCCCAGACGACATCTGAGTGAAAAAGAGAACATCCTCCTCTTTCCTCCTGCACTCCGGCTGCCTATCCTCAGGGAATCTGTCTGAGGTAAGGCAAATGAAAGCTGTTTGGAGGTGAGGTGTCCTTTTCCAAACACTGCTCTTATTGACATGTTCATTTTCCAACCCTTCAAAAAAAAAAAAAGCAAAAAAAAAAAAAAAAAACAACAGGCTTTTGTCCTACGTCTTGTTTTGCAGCCTGTGCCTGTCCTGCTGCTCTTGTTTTTTCCCCCCTTTTCTGGAGAACATCCAGTCCTATCAGGTGAGTCTTCAACAAACAGGTGCAGGTTCTCAAACTGGGCAATATCCGGTTCCAATTCTTTTCTTTCTCCCTCTTAGCCGTCTCTTCCTGTCTTATAGTTTCTAACATAAGCAGTTATAAGCCAAGCGGCACAATAAATGCATTTCCTACATCTCTGGCAATGTCAGCTTTGCAGGAGCAGATGGCAGAGAGTTCAGGGCTGTGGGGCACAGCTTGCCTGCCAGAATGCAATGGAAACCTTCTCTGCAGGGAGATGGCGTTCCATCTTGTAAAACAATGCAAAGTCTGTGCGAGCAAATGCAACATGATGTTATTTGATGGCAAACTCCAGCAACCTAAACCCTCCGAGACAGAGTCAGTAAATCCTGGGTGCCATTTTCTTGGCCACAACCCATGATTTACTCACATTCCCAAGCGTCTGCTTCAAATTCCATTTTTTACATGACAAAACATAAAAAAAAAAAAAGAAATTCCACTCATTTATTTGTAAAACTTCTAATGAATGCAACTGACTTTATTTTAGACAGGAAGTTGTTTTTCTACCTTCAAGCTTATTGGAAGTTTTTTCATATTTGTAGACAAGCCGCTGCTGCCTTTTGCACCGAATATATTTTTTGGCACTGCTCTGAACCTTCCACACCAATGCTTTTTGCACCATGTCTGTCCTACACTGTTTACATTTTGATCACTGCTGCACTTTATACATGGAAATGGTTATTCATGGCTAAGCTGCTCATTCACTGACGAAAAGCTGCATGCATCAAAATTTCATTTTGTATACACCGCTTATGCAAAATGACAGTTTGTATAAATCTAGGGAAAGTAGTATATATCACAAATTAGTATGTTATAAAAATGCTCACATAAAGACCAAATCGTGATTAAGACTTCCTAACATGAAACCAAATGGCCTGTTTGGGCCAGAAGACCACATAATCATGAGGGCTGTTGACACATGTCCAGGAGACAGTCACTGACAACCTCCACACAGAAGCCTATTAAAAACATTACTAAAGAAGCTGAAATATTCATAGAAAGCTGAGTGGAGGGAGATGTGTAGTAAAAAAAGTTTGCCAGCAACAAGGATAACTGCAGCCTTGAGGTTTTTTTTTAAACTAAATTAATACATTTTAGGGGAGCTTCACAGGTAGTGGACGGAAAGAATGCTGGAATAAGCACATGCACAACCATGATTTACAGATGAACCCTAAAGACAAATATGCAGTTCTCCAGTAAATTAACTCCTGAATGAGTAGCATCTTAACCTGGCAGAAATATTAATTGGACACATGGATGATATGTGACAAGTAAACTGGTCTGGATTATCAATGTTGTCCCGTTTTGCATGAAAAGTTGCATTTAATTTGGAAACCAAAGTCAATAAAATGGTGAAACATGGAGAGGCATAGAAACATTTCCACCCGAGGATTAGTTTGAATGTTCCAACGATCATAAGTTTGCATGTCTTCTTTTGGCGTTTTTCCATTGTGCCTTCTGAAGTCCAGTCACAGCCATCTACCAAGAATGCACCTAGAATTCACTTCTAGCTTAATGTTTTTCCTGTTTACGATACTGAAATTAAAATGTATATTTTCTGAAACCAAAAAGTTAAAAGGCTCAAAATATTTCATTTATGTCGGAATGCAAAAACATTGATATCACAATATAGTTTCCCTAGTCACTGGTTTTCTAATGTTGAGCAGTCATCACAAATTGCAGTTTCACAATCTTTCTCTGAAACTAGAATTTTTTTTTTTACATTCTCACTACAGCATCCCTCCTGTGACAAGACTTGTGCATCAGTTAGGTGCACATGATTGACTTAAGGCAAAATCTTCCACTTGTCACAAAAACAGAGCCTTTAAATCTGGAGGTTGTATTGGCGAAAGGCCGACTTCTGTATGAAGACATCAGCAGATAGCATTGTTCATTTCAAAATCTATGCCTTTTCTCAACAAAAAATGGTTAAACAAATATCCTTTCCAAACCTCATGTTGCTTTTCAGTGTAACCAGATGTTAAATATAACTGAGCAAAACAATGAGCTTTAACTTTTACAAAGAGCTAGCTCATGGCTTGTTCTACAATGTTCAAAAATTTGAAAGTCTCAAATAGCAAAGCTTTTCAGATCGATTGTGTACAAGTTGTTTAAAAATTTAAGTATAGATGTTTTAACCGTTTCCAACTAATTTCTAGGAGAAAAGAAGGCAACAGAACCAGAGGCCAGTTTCCAATTTTCAAGAGTTTAATAATAAGCAGTTTATTCATTCTCCTCGCTCCTGAGCCTGGCATTGGGGTTGGTGACTTTGATCGCCAGCTGAGCTGCTCTTTCCACGATCAGCTTCCTGTTCTTGGAAGAGACGTTGTGGGCAATCTCAGCACAGTGAGTCCTACAAGTAGAGAAAGCAACACTGATAATGTGGAATATATGGACAATTGACCAATGCAACACCAACGATAAACTTTAGGGCATATACAAACATGCAATAACAAAATCTGATATTCACAAAATTCAGAGGTTGAAATCTTCAGCATTACATTTTCATAATTAGACTAATGTACTAACTAAATAACATTAAGACTTTTTAAACCAATGTTGTGACTTAACCTAATTTAGGGCTGCAACTAAAGTCGATTAATTTTGGAAGTCGATTAATCTGTGATAATTTTTTGAATAATAGTGGGATAGCCAAAGGTTTCTTAAAGATTTTTTTACGAGTATATTGACTTTTTTTTCTCCTTGGTATAACTGCTCTAAGAGGGTCACTCTTTCAGCTAAAGTCATGTTTTACAGTCAATACTCAAGTTAACAATTAACTGATCATTAAATTACTTGACATTTATTTCAATAACTGATTAATCACTAATAATTCCATTAATTGTTTCAACCCTAATCTAATGTTACATCTTAACTGCCATAAAATTAGGGAAAACACCAAATAAAGGCATTAAATGGGAATATTTACGCACTATGACACTATCGCATCACAACATTTAATCACAGGTTATGTATTCTTTTTTTTACCTCCTCCAATTAAAGCTTTTAAACAGTAAAAAATATTCTACACTATATTCTTCCCAATGAAAACCAAAAACGACTTTACTTTTACAGTAAGGGCAATACATTGTAAAATCAATTATTCAACAAACTTAATTGGGCAATGTGGATACAGCAGACATGACTAGAAAGCTTCATATCATCCATCTCATCCTATTAATACTGACTTTTTTCCCCAAATGGACATAATTCACCTGAAAAATTTTGCCTCAAAACAATATTCACCTAAATTAAGAATGAGACCGAAAAATGGTATATAAAATTTGCAGTAATCAGGTGTCAAGTTCTTCATTCAGAACTACCACATTTTGAGCAACTTTCTCATTCAATAAAGCAAATAGATGAAATCAAACAGGTTTTTTTTTTGTCTATTCAGAATATATACAAATATATACATACACACGTTTTCCTATAAGACCCATGTAATTTGAAATATGGATGAACTTACTTGTTACTCATCATCAGAACCTCCAGTTCCTTGACATTGTGCACCAGGAACTTCTTGAACCCGGTTGGCAGCATGTACTTTGTTTTCTTGTTGCTACCATAACCGATGTTGGGCATCAGCATCTGACCCTTGAACCTCCTGCGAACCCTGTTGTCAATACCCCTGGGTTTACGCCAGTTTGGCTGTTGGTGGTAAGAATGATATAATTAGCATTTCATTCCCAGTAGTGAGAGGTTATTTATGAACTGTAGAAGATCGTAGAACTTACCCTCAGCTTAACATATCTATCAGATTGGTGGCGAATGAACTTCTTGGTTCTCTTCTTAACAATCTTGGGTTTTGTTAGGGGCCTGAGGGCTGCCATGATGACTCTAGAAATAGTAGAAAACATAAGACTAAAACATCAGCCCAGATGTGCTAAACTTTCGATATGATCATACACAAACGTAGTTTTGCAAATAACAACAAGCACTGAAGCTAAAATTATACATAGTTACATCTTTCAAAATAGAGTATTTCAGAAATCAAGTGAAGTGCGCTTTGCCAAGGGATTTATCACTTTAAACGTGTTAACCAACGTTAGCATGCTAGCTACAACGAGTCACTGTTTGGCTCGGAAGCAGGCCCTACTGCTACTAACTATAATACCATACATACTAGCTGAACGGGAGAACTATATACACGTGTTTTATTGTCAAGTTATCTCTATCAACCACAACACAAAGTTGCATTTTGTTGAATACTACCAGGAGTGCGCTGCTAGCCGTGCACCCGCTTTAATAGCAGCACTTTACTCGTATGGCCATTACTAAACCAATAATGTATAAACTACTGAAAATATAATTATTTCCATAAATGATGGAGGTTAACAGTATATAATCTACATCAGGTTGATCAAATAATCAGCAAAATCATACGGATTAAGTTAGATTCTCTTAACTCACCCGCCGATGAAAATCCGAAAAGGACTTCAGGGACGGCGGAAAGAAAGAAAAGGACTTCCGCGAAGCTCGCAATGCATGATGGGAAATGTATTTTCAATGTATAAACTTAATTTAATAGCTTACGAAATACCTTGCGTTATATGGTAAATTGATGCCTCGATTTTTTAACTAAACTAAAACAAATTATATATTTTTAAAGGAAGGATGCTTAACTATAAAACAGGCCTAAATTGAGATTTACACAGGCAAGGAGAGGTAACTTTTTTGGCAAACGTCTGAGTTTTACGAGCAGTCATACCCATGTTTTATTTCTTTTTCTCTGTCTCTTTTATTTATTTATTTTTTTCAAGAAACTTCACTAATAATTACAATTTCAAGACTTGTCAGATATGTGTCCTAATGTCTCCTCCCCCTTTCTCTTCAGCAGATCAGCAACAATTTTCAGGTCCTTCTAGTTGTATTTAATGGTATCCATGTCCCAGCTTTGACTTGGCTAATCAAGGCGTCCACTGCTGAAGCCAATATTTATTATTTTACCTTTGAGATTTGGGTCAGTTTTATAGTAATTTCCCAGTATACTGTAAAGTAGGGTTTCTTAAGCTTCCTGGCACATAAATATGACCCTATAGCATTATTAGCCTTTTCCATGCTTCAGAGTGACATTAATAGCGAGGTGAAGGCATTGCCAGTTTTTCTCCACTCAGTCTTTATTTCAGGCCAGAACGTTCAAGATTTTGGATTAGTTCTCTCTACCTAATAATCTATTAGTTTTTTGAGTGGGCTGCCACATGCATTTTAATTCGGAGAGTTTTTTTTTTTCTTTTCATTTAACCAGCCTTCTAAAAAGGCCTAACTGGTCGGATGTATATTGATTGGATTTTTGCACAGTACTCATAACGTTAAAAGGGAATATTAGAGTTTAAACCTGACTATTGGATTCCAGGTCATCTTTTTGTCTGAAGCTCTTCCTTTCCATGCATACAGGTGATTACAGTGGGGTTTGGAACTATAAACATCAAAGAAAACACCTTTTTTAACTTGAAGAACTCAAATGTTACTGTACAGCCTACTCAGGATCTGTAAAGTCCATCAGAGGTTACACTCAGAGATAGAATCCATAAAATATCATTGAACTGTTATTCTGTTTATTATAGGAAAAAGAATAACAGTTTTTTTTTTTTTTATGTTGTATATTTAGTGGATCAGTATGTTCAATAACTACACCTCAAAAGCCCATCCAAGCATTTTTTTTTTTTTTTTTTTTTGCTGCAGCATAAAAATTCAGATTGATCATAGTTCTGTTGGCAGGGTTTGGGCAGGTCCAGAGCTTAGGTCTATTTTTTTTAATCAACCACTAGTTTTGTATCTTGTCCTGGGGCTTGTAAAGAAATAGACCCAGATGAGTGTAAAACTCAATGGCAAACAGTTAAAAGCATAGTCAACTAGACCATATATTTCAAGCATTAATGGTGCCCTGGTAGGTTCTGGTTTATGATGCCCCATAAACAACCCAACATATCCCCTCCCTATCCAACAATGCACAATATAGAAATGCATGATCAAACCAATGCAATATTGATTTTATGGTACAATAGATACATCTATTAAATATAATGTAAAAAAAAATATTTTTACAGATATCTAGGTTGTTATGAAAATTAATTTTTACATATACTATATATTTCTAGCTGTTCAGTGTTTAGAATAATGTAGAAGGTCTGATTATTATACAATCTAATAATTTGGGATTTTTAAACAGATGATAAAATTTTCTGTAATAATTATATGTAAAATTATAGGTACTAAATCAGATAAAAACCTCAGTATTTTAAGATCCCCTGCTGTTCATCATAATTTCACAGTTGGCTTAAAAAATGTGATTTTTGTTCAGCTGACACAGCCTAGCTGTTCTAGTGTTAATGAAATATAATAGAGGTGACAACTGACAGATGACTCAAGCCCTTGAGCAGTAGGTTAACTAAAGCACCTTATTCAGCCATGCATTTGTAGATTACAACACAGGTGAGGAATGAGCTGCAATAGATCAAGGTGCGAAGAGCTGCAGGTCCAGATGGCATCAGCTCCAGACTTCTGAGATGTTGTTCTTTGATTTCTCCAGTGCTTTCAACACCATCCAGCTTGGACTCTTAAGGGACAAGCTGGACCTGTCAGGAGTGGAGCAGCACATTCCAAGTGGATTATGGACTACCTCACTGGCCGCCCACAGTATCAAAAGTAACCAACCTATCTGAGGCACAAGGCTGTCCCTCAGATAGGTTGTTTTACAGTACGGGTGGATAAGCTCACCAGGAAGGCCAGCTCCGAGATTGGATGCCCTCTGGACTCAGTGCAGGAGTTGGGAAACAAAAGGATCCTAACGACATTAACATCTCTGTTGGATAAAGTCTCCCACCCCATGCATGAAGCTGTTGCAGAACTAGAGAGCTGCTTCAGTGACAGAATCCATCCATCCATCCATCCATCCATCCATCCATCCATCCATCCATCCATCCATCCATCCATCTTCTTCCGCTTATCAGGGGTTGGGTCGTGGGGGTAGCAGCTTCTGTATGGAGGCCCAGCTCCTCCGGGGGAATCCCAGCTGAGAAACATAGTCCCTCCAGCGTGTCCTTGGTCTCCCCCTGGACCTCCTTCCGGTGGAACGTGCCTAGAACACCTCACCAGGGAGACGTTCTGGAGGCATCCTAATCAGATGCCCGAGCCATCTCAACTGGTTCCTCTCGATGTGGAGAAGCAGCGACTCTACTCTGAGTCCTCCCCGGATGACTGACCTCCTCAACCGATCTCTAAGGGAGAGCCCAGACACACTATGGAGAAAACTCATTTCAGCGGCTTGTATCCGGGATCTTGACCCAAAACACATGACCATAGATGAGGGTAGGAACGTAGATTGACTGGTAAATCGAGAGCTTTGCTTTTTGGCTCAGCTCTCTCTTCACCACAACAGACCAGTAGAGTGCACGTTTCACAGCAGACTCTACACCAATCCGCCTGTCAGTCTCCCTCTCCATCTTCCCCTCATTCGTGAACAAGACCCCAAGATACTTAAACTCCTCCATTAGGGGCAGTACATCCTCTCCAACCTGGAGAAGGCAATCTACCCTTTTCCAGCTCAAGACCATGGTCTCGGATTTGGAGGCACTGATCCTCATCCCGGCTGCTTCACACTTGCTTGCGAACTGCTTGAGGGACATCTGTAGATCATGCCCTGATGTAGCCAATAGAACCACATCATCTGTGAATAACAAAGACGCAATCCTAAGGCCACCAAAACAGATCCTTTCAACACATTGGCTGGGCCTAGAAATTCTGTCCATAAATGTTTTGAATGGAATCGGTGACAAAGGGCAACCTTGGCGGAGTCCAACCCTCACCGGAAACGAGTCTGACTTACTGCCAGCTATGCGGACCAGGCTCTGACACTGGTCGTACAAAGACTAGGGATGCACGATATTGGGATTTTGGCCGATATCTGATATGCCGATATTTTAAAACTCATGCAGCCGATAACCGATATTGATACCGATGTTAAAGCTGGACAAAAATAAGTAGTCATTGAAAATAGCAGTTTTGTTATCCATTTCTGACACTTTGAAAAATAATATACTCAAATATGTTTTCATATGCTGATATCAAATTATTTTTTAAAAACGTGGTATCGATCTATTTTACTTTCAAAATCTTGTGAAATTTCATCGTTCTGTTACAAACTCTTGTGATATTTTGCAAATTCTTGTGAGATTTTGTTAGTAAAATAGATCGATACCGAGACAATATATCAACATATAAAATATGGCAAAATTTTGTGAATTTTCGGGGGATTTCGTAGCATACGATGACATATAGCAATATTTAATTAGTAAAAGAGATTGATATGGTGTTTTTAAATGGCAATATATCAGCATATGAAGATATTGTGATATTTTAATGTATCAACATTTTTCCCTCGTCTTTAGAAGTTTTTAAGTCTGTAAAAAAATACGTTTTTGAGGAAGAAGAAGAAGTAGTATTTATTTATTTTTTTTTTTTCGACTTTAGAAACTCAGAAGCTGATCAAATATCGGGTTAAATATCGATGGGGTGGCCGATGTCCGATATTCAGTTTTAAGGCTGATACAGGCCGATACCGATAGGGGGCCGATTATATTGTGCATCCCTAACAAAGACCTAACAGCCCTTATTAAAGGGCCTGGTACTCCATACTCCCGGAGTAACCCCCACAGGACCCCCTAAGGGACACGGTGGAATACCTTCTCCATATCCACAAAACACATGTAGACTGGTTAGGTAAACTCCCATGCACCCTCCAGAATCCTGCTGAGGGTGTAGAGCTGATTCAGTGTTCAATGGCCATGACGCAGTGACAGATTGCTGCACCCTAAATGCACCAGGGAGCGTTGTCACAGATCCTTCCTCCCAGCAGCTGTAAGACTTTATAACTATCACTGTTCCCAACAACCTCAATAAGTTGTTACATTCATGCTGATTTTTGCAGCTAAATCATATCAAAACATAACACTCAGCTGTTGCATTGATTTTCAATTTTGTAGCTTGTATTAACAGATTAATTTAAAATCACTTATCTGAGACAACATGCTTGTTTTTTTATGTAGCGAAGCATAAATAAATATTTACAGTCATACACAATTGTTATCTCTGATTCATGAAACTGATGCGTACTTCCTGATCAGAGGATAAGCCTCTGGTAAACCTATGTGTATTTTTCACATCATAAACTTCCATAATAAGAGTTCCTCTTTTACTAACGATTAGAGGGCGGTAGCTGCGGGAAACGGTCTTGTGTTGAGTTTAAAGGTAAATCATTTTATTAAGTCACATGATGAGCTGCCTCATATTTCCTCATCGGGATTAAACCAAAGGCTCTGCTCAGAAGACGGTCTGTCGCTTAGAGCAAAAAGAGATATTAACATGGAAAAGCAACCTATAATGAGGTGAGGATGGCTTTGTTTTTATCTCATTTTTAGAGCAACGTTACTTTGATGTGTTGCTTAAGTTTCGTTTCGTTTACTCGTTGCAGCGGTGGGCAGCACCAGAATTACGGTATTGCCAACCCGGGTTACATCCCAGCAGCGGCAGGAGGAGCAGGTATGAACTTTCGATTAGGCAAAGTGGTATTTAAAGCTAATTATTGAGTATCATCTGATTAGCCTACTTTAAAAATTGATAAATCAAACACTTCGCCATAACTTGGTTTCCGGTGACGTCACCACTTGCCGTTGTTGAGATATCTGAGTTTAGAGACTCTTACATTTTTTTTGGAATGCTGGATGATTAATTAACAGTTCGCTTAAAGTTTTAATTTACAATTAAAGCCGTTGGTAGTAGTAAAGATGGATATATATATATATAAAGCCTTAATATTCAATATGGATCAATCCACGTGTCTGACATTTTTTTTCCAAAATTCTTTTAAATAAACTTTATTTGTATATTCTTTACAAAAAGAAATTAGTGCCACTTTCAGTAACAAATATAATAATAATAATAAATGTAAATAACTAAATAAAAGTAATAGTAACAAAGTAAAGTTGCATAAATACTTTGAATTTAACATGTCTGCCATTTCGTGACCTATCACAGATTAACATGACGTAATCTCTAACTTGTTATACTGAACTCACTGTAAACTTTTTGATGAGTTGTGGAAATAGCTATATCAAATGATAAAAAATAAAACAAACAAGAAAGAAAACTCAAAAGAGAAAACCTGAAGAAACCACTTTTTTATTTAGCTTAGGCCTAATGTCCCTATTAATTACCCTATGAAAACAATTAATTACCCTATGAAGACGCAATGAAAAAAATCATCCTAAGTTATGTTTGTTTGGTTAATATTAGACTTAGAAAACTTTTTTTGTCATTTTGTATACACATAGTGTAATGAAATTTTGTTTTGTACAGCTCTCATGACATTTCCATTTCTTATTTCTTATGTAAACAGTGTGGAAGAAAAAACATGGTTCAAAAAAAAGCATTGATATGGAAGTTCAGAACCTTAAAACATTGTTGTAAATGTTGTAACATAGGGAGCCGTACGAGAGCCACTGCAATATGTTAAAGATACCAAACTAGATAGATCTCTCCTGTCTTCTTGAACCCCAGTCAGCCTCGTCAGACGGCCGCTCACACTGAGCCTGGTTCTGCTGGAGGTTTCTTCCTGTTAAAAGGGAGTTGTTTTTTCTCTCCACTGTCGCTACAAGCATGCTTAGTGTGAGGGATTGCATCGAGTCAATGAGCCGATGCAATCAACTGGTTTCCCTTAGATAGAAAACTTTGAATCAATTTGACTGTATGATCCGGTTGAATTGTAAAGTGCCGTAAGATGTTTTGTGAATTGGCACTACATAAATAAATTAAATTTTATTTTTAAAGCAGATTATTATATCCTGTTCTAATTCACTGTGATGGCAACTTGAATGTTTTATTGAGTGGCCTGTCATCTGCCTCTATTGGCTCTGGTCTGAAAACCCAGGCTTGTAAGTTTCTCTTCGACTGACTGGAAGGTGGGTCTCACGGCTATGTTCTTGCTGTCAGATGAACAGCTTTACCGCAACCCAGTGAAGACCATTGTCTTTAGTACCCACAGACCTTGCACTGAGCTACAGTATGCACACACAATTGTACAATCTTTTGCTTTTTTTTTTTCTCTCGAGGTTTATGACATGTTAAAGGCAGCAAAATTGCAACAAAAAAAAGCATTTGTCAAAATAGGGAAGGAAGAGAAAATGAGAATCAGATCAGGGCAGAGATCACATTTGCTTCATGCCAACTAATAAAAAAAAAAAAAAAAAAAAAAGAGAGAAAACAAAACTAATGGAGAACTTCCACTAGAATTACCATTGTGGCTATTGAGTGATCTATTTTTAGGATGCCCCTTTAAAAGATGCCAAACTAACTTATGAGAGCATTTCTCTTAGTAGCTAAAAATCAATGTGTAAAATGTATTTTTTCAGTTCTTATTTCATACTTGAAATATAAGTGTCCTCTTTACACATGCTGACAGTTTGATGGATATGGACTGTGTGATTTTTATAATCTTTTCTCCAATTTAAGCACAATCTTACGTACAAGCTATTATGTGCCTACAAAATGAAACAGTGCCACCTAGTGTCACAATATATAAACGACACAGAACGAGATGCATCTTATTTGTAAAAATCTGATAAGATAAATTAACTAAATCTAAAATCTTCCTATTCTGAAAAACTGCTTGGTTTCTTTAGATGAGTAATGTGACATACTGTGCTTTTTTTCCTTTTACTTCTAAAATGGAAATAAAATATCATACAAATAAATAGTATATCCTACAGGTATACTATTTCCCTTGGTGCAACCCTCATTCCCTCCTAAAACAAAACAAAAGCAATCATGCAATCAATCATAATACACCTTATTTTAAAAACAAGTATATGTACATCCATGTGCGCGCACACACACACACATACACGCACACAGTAAGAGTCATAGTTAAATGTATCAGGCAGCAACTTGAACATCCATGCATCCATTTTCCGTCACACTTATCCCCAACTTGAACATAATATAGGAAATTATAGCATAAAGAATTCCACATATAATAAGCAAATTCAGCTTTTCTCTAATCCATAAAGTAACAGCTGCCAGAGATCTATAAAAGAATAAGCCCGGTCATATTTCTCACAGGTTAGCTTTTCAAGAGGCAAAAAGAAAGCCAAGTGTTCCAAGAAAAAGAAAAAAAAAAGGAGGGGAATCATTCTTCCAATATAAAAGAATGCATATTTTTCTCCAAATTAAGTAATCAAAATCACTTATTTTGAGTTTTGCCTCCAAAACTGATTGGGTAAAGACATGAATCGAAGTTCAGTAACTTTTAAAAGTAGCAGGAAGTTGTGTTAAATCATACAAATAAATCCATAGTGTTCATTATATATATTTTTCAATAGGCACATTAAAATCGGAAGCTACCGTGATCTCACACAATGGATTATCGGTTTTCGCTCCGTGTTTTATTGCAAAACCGAACCACTATCTGTGTCGCCTGACTTCCGTGCCCCAGTTTACTCGCTCCATATCCATCCGCGGTCAGCAGCTGCACTACGGCGCTGATAAGCCTGGTTACCTTTCAGCAGCAGCTACGACCTGCAAACACGAGATTCAACTGTACCAAAAAAGCGAAACTCATATTAGGAATTTATAAAAATAAGTAAAATTTAATTTTTATAGCACCTTTCACATGCATTGGAGTCAAAACAACGCTTACAAAAATAGATAAAACTTTTAGAAATCAAAGAAAAAACATCTAGTCATAATAAACAGCCGACACACTGAAGTCGTTATATATATATATATATATATATATATATATATATATATATATATATATATATATATATATATATATATATATATATATATATATATATATATATATATATATATATATATATACATATGTTTGTGTGTGTGTGTGTGATTCCTTTTGTGTCTTGCGGTTTTCCGGTGACGTAACACCGTGGAAATGGGTGGGATCATAATTTGTTGTAGAAATCTTACGGAGCTTCGAGCTTCAATTACATACGTTTAGTTTAAGTTATGTTGGGTTACTTATAAGCTCCATCCAGCGGGCGGTAAATGTGAGCACTGTAGGCTTTTAGTACAGTAAACCTGTTGGAATGGAGACCATAACGGAAGGACACGGTAAGTCACTGTTTGCTTTAGGATTGGGACTTGTGAGAACATGTATCTATAATATCCCAGCAAGTGTTTTGATTTCTTGTTTTTTTTTTTTTTTGTACAGCACAGCAGGCTTTCTCACTGGTGTGTTTTAGCTGAGCGCTTTGGGTTTAGGAAATATGTGCCAAAAGATCATAAAATGTTGAATATCTCAGAAGTTTCTATCTGTTTCTAACTGAACTGGTTCTTCTGGTTTGATTTAGCAATGTTTGCCCCACCCGTGGCTGAGTCTCAAGGCCCCAGCGCTCCTCCGGCCGGCATGTTTGACAGCATGCCGGGGTATGAAGGGACCTTAGCAGGAGGAGGTACAGTAATATACAGTGTACTGACCCACTAACCCAGTGATCTTAATTTATAGATTTTATTTAATTTCAAAGGATTCAGGCTTACTTTGTGTTGAATTATATAGAAAATGGCAAAGCAGATAACCCAAAATGTGACTATATCTTGTGTAAATGTAGTCCAGAAAAAAAGTCCTTCAATTTAACAGATATGAAATTAAGTTGGTTGAACCTTTGACAAATTCAAAGATTCATAGAATTTAGAACCAAATGTTTTATTTCTACTCTAATCAAATTTACAATATTCAGTGGTGGTAGATAAATGTTTGAACCATCATATTCTAAAAAAGTCTGTAGATGATTAAATGCATTTGGTAAAATGTTTGCCACCATTCACTGCCTAATGTCCACTTCCCTTTTAAAGGAAGAGGGAAGCCAGTCCTTTGCACTATTACCACATGTGACTTTTTGCAAAATCAGCAACGTAATTTTGGGTCTTCCTGCTTTATCCACTGAAGGCCACCATCTGTAGTGACAAAAACTAGTTGGAGGATAAATAAACTCATAATACACAAACGGTTAGTTTGTGTTTTAGTTAGGTTTTTATAATTAGGTTAGGTTTTTATAATAGACACAATTCATTGGGAGTGTTTAAAATCTCCTTCATTCTCTCCTTCTTATGTTTAGCCTATTTAATTATATTGTGGCCCGTTCAGCAAAAACAGGGTTCCAAAAAATAGACAATGGAATAACAGCTAATCATCTTTTCTGCTAATTCAAAAACATTTTTTTCAGACATTCTTTATTTAGATTTTAATTTACAATTTGGCTTATTTTCCCAATAAATCTGCTTAATAGGCCTCTAAATAAGAGGCCTTTCACTGGAACAAATGAGATCAAATATGATCAGGCTTGCCTGAATTAAGTAATAAAACTTATTAAACTTATCTTTTTACTTTTGTAACAGGTGGATTTCTTCCCCCTCCAATGCCCTCTTATCCAGCCCCCCAGCCTTCACCTGGACCTGAGCAACCGCAGTGGAAGTAATGCATACACTGTAGCCCTTCTATGACAAAGCTTGATATAATTTTAAAAAGTTGACTGCAACCTGTTGGTTATTTGGTAAATATTACCATATCATACCATATTTTTGCTTGCAGCATTCCATCTATAACTGAGGATACTGCCAGGGATGCCTTTATCTTGTATGCTTCCAGCAAGTGTTGCTACAGTTCTGCACCAGCTAAAAACGGTGTGATCACCAACATGGAGGCATTTAATACCTACAGAGTAAGAGGATTTCTGGTTTGAAAATGTTTCATTAAAAACCTGGAAGAATTGAATGAAAGGGAGCATATGCTTTGCATTGGACTTTATTTTTCCATACAGTTTAAATTATGTCTTTTACTTTTTTTGTTTGTTTTTTGTTGTTTTTTTTGTTTTGTAGTATCGCCTAGAAACATTTACTGAGTCCAGGTCTACAGAATGGAGTCACGAGCCATACCATGGTAAGTTTCTGTACACATGCCCCAAAAAAAAAAATAGTTTGTGTTTATTATAAATGTGGGAAAAAAGTATTTTAAGGAAGCCCCACTTGGTTAGCCTCAGGTTTTCCCTACCAACATGGTGAATTAATTGTGCAACCACTAGCTATTGGGCAATAGTTGTAATAAAGTTATGAATTAAATTTGTATTTCTATGCTGATTCACAGACTATAGCGAAACTGTAGAGTAAACAACGGCACAATTTAGTAATCACTGAATACTGCTGCACTACTTTTATATCTAACCTTGTTCTGTGGATGTATAACAACCTATGTTGACTAGTCAGTTATTTGGGTCATCTGTTCCTTTTTCTCTAACTTGACAATTAAAAAAACCTTTAAGCAGTTATTAAACATTCCTTTCAGTAAGCCCACATTTCCATATTTTTTTATATTGTAACATTGTAATCTTAAATGTTGCATTATAAGTAGCTGTAATTAGAAAAGGCCAGAAAACATTATTCTGTGTGAAATGATTCTATATAATTTTTCTTTTTTTTGTGTTAATATTCACATTGAGTAATTTTAATGAAATAATAAAGTCTTATACCGGTAGTTTAAAACAACAAATTGTAATTAACGTTAACCTGTGAATTATTCTACAGTTTGTTTGATTTAAATTTTTTGCGTAACATAGATAAATAATTCTAGATAAAGTTATTTTTAAGGTATTCAGACAAATATCACTTTGAGCGTAATTCTTTTCCAGTCATAAAAACATTCATCCTTTAAATGCTTTGGGAAATCTCTTTTTTTTTTCTTGTAAATTGTTATGGACAGTCAACGACTTAAAGTTACATAGAAAAACTATATTTGTTAGAGAAAAGTCCAATTTGATGTGTTCATAAGTGGTATAATAACACATGAAAATGTGGATAAACATTTAGTATGATGTGCTTATTTATTTGTGGAATTGAAAAGTAAAAAAGAGTAAAAAAAAAAAAAAAAAAAAACTGCTGGAGTTTTCCAAGTTTGAAGACGAATCGCTTCCCATCCAGGAAGCTTTTTCAATTCAATATGTCTGGATTAGTGTTTAATTCCAAGTTTCATAGAGTAGCCCAACAAAACCTTGTTATGGCTTAGAAAAAATGCAAATTGAACAGAAATTTAATTCTTGCATAAAAACTTAAAATTTTTAAGGCAGAAAAAAGTGATCGCAAAATACAGTCTCTACAGTATAATGTTCTATCAAATTAGCATGATAATTAGACTGATCGCAGTACACTTTGCTCGCTGACTGCCCAACTTTTTTCCTCACATTATAATGTTTTGACACTTTTGATGACTTACTATGTTTAATGTGGATCAGGTCAGCCAGTAGATGCATATGCTCAGCAACCTCCAGGGCCCTGGGAAATTCCTGCCAGAGCACCCGTCTTTTTTAAAGACGACGAACAGAAAATGAAGGTTCCTTACACCTCATCCATGAAGGTAAGCCATTCAGGACAGTGTGAGGGGAAAACTTATTTGCTTTTGTGACTTAATCAAGAGATTTTTCTTTATAAATATCATTTTACATGCACCATAATAAAATATTATTTTTTTAAGCCAGTAGTTAGGCATTGTTTTATAGTATTGTTGTGAATTTGGCCTATATGATCTATATGTTTAAATTAGTGGGTTATTGTTCTGTCCTAGCCCTGCCATGGATGTGTGGGAATGGGGCGAAAGCCTTGCAAGGACTGTGCAGGCTCTGGTAATGTAAGTTTTTTCCCATTAAATTGAGAAATGTTGAAAGCTTATCAGTGTGATTACATGTCAGCTGTCTTTTATGATTTTGTTTTCTACAACAGAAAGTTTGCTGGGTGTGTAATGGATCAGGTTACCGCCAGGGAGATGATCGATGCAACCACTGCAGTGGAAGAGGGAGGGAAAAGTATGCACTTCAGTTCTAATGAAATTGAAACGATAATGATATTAAAAACAAAACTGACTACAGCTTGCAGTGTTTATAGACCAATGTATTTAAAATTCTTTTTCAGCTGCATACACTGTCATGGACAAGGATCAAAGCAATGTGAAATCTGTCATGGAAAACAGCAGCTTCTGGTCTACATTAACCTCACTGTGAAATGGTATAGTTTTGTCGGTAATGTTTTTCTTTCGAAGCTTTAGATTTCTTAGATTAACTCCATCCCAGTCCTCACCAATGTTTAAGGTATATGGATAATAACCAAAAATATAAGCGCTTCTTTAGAAGCAGCTAAAAATAATTTTCTTTGTCAGGCTCAGTGTTGGCAGTGGAATGAGGAGGAAGGCTCGTTTATATCAAAAGGAGTCTGCTTAGGTGGTTCTAGAGTCTTATAAGGAATTTTTTTGCATGATCAATTTTATTTGTACCCACAGGACAAACAATTCTGAGGATTATGTTGTTGAACAGTCTAGTGGTCTTCAGGTGGCAAACCTCAGTAAAGTAACAGGCAAGGAGCTTTTCAGAGACTCCCAGTACATGGTAAGGGCTCATTTTTCATTGGAATAAGGTTAAATTATATTATGGATTTAAAAAGAGAGGTTAAATTCCAAATCATTGTTAATGAGTCTATATTATGAATTTGAACAGTGGTGCTATTAAATTAAATCTAATAGAGATGCTGCCACATGACGTTCCCTTAACCTGGCCAATTTACAAAAAAGTTATGAAAAAAATGGTATGTTAAAGGGCCTCAATAGCAATATATATATGAGTGATTACAAAGATTGCAGTTGTTGCCAATGGTGACACTAGTGATTAGCTTTAGGTGGAAGTTAATTCTAGGTTGATTCCAAAGTTTTTTTTGTGCCCTTTTTAAAGAAATAATCTTTTAGGTTACTTTTTTTCTTTGATAACACAATTTATGATCTAATAAACAAGCAAAAATTTAAGCAATGTGTCAGGGAGAAAATACATTCACTGTTTGATTAAAAACAGTGAAAGTATACACATAACTACTCCTTTAGTAGTTGTGTGTATATAGAGTAAGAAAATACAATTTGTGTGTCAGAAAAACCCAGCCTTTAGTCTTAATCCTTACTTTACAGAATGTGTTTCAAAAATAATGTTGATCTTTTTTTGTATATTATTTACATAGTTTTTATATTAAGGAATTTTCACACAACTTAAACCATGAAAAGAGTTAAAGAACCTCTTTGATACCCTCACTAGGTGTACCCACTCATGGGCTTTCCAGACCCTACAGTAGTGCAGGCTGCACAACGACTTGTTGGAGATCATCAGGCTAGATTCTCCCAGACATCACGCATTCTACAACAGGTATTTAAAGATGTTATAACACTCAAGCAGCTTTTGTTGTTGAGAAATGCTAATATTTGCTTTGTTTTGTCTACAGCGTCAAACCATAGAACTTATCCCTGTCACGAAGGTCACCTACACATGGAAAGGAAAAACATACATTTACTTTGTTTACGGAAACGAGTTCAAGGTTCATGTGAATGACTATCCCGCTAAGTGCTGCTGTTCTGTAATGTAATCAATACATATTAGTAATACATTGTTAAAGGCAACTGAATAAATATGTCTGAAAACAACTATTTGTATCAAAAATTAAATAAATATGTCATGCAATGATTGGAAAGTGGGACTTCTATTTCCAAGGCCTACTAAAACAATTTATAAACATTGGAGATGTAAAAAAATATGTAAAACTTGTTTTATCCCTGGGTTGAAGTTTAGCAGGTTCATATTAAGCAATCCAAGCGCTGTCTGTAGATATAATAATTCAACTTCAAGGATAAACCATTGATATGTTGCCTTGTTTTAAACAATGTTTGAATGACATTCATTTTAAACATGTCAGACGTCTTTTTGATTCCATTGAAAAACATAAATCCGATTGAGAACAAAAATTTATCAGATGTAATGTTTTTTTGTTGTTTTTTTTATCTGTAATACTTTGTATTTATGTAACTCGAAGACTAATCTTCATGAAGCAACTCATATGTTTAAGATTCACTTGTATCAGTAACTGGCACATTTTTTATTTTGTATAGATTTGTATCTATTAAAAATATGAATATATTTTGTAACAAGGCATTTAATGTACCATGAAATTCATATATATATTTGCATGAAATATTTTCTAGTGCTCAATTTCAATAAAGGCGATTTCACAACATGGTGTCGTCATTACTAGTGGACCGTCGCCTTTGAAATGACGCAAAGAACGTGCTCGTTATAATGCTAACCGAGCAGTCACAGCCACAATAAAAGCAAATGAAAGCGGTGCTTGTGAGACGGTTGTTGATGCGCTGAGACTCTACAAACAAAAAATAAATCGGAACTCGTATCAGTGGATTTCGTTTCCGGTGTAACTGGACAAGCAAAGCAAGAACTGAGGATAAAAAGCAGGTAAAGTTAGCATGCTGGGTACATAGCCACTCTTGCTAGTGCCGTGTAAGTTTGCATTTGCAGGCATGTTTTCATGGTCCCAGTATAAACTACATCCGTCAAAATAAACTACAGGTTCTTATAAATTGCAGAACTGATGGTTAGTTCTGCTATTAGGCACTAAAGCTGTTAAAGCGTTGTGGTTTAGCTGCCTAGTTTTGCTACTATTTAGCTAGCCAAACACCGCAGCTGCGAGCGGATTTCCCAGCTGCCTCCAAGACTGTAAATAAAGAATTCATATTTTAATAACACATTGCGATACATAGCAAGTGAGTCGCTGTTATATTCACACATACGTGCTCTAATTTATTTAATATTTAGATTATATGTCAAAGAAAACAAGTGAATCTAACAAAAAATGACAGTTGTGCTCCCTAGAGAACAGGGGGAGTGAAGCGGATCAGCTGCTTCTGTTTTTGATCTACAAACATCAGCTGCCACCTCACTAAAAGACTATCATCAGATTTCGTAGGTCTCTCTTCCTGTTTTTCCTTTCAAATAAAATTAGTGTATACATCAACGAATTGCACTGGATGTAGAAGAAACACCCAGCAGGGTTTGAGTGGAGGGGGTTAGAAATAAAATATTGGTGGTTAGGGAATAATAAGCAGGTTTGTGTCTGCAATAAAAGACAAGAAACATTGAGATCTTGTACGAAAAATAATAGAAGTGCATGGACTACGGCAGGGGGGATATTCACGACCAATGGAAAAGTACAATGCAGACCAAAGGGCACGTAGGGGTATGCAGGTATGCAGGGCATTTTCATCATATGGAAAATAAAGCAGCGGGTAACGGTGTTAAAAGCGTATTGATTGTACATTTGAGTAGTATTAAGAGGTTATTTAATACTCTCTGCGGCGCTTCCTTTTATCAGGCTGATCTGAACAGATTCTTGAACTGGTTCTCCTTGTGCTTCCCCGTTTCCTTTGCTCTGTGGTAATTTTTTCTTAGTGTTTTGTTACACACCACAAAGTGCCCACAATCATGGCTTGGGTTCATTTATGGCCACGGGAAGGGAAGGGCTTGTGGTAGCTCCTTGATAACTATTTAAGATGGACCCAAATTTGGTTCTCCAGCTCAGGTGAATGATGCAGATACTTATTATAATATAATTGGTGCATGGCCTTCAAAAAGATACAAACCAGTTTAAAATGGAAAAAAAATGCAAGGTGTAACATAGATTATTATTTTTTTTACATGGTGAGTAATGTTTTATCATTTGTATTGACTTGTGTCTGCTATTTTTTTAAACCTTGATTTAAAGACAAAATGGAAAAGTAAACAAAATTCTGTTCTTGTTGCTGAAGTCACCAGAGTGACGTCATACACACTCACTTTGTTTAAAAAAATAAAACCGCAGATGTCTGGGGGACAGTGACTCACCTACATGTTATGAATGCTGGAGTACCATAACGAATATATTATGAACTGTTTAGTTTGTGCCTCCAAGTCGTTGCCCATAGTAATACGTCACTTGGATATAACCTAACAGAATATCTTCAGAACAGCTCCAAATGACACAAAACTAATATGGGTGAGTAGAACATGATGTAATAACGTAAAATCAAGGGCCTAATGTAAAAAAAAATAAAATAAAAAATGGTGTTCCTCTTTAAAACTCACTCATGTAATTAAGGAGGGTCATGTCCATCATTGACTAGCAGAATGCTGCTAAAAGTTGTTAGGTTTTATATGACACTTAATTGGCACATGTTTGTGACTATGGCCTTGTCTCCAGGACTTCTCCATATTATTGTGCTATCAAATTCCAAAACACAGGAACTTTAACTGGAAAAGTTCCCATTGTGTTGTTTCCTGATGCAATTCATGTGCTACTGCAAATGTTACCAAGATTTTTCATGTTTGGAATCTGCCAATCCAACAGTTTACACCATGGCGTCAGCATCTGCCACTGTGGACTCTAAGGCAGAGCTGACTGCTCTGCTGGAACAGTGGGAGAGGGAGCAGCAAGGCAACACACAGGAGCTGGTTAACATCCTTACCAAGTAAGTAGGCAGGTGCTTAAAATATATAGTGCTGTAATGCATTTAGGAATAATTAAAGGGGCTTTAATAGTGTTAATTTTGTGGATTTACTTTGATTTTAAGAATCTCGGAGCTGGTTGAAAAAGAAACAGAGGAGTACCACAAAGCGGACCCTGACCCCTTTGATGATCGACATCCTGGTATGAAATAAAGAATAGAAGAGCCTTATTGAATTGAATATTCTGTATGTTTAACATGCCTCTCTTGGCCACTAGGGAGAGCTGATCCAGATTGTATGTTGGGTCATCTTCTGAAGATTTTGTTCAAAAATGATGAATTTATGAACACAGTAAGTATTTTCTCTACAAATACTTTTGATACTTTTTTGTGCACCATAATTAAAAATGTTATCAATTCTATTCTTAAAACAAAGTAAATTTTTACTTTCTAGTTGGTGAACAGCTATGTGATGACCAGCAGAGAGCTGTCCCTAAATACAGCAGCATGTCGCCTGCTACAAAACATCATGCCCGGACTGGAGACCGCTGTGGTCTTTCAAGAAAAGGTAGAGGACCTCTGCATTAGTCCTGTAGTTTATGTATTTTTATGGTGCATTCAGAACACATGCGGTGGCTGTTGCGGTGGATTCGCATAGAATTCCTGTACAGACCACGCGGTAAAGTGACCAGCGGTGAACTCCACACGATGAGAGTCTTCATTGCTCCTCCCTCACCTCGTGCTACTAGATAGAGCTGAGGTGCAATCACTGCAGTTAAAAAAAATCTGAGCTTTCCCATGAAATTGCAAAACAGCAGCCAGACAGGGACTGGTCATAGGCAAAGCTTTTTTCACTTAAAATGGAATACAGAGAAAATAATGTGAAACAAAAAGTAGAACTAGGGAATGCTCTCTAGGGCTTTAGGTGGCTTAAAAAAAAAAAGCCATTTTATTTCAGTCCAAGAAACATTGGTCATCCTCACTCGCCTCCAGCTCAGATCCTGGGCTGTCGTTGCCCACTGCACAGCGTCATCATGCTTTCTGAGTTGGTAGATTTACAAGGAAGTCCCGCCGAAACCAAAGTGGACTCGCTTTTTTTTCCTTTTTTTTCTTTCAGAGCTTTTGGGGCTTTTCCAAAATCTGGAATATAATTGTCTCCCCAAGGCGATCTAAACATTTTTTTATACGGAACAATTTAATTCAATTCAATTAATTTTATTTATATAGCGCCAATTCACAACACATGTCATCTCAAGGCACTTTAAAATTCACCATATCATACAGTCAAATTGATTCAAAGTTTTCTATCTAAGGAAAACCAGTTGCATGCTTGTAGTGACAGTGGAGAGGAAAACACCCTTTTAACGGGAAGTAGTCTGTGATGTTAAGTTTCACCTGTGCTTTTATTCTGAATTGCTGACAGCGAGACCTTGACAGGAAATGACATGGGGTTGCCAGGGGTAACGGCAGGTCCAAAGCGGATGGTCTTGGGGGCTGATGATTAACTAAAATAAACAATCATTGCAGCCACTTAATAAGGTAAATATGCCCACTGTTATATTTAAGACCAGCACAGGAATGACATGCAATGTTATGCAATAGCTTTATGTTAAAAAATGAGCAAAGCACTAACATCTGCTGGGATGGCAACTTCATCGGCTATAATTAAAAATAATTCCATCTTGAAAACCAAATCTGCACAAACCCCCCCCCCCGTTATACAGAGGTTTGTTCCCAGGAAACCCCACAGAATAACAAGCCACAGTGAATCATCACCTGAAGGATATCTGGTTCTGTCCTTCATCTAATTAGCTGATAACATCTATTGCCCCATTTCCATTGATTTAAATGATTACCCATAAAGCCCCAGCACATTAAGCCTGATAGAAACAGCTCTACATCTTCAGTCCAATTGGTGGCGATGGGAAAAAACTATTGGTTTTCCCCTTTATTATAAGTGCTGACTAGCTATAAGTAAATCTTTTTCCATTAAAAGTTTAAACAATTATTTAACATTTCATTTAGGACCAATCTGTATCTGACCAGAGTGTAAGCAGATATTTTATCAAGTAGAAGCTTCATACCATGTAGACGAAGAACAAACTTTAAACAGATCACAAGCTGACAGAAGGCATCCAACTCATGATCTTTCCTTTCTGCAGTCAACATAAATAATAATTAAAATATATAAATATTTCTGTAAGGTTTACATGGAAAGCCAGACTAAGGAGAATTTGTATTTCCTGTTTGTACAGGGAAAAGTGAAAGTGCCCCATCTTATAATTACTCCATTAAAATACTGCCCTTTAAACTTGCTAAGAGGTTATAATTATTACCTACATTAACTAAAAATGTCAAACCTATCTGGCGAATCAGATGAAGATTTGAGGTGTATTTTCTAGCTTAAAAATCATCTTAAAAGGTTTTTTTGTGTTAACATAACTGACGTGTATTGACCGACTGACTGGCCGACATTATGGCTTCAGTCAGAGGGGAGATCTGACTCATTAGTCCCAACTGAGTCGGCGGCACAGCAGCACAGAGCTCTGCAGCTCTGATGCAGGTTTAAAAGTTGGCTGTTTCATGATAAAACTGTTCACACAGTTGAAGTTTTCGGTGTGACAAACTAATGGCATAAAGACACCATTGTACTTTCAACTTCTCAGAAAATGCCGTCCCTGGTGGAGCAAAGCAGTTCAGTTCAAAACAGTTTATTTATATAGCGACAATTTACAACATGCGCCATCTCAAAGTACTTCACAGATAGAATTCAACCAGATTATATGGCCAGATTGGTTCAGTTTTCTATCTAAGGAAAACCAGCTGATTTCATCTCATTGACTCGACAGCAATGCCTCCCTACAGGATATCTTGTTGATTACATCCCTGCCCCTTCAATAAGCCACAGGAATCTTTAATTGCCCTACCTCACTTAAAGGGATAGTTCGGGAGTTTTGACATGAATCTGTATGGCATCCCCATCACCAGTGGCATGCAATCACACTGACTTACCCCTGGCAGCATCCTGTGAGCAGAGTTCTCGTCCAGCTTTGGTCAAGCCGAAAGTAGTCCGACAGGTTTGCTAGACCCAGCGAAATAAAACGTTTCTCTTCCCAAAACATTATGTGTTCAAAAGAGTGATATTTTTGCATCCCAAAAACATTGTAGTGGAAAAAGTCACACGTCGTTATCACTTGGTCCTATTTTCTCTCTGTTCGTATCAGTGCGCGCGACACCATGACCTGACAGCTAGGGCCTACTAACCTGACAACAGCCAGATGCATGTCTCGTTCCGCCTAGCTCCTAGCTGGGCGGAACGAGACATGCATCTGGCTGTTGTCAGGCCCTAGCTGTCAGGTCATGGTGTCGCGCGCACTGATACGAACAGAGAGAAAATAGGACCAAGTGATAATGACGTGTGACTTTTTCCACTACAATGTTTTTGGGATGCAAAAATATCACTCTTTTGAACACATAATGTTTTGGGAAGAGAAACGTTTTATTTCGCTGGGTCTAGCAAACCTGTCGGACTACTTTCGGCTTGACCAAAGCTGGACGAGAACTCTGCTCACAGGATGCTGCCAGGGGTAAGTCAGTGTGATTGCATGCCACTGGTGATGGGGATGCCATACAGATTCATGTCAAAAATCCCGAACTATCCCTTTAAGGGATCAAAGCCCGAGGAAATTAAAGACCTGGGAAAGTTAAGTTGTCTGGCCCATTTCTTGTGTGTGTGTTCATGTGAATCTTACATTAGCAGCATTAGCATTTTGCCATATCTGCCCCATTCATGCTCTATCAGCCAGGTGTTATGCCTAGGAGTGCATACCTGCTGACATGTGCTCTTCTTCTTTTTTTTTTCTTTCTTTGTTGTATTAAAGATGCAATTTTGAATTCTTTGTGCTCTTCCACTATCTTTAAATTTATGTTTTGACCTTAGATTAAAAATTATCTTGGGATAATCTGAGGTTTGCATCCCTGATTTTCGACAGATTCCACATCTTTTAACATTAAAGATAGATTTCCAGTAATGACTCCTGTAAGTTATACATAACTAAATTCAACCGATGCACACAGAGTAATATAGCTCAAGGCTTTAATGATCACAACAATATTAGAAATCTCTACAACAAATTCTTTCTAACAGCCTTGTATATAATAACACATTGGTACATCCTTAGCAACAACAGCTGTAATCAATAAGGAGTTTTTGTGGACAGACTTAATAATTCTATCAATCACCGCAGAGCCCTCAGGTTTCGAAGCTGTAAAATCATTTTTCGCGTCGAGCCACGTAGGTTTGGATTTTTTTCCCCCTCTCTTGGCATAAAAAACTTAATTTAAAGCAGCATTTTGTGTTTACATGTGTTGCCTTTGACTATTGTTTAAATATATTCTCATATGAAATTCTGAAACCCTTAAACGTGACAACCATGGAAAAAAAGACATTACCGTATTTTCTGCACTATAAGGCGCACCGGATTATAAGGCGCATCTTCAATGAATGACCTATTTTAATACTTTGTCCATGTATAAGGCGCACCGCATTATAAGGCGCATACAATAGACGCTACAGTAGAGGCTGGGGGTTACTTTATGCATCAATTAGATGGAGCTGTGCTAAAGGGAATGTCAGCAATGTTTATTAATAGATTACAAACCAGCATAGTTTATGGTATAACATGTAGTGCAATGTTAATACACCCCACATAGTGGGAGGGAACTTTTCCTCGATTCAATACTAATAATAATCACAATATAGTAACACTTGAAATAGTGCAAAGCAATAACAATATATCAATAACTCAATGTTGCTCAAATGTTAATATCACACAACACACAAAATAAACACGTAAAGCTCACTTTACTAAGCTATTCTTCATCCACGAATCCCTAGAATTCTTCTTCTTCGGTGTTCGAATAAAACAGTCGGGCGAATACGGAATCCAACATGCCCGGCTCCGTCTCTTCGAAGTCGCCATTGATCGAGTCAGTGTCGCTGCTGCTTTCTAGCAGTTCAGTGACAATTCCTGCCTTTGGCGGCTGCTTACCGTAGTTGCCATATATATAAGGCGCTTGGGATTATAAGGTGCACTGTCGGCTTTTGAGATAATTTGCGTCTTTTTAGGTGCGCCTTATAGCGCGGAAAATACGGTACTGGGTATGGATAGTTATTATCCTCTGTCCAAACCAAAGGACAGATTGCTCCTAATTTGTCTGGAGGAATGCCTTTATCCTCATATGTGTTTTTATTAATCCTGCTTTTGACAGCCAATGGAATGTTGTTTTCTCAATGCTTTATACCTCTGATCTTCTTGGATTTATGTATTATTTACCATCATGTGTATGCGTTCCTTTTAGGAGGGAATCGTTGAAAGACTCTTTAAATGGGCTCAGGAGGCTGAACAGCCTCTGAGAATCTATGCCACAGGATTGTTGGCGGGTGCCATGGAGAACCAGGACATCGCTGCCAACTACAGAGAAGAGAACTCTGTTTTGGTCAGTAGGGGGTGTCCCCAGTCTCATATGTCAGTTTGCATTGAATAGTGTAGAAGGTTTTTACATACAGTTTGCACCTAAGGATTAATATAGATATTATTTTTGCTTCTTATTTAACAGGTGCCTTTGATGCTGCACAGGTTGCGTGAGCTTCAGGATAAAGATGCTGAGAACAAACGGGAAATCAAACGGCCAAGCCCCAGGAAGACTCTCAGTGAACCTTTGCTGCCTTTAGATGAGGAGGCCGTTGATGGAGGCTTTGAAGACAAGCCTTTCTCTCAGAGTAAAAATACAGACGAAAAAGAAGCAGTGGGGCCACCGGAGGACGCAGAAGTCCCCTTCCCAAGTGTTGAACCTGAAAACGAGCTTTCCTTCTGTTTGAACTCCCCGCCAAGAACAAGCAGCCGTGCCAACTCAGCTGTTAAAACAATGATGAAGCCAATGTCTGCCCCCAGTTCACTGACACACCAAGGAGTGTCTGACGGTAGCAGCTACCTGAAAAGGAAGATGGAGAGAGATAATGCAAGGAGCTCTAAGCAGAAGCTTAATTTCTCTCTTCCTGAAGCAGAAAGAAACTTTAGTGAACTTTCAAATAGCAGCTGGTCAGAGATGAGCCCCTGGGTTATAGGCAACAACTACCATCTGGACCCTTTGACCCCAGAGATTGAGCAGAGGCTTATCCTGCAGTATCTCACACCTCTTGGGGAGTATCAGGAGGTTGGTCTTATTCTTCCAAACACTTCCAGACACTGAAATCATGTAAATGATTTCAGTCTTTGGCAGGTGATGTCCTAATACTCTGCATGTATGAAAAGGAAAGAAAATTACATTTCAAGTGAAGTTCTTTTTGGAAAATGTCCTTTTGATTTTATGGTTGCATTTAATAAGTATTTTAAATAGTTTAGTAGAATAATTTGGTATGAGATGCTGACAAAGTGTCAGCCTGTTATGCTGCAAACCTACCAGCAGGTGTCAGTCTTCCATTTTGAAAAAAAAAAGTAGCTGCAGGCTATATCTATTGAGTATCAAGTTAAAACATTTGAGTGTGGTAAACTATCCTTATCTAAGTCTTTCCTGTTTACAGTTGTTGGCAGTTTTTATGCAAATGGGATCCCGTGAGCTCCTCATGCACTATATGGATCTAAAGCAGACCAATGATGTCCAGCTGACCTTTGAGGCTCTGAAAGTAAATTCCTGTCTCTCTTTCTTTCACTATTTTAAAATCTTAGACTGATTATGAAGTTCCTTAGTCTCATGCTTTTTTTTTTTCCTTTTTTTTTCTAGTATCTGGCTTCGCTGCTCTTGCACAAGAAGTTTGCTGCAGAGTTTGTTGCTCATGGAGGTGTTCAGAAGTTGTTGGAAATCCCGAGGCCTTCAATGGCTGCTACAGGAGTGTCACTGTGCCTCTATTATCTTGCCTACAACCAGGATGCCATGGAAAGGGTAAAAGAGATTAAAAACACAGTTCAACTCAAGTGTGCTTCCAGTCGTTTTAGGGATTTTAGTGGGTTCTTGACACTTATCAGCTATAACTTTTTATTGAAAAAGTATCTAAACTTTTTCTGTCAAAATTCCTAAAGAAATTGTCAGACTTTTTCGATGGGAATTTTGGCTATCCTGATTGAATCTTTCTTTTGAATAATTTTTCTGTTTATTAGTGGCATTAACTGTTAATCAGTTTATTGTGATGTCTTTAAAAAATCTCATGTCCTAGAATTTTGGTCTTTAAGGCCTTAAAACATTTAAATGATCTCTGGTTGCTGCAGAAAGATGGGGAAGACAAAGGGTCTTTGGATCAGGATTCAAACCCTGGATTGATGCCTTTCCTCTCTACACATGGTCATGTAGTATACCCCTAAAGCATGCATCTGCTACATCCCCGGATTTTTAAAGCTACAGTGTGTAATAATTACAGGGATATACAGTCAGAAATGTAATATATTATACATAACTATGTTATTTATCATCATCTACGAGCTCAGCCTCTTAACTTTAATATTTGCGTTGCCTTAAAATTCGTTATTTACAATTACATAGGAGCGGGTCTCGCAGCCATGGAAGCAGACATCTTTGCGCTACGGCAGCGCAGAGCCAACAAACTAGCGATTGCGAGATCGCCCATTACGCTCGAAAGTAACTATGGCAAGTTGAGAGAGATGAACTGAGACGGTACTGAATAATAGATGGCATGTATGTAAACAAACCTCATCACTTGAGAAGGTAGGTGATGCGGACGTCGTGGAAGACATTTTGTCCCGTCACGCTCGCCGTACTGTTGGGGGGGAGAAGCGGCGGGGGGGGAGATGTTCATGTTGCTACGGTCTGCAGTCTGGACGTCAGATGTCGCTGAAAATTACACACTGTAGCTTTAAATACTTAGCCACTCATATTTTTATCAAAATAAATGGTTGAATATATTGATATATTTCTGTAAACACCAGCACAGTGACAAGTGGCTTTTTTATTATATTTACAGTAGCAAAAGAATTTGAACAGCCTGCACGAGAGCCACAACCTGAGAAACCCCACACTCAGGTCTTGCTCATACCTTTTGGCTCATTGGGATCTCACTGGATCAACTTGATTGATTATCTGAAAGAGACTTTTGAATTAGTCCTAATAGTTTTCTGTAGGATCTGCTTCTGTCTTGCTGAGAGGACTTGCTGCCATCATAGAGAAATATATGGAAGTGGCTTCTAGTGTTCATGTTTCTCTGCCAGGGTGTAGTTTTCCACTGCGAGTCATTAGTTTTCTAATAAACCTAGCAGTGTTATTTTACTATGCCTGAGTTATAATGCTGTGGCTGGTCACAGCACAGTGTTGTGGGCAAAAAGTGTCTTCTTCTGATTGGCAAATATCCTGACTTTAATGCTGTGGAACCAAATAGCGCAATATTGCAAAATTCAGTGTATTATGTTTTTTTTCAGTTGCTCTCCACATTTATATTCAGGGCTTTGCTCTCTCCACTCAAGGTGTGCATGTTGCCCCACTCCGTCTTGTCAGATGTGGTCGGTTACACGCTGTGGCTGTTGGAGTGCTCACATGCATCAGGCTGCTGCCACGCAACAATGTTCTTCTCCATCTCCTTTTCGTTCCGGGCGGTCCTTGAGCTATTCGACAAGCAGGACGGGCTCAGACGGCTTGTCAACCTGGTAAAAAAAAAAAAAAAAAGAAACCTCATTCCTGATTGGAACTGTGTTCACCCCCAATTCTGTGTCATTTTCAGGAAATATTTATACCTGGACAACCTATCCCTTGTCAAATGATTAGAGCTTAACTTTGTGATAAATTGTCCGTTTTCAGATCAGCACACTGGAAATCCTAAATCCGGAGGACCAAGGAACACTGCTGAACGATGATGAGATTTTCTCTAGCAGGCAGAGAGCCAAGCACACCTGCATGGCTCTGCGCAGGTACTTTGAGGCCCATCTGGCAATCAAGGTGGAGCAGGTGAAGCAATCTCTGCAGCGCACAGAGGGAGGTGCCCCCATTCACTCACAGCCGTATTATAAGGTAAATAGAGGCTATGTTGATGTATCAGAACAAAAAACAATTTTCACATCTATCTTTATGAGCTTCAGTTCTTAATTTGGGTTCTGACTTTTGCATTTTTTGTGTCTGCCTATCTGATCAGGCGGTCAGCTATAGCCGTGAACAAGTGGTGGAAATGATGGAGTTTCTGATCGAGTACGGTCCACTCAGACTATACTGGGAGCCAGCAGAGGTATTTCACAAGCTATCCTGTGTCCAGCTTCTCCTGCACCTTATTTCTATTGCCTGTGACTGGAGGACCTACTACGGCAGGTATTCTCCCTTTGTTTACTGATATTATTTAAACATTTTCAAGATGTCAACCAGTGGTGGATTTTGATTTTTGCCGTTTACTCTTGTAGGAGTGATACAGTGCGATATGCCCTTGACATCCTGAGCATTCTCACAGTTGTTCCAAAGACGCAGCTGTTATTGTCTGAACCCGTTGCAGTTGTCGACGTGGGAGGATCATCCGTTTCAACTGTTGGTCAGTCTTCTTAGAGAATGACTTAATTTCTGCTCTAATCCATCTGTTAAGATAGTCTTATTCATAAGTGTTGCCAGAAAAAGAGAGTCTGAGGTTTTTTTGTAAAATTTTTCCTTCTCTGTTGGTTGCCATGCAACAGTCTCTTGCATAATTTGAAAGAAAATCAAGTTTAAATAAAAAAAAAAAAAAAAATCAGCACAGTATTTTTTATATAAAATCTTACTCTTATTATTTTCAGTAAAATAATTTATATTAACATTTTTCTATATTTTTTGTCTTAGGCATAAGTATAGTCCTGGCTGTGGCAGAGGGAGAGGTATTTGTTAATGATGCCGAGATCCAGAAGTCCGCTTTGCAGGTTGTTATCAACTGCGTCTGTGCACCTGATAAACGAATGTCCAGCATTGGCAAGTTTATTGCTGGCACCCCCCGCCGCCGCCTGCCGCAGCAGACAAAGGCCAATGAGAGTGTGCTCACCAAGATGTGGAATGTTGTGCAATCCAACAACGGTATCAAGGTACACTTAAAGCAAGCCTCTTGTGTATTTGAAGTATTTTATTAACAAATATATTTAAATGCAGCTCTTAAATGTTTTTCTCTGGTCAAATATTGATGACAATGGTGACATAATTGTTAAATATTGTGATTAAGAAATCAATTTCAATACATTCACGCATTCTGCTTTCTTCCATTTAACACCCTCAAACTGAACTTTTGCATTTTGGTGAAGGTCATAATGTCTCGTTTAAGGATGTGGCATTAGACTCTGTCCAACTTGCTAAATATTACATTAGCATGTATGATGCACTTGAATTAAATTAGTCAATTGGTACTACACTCAAGTTCTTGGCATCTTGAAAATTTAACACAATGATACTACGGTGACTGTATTCTTGCAGGATTTACAGCCTTGGTGGACAAAAACCAGAGATAACATTTAATGCAATTTTCAGCTCTGAATTCAATTCTGGCAGAAATATGCAAATAGAGGGCTTTTGATTTAATGGATGGAGATTAATTCAGGGAGAAAACCAGAGGAAAAAGGCTAATATTTAATACTGCCAAAGCTATATTGGAATGATTTACATTGAAGCCTTTTTGTGTGTGGGTGGTTCAGTCAGAGTCCAGACTTAAATCTAGTTAGAAATCCTTAAAATATAGAAAATAGAAGTTGATCTTTACAAATGCTCTCCATCAGACCTGACTGGGTCTGTACTATTTTGCAAGAAAATGGACAGAACTGGTTCTAGACCAACAAAGCTTGTAAGGATTACCCAGAGCCAATTGTTGGTCTAATTAGAACCAAAGATGGATGCCTCAGCAGGACAAAATCTAAATTTATGCTGCACTTCTTTTTGAAATATATTTTCTGTAGGAAATGTTTAGGGTTGAGTTTAATTTTACTGCATTATTGTCCGCTATGGTTGTATGGTTTTTGTTCCCACTTCTGTGTAGCAAGATGCAGACTAGTGACCTTTGTCGAGTATTAATGGTGTACAGGTTGGATAAATGCGACCTCGCGGTTCAGACAGAGGTCACATTTGAAGAGATCAGATACACATCAGATTTAGTACTACATAGCCAAGTGTCCTGGGTCGCATTTCAAAAATTGGATCCGTGTGGTTCAAACTGTCATGAAAAGATCAGAATCAGATCACATATTGGCAAAAAGAATCGGATTCGGGTTACTTCAGGCTACAGCGTGAATGTAGCCAAATAGCTCTGTTCCTTCTGCAATGGCAATCTTCTTTCCTAGTGTTTAAATATTTAAACCAATCAAGTACACAGTTATTGAGGCAAATCATGCTTCTTTCAGTATAGTTTTGTTTCTAATGGAAAAGCATTTGCTATGCATTCACTATGCTTTGCAAGTCTCTCTTTTAAACTCACACTTGATATCTGTCCTCTAGGTGCTCCTGTCCCTGCTGACTGTGAAGATGCCCATTACTGATGCAGATCAGATTCGAGCTCTTGCCTGCAAAGCTCTGGTGGGTCTGTCTCGCTCCAGCTCTGTCAGACAAATCATCAGCAAGCTGCCTTTGTTCAGCAGCGGGCACATCCAGCAGCTCATGAAGGAGCCTGTTCTCCAGGACAAACGCAGCGAACATGTCAAGTTCTGCAAGTTTGCAGCGGAGCTCATGGAAAGGATCTCTGGGAAGCCGTTGCTGATTGGTACTGATGTGTCCCTGGCGTGGCTGCAGAGGGCCAGCGTGGTAGCTCAGTCCAAGATCACCTTCCCAGAGAAGGAGCTGTTGCTGCTTGTACGAAACCACCTTGTGGCCAAAGGACTGCATGACACAGCGAACACCCTCACCAAAGAGGCAGATCTGCCCTTGACATGCCTAACTCATTCATCCCATTGTTCACATTCAGCTTCCTCTTTCCCCGCTGTTGCAGCTCCCCCGCCTTCCTCTCCTGTTACTACCCTTCCCCGCACTCCTCGGCTGGCCAACGGTGTGGGGTCACGACACGGAAACCATCCCTCTCACACATCAGCCTCACCATCCAATCATCCACAACCACGCCCTTCCACTTCCCAACCAGCTGGACCGCCTTCCTCTGCTTTACCATCTACATCTGCCCCACACTCTAACAGCGGCTCTCCTTTGATCGGCCGCATCGTCTTCTCCCGTGATCGCCAGACACCGTGTGGGGCAGTAAACTGCAAAAAGAACCGAGTGCTCCGACAGAAGTCTGATCACGGGGCCTTCAGCCAAAGTCCAGCCATGAAGAAGCAGTTTGACAGACACTTACCTTCTCCTCCTGCCTTGGACAGTATTATCACAGAGTACCTGAGGGAGCAACATGCACGCTGTAAAAACCCTGTAGCTACCTGCCCACCTTTCTCTCTTTTCACCCCCCACCAATGCCCCGAGCCCAAACAGAGACGGCAGGCACCCATAAATTTCACATCGCGGCATTCACGTAGAGTTATATATCCCAAATATGGAGGTGTTGATGGTGGATGCTTTGACAGACATCTAATATTTAGCAGGTGGGTGTCATTCCTTTTTCCTTACCGACCGTCCTCCACAGCCATTCTCTACATTCTCTGTTTTGTTTTTGTCCAGGTTCCGTCCCATCTCTGTGTTTAGGGAGGCAGATGAGGATGAAAGCGGGTTCATGTGTTGTGCCTTCTCAGCCCGTGAACGGTTCCTGATGCTTGGAACCTGTGAGGGCCAGCTCAAGCTCTACAATGTGTTTACAGGCCAGGAGGAAGCCAGCTACAGCTGCCACAGCTCAGCAATCACTCACTTGGAGCCATCACGGGTCTGTAGAGCAATCTTTCATAAGTTATACAAGCATCATTCAATAAGTTAGAGTATCATTTTAATAAAATTTTTTCTTTTAAATAGTCAATTTAAAAAAGAAAATGAAACTTCTATTGTACAAATAATCATATACCACATATTTTAGGCATATTTCTTTTAAACCTTAATGGTTTTGAAGAAAAACTCTTATTTCAGAATTTAGAGAATATTAAAGGGATTATAAAAAATGATACATTTTCTTTTCTAGTGTACCCTCTATGCACTTTAACACCTGGTCAGAACTCGCTTTGATTATAGGAAAACAACCATTTCCCCTAAGATTTCCCGGTAGGCGTCCATGTTGACCTTGGACTTGATAAAACTGAGGACCAGTAGATTTCATTGTGTCTCAAATTGTGACTGGATGTGAAACTAAAGGCTGGATTTCATTCAGCTCAGATTCTGTCCATGTCCACTGCTCCTCTAACTTTTGGGAGCTTGAATTTTTTTAATTTACATTTTTTCCCCTGACAAAATACAAAAATGGCATTGTTTATAGGGATGCACGATATAATCGGCCTCCTATCGGTATCGGCTTTAAAACTGAAAATCGGACATCGGCCACCCCACCGATATTTAACCCGATATTTGATCAGCTTCTGAGTTTCTAAAGTCTAAAAAAAAAAAAAAAAATACTACTTCTTCTTCTTCCTCAAAAACTTCTTTTCTACAGACTTAAAAACTTCAATATCTTCATATGCTGATATATTGCCATTTAAAAACACCGTATCAATCTCTTTTACTAATGAAATATTGCTATATGTCATCGTTATGCTACGAAATCCCCCGAAAATTCATGAAATTTTGCCATATTTTTATATGTTGATATATTGACGCGGTATCGATCTATTTTACTAACAAAATCTCACAAGAATTTGCAAAATATCACGAGAGTTTGTAACAGAACGATGAAATTTCACGAGATTTTGAAAGTAAAATAGATCGATATCGCGTTTTTAAAAATCAGTTTGATATCAGCATATGAAAATATATTTGAGTATATTATTTTTCAAAGTGTCAGAAATGGATAATAAAACTGCTATTTTCAATGACTACTTATTTTTGTCCAGCTTTAACATCGGTATCGATATCGGTTATCGGCTACAGGAGTTTTAAAATATCGGCATATCGGATATCGGCCAAAATCCCAATATCGTGCATCCCTAATTGTTTATGAAGAGAACTCTGACTGCTGAGCGACAATCCCTGTCTTTAGACATACTTGATGTTGTCTTTTGTTTCAGGAGACGCTAATCACAATTGATCAGACCCTTGAAACTCACGCGTGATGACTCCAACTACAGTCAATGCTTTTAAATTAATTTAAACCTTGCCTGGTTTATGCTCAGAAACCAGGTAGTCTGCGTGTGTGTCACACTTAACGCAGATATGCCCCCGCCCCTCAGCAGACACTCTGGTGCACCTTTCCAAAATCGTAGATGACGCAGACAGGAGGCTTCTGATTGGTCAAATCTAAATCTGCTCTACACTTTGCGTATTTAGTGTTTGGTAACTTACTGGCTTGTTTTGTTTATATGACCGCCATTGTGGAAAATGACTCGTGAAGATGGACCAGCTAGAAGAGTGATGCCGCCTCAGCCGTATCTAGACCCAACGCTAGTTCCTGATTGCCCCTCTTGCGTTGTGGAGTGGAATAACATAACACAGACTACTCTTCAAAATTGCGCATGACTCAAAAATATCTGTCATACCTGCAACATGCTCACTGCGACACATTGCTGCGGGAGTATAACCAGCCTAAGAAATACCAGCTGACAATCCTCTCATGGCTGCATTTTCCCATTGCTGCAGAATTTTCAACCACTTTTTCCCTCCATTCTGTTTTCTATAGAGATGTGCCGTGAATTGCCAGCTTCTTTAACACTGACCTTTTATTACTCATTCCTCTCGTGTATGTTATCAGTGACTGTCCAAGGACAAATTCTTTATGATGTAAATCTATGAAGTCTTTTTAATATGGTTTTTATATAATCTACTTTAGGACTACTTTAGTACTGCTAATCTACTTTAAGAAACTAAATTTGGGGTTCTCATCAGGTGTTAATGTTTATTAGATCAGTTTGTGCGTATCTATGCAACATGAGTTTCAATCTCTCAATTGGCTAAAAAAATTATTCTCTGATTTATTGTTAGTTCTATGAATGGTTATTTTTGTTTTGTGTTTTTAGGATGGTTCTCTGCTCTTAACCTCTGCTTCTTGGAGTTATCCTCTTTCTGCACTGTGGGGCATGAAGTCCGTGTTCATCATGAAGTAAGTCTTTTTTTTCCCCAAACCATTGTAATATTTTAAGTATGCTCCTTCAGAATGAACGTGCTCTTTTTTGGAGTTTAAATTTGCACAAATCATTACCATGTAATTAACGTCAGTCAGTAGAGTTAACTTCCCCATCTTTTCTCCCTCTATTTCTGGAGCCGACTCGGTACAACAGCAGTTTTACATTGTTACAAGGAGTTAACATCCATCCATTATCTGACACGCTTGTCAAAATTGGGGTTGCGAGGGGTGCTGGTGCCTATCTCCAGCAGTCAATGGGCGAGAGGCAGGGTACACCCTGGACAGGTCGCCAGTCCATCGCAAGGCAACAAAGAGACAAACAGGACAAACAACCATTCATGCACACACTCACACCTAAGGACAATTTAGAGAAGCAAATTAACCTAACAGTCATGTTTTTGGACTGTGGGAGGAAGCCGGAGTACCCAGAGAGAACAAGGAGCTAACAGACACACTAAATGTTGTTTAATTATGCACATTAACAGTCCATGGCTGCCGTCTTTAGCGCTTGACTCGGGTTGATTCATCCAAACGGCTGGACTTGGATAATCCATTTCTTGGAGTCTGCAGTAACTTTTAGACATCATAGGGTTTTTAAGTAATCTATTTTTTATGTTTTAGATTAAATGTTTTCTTTTTTTTTATTTAGGCATTCCTTCCTTGGTGACCATTATGTGGAGTTCAGCAAACTCTCACAAGACCGTGTCATAGGAACAAAAGAACATGTTGCACGTGTATGTATATTTCATATATTATTAACATAAAACATAAAGTGTAGACATACATGCATCACTCTTTTGGTTCCTCTCTCCTAGATATATGACATACAGACAGGTCAGGTTACTCTGACTCTAAACAACCCAGATCTGGCTAACAACTACAAGAGGAACTGCGCCACCTTTAACCCAACAGATGACCTGGTTTTGAACGATGGGGTACTGTGGGACGTACGCACAGCGCAAGCCATCCACAAGTTTGACAAATTCAACATGAACATCAGTGGCGTGTTTCATCCCAATGGCCAGGAGGTCATCATCAACACAGAAATTGTATCCTTCGAACGCTAAATGATAGCAAGCGTTGGAACTTATTAAAACATCTGTTGTTGTTGTTGTGCTCTGCATAAATAGAGATCCGCCTGAAAAAGATACAAAAATCATGCTTAAAATCAGCTTTCATTGGAGAAGGCTAGCTTCATATGGAAAAATACACCTTTTCATTTAGTTTAATTTATTCAGTGGTGGAAACAAAAGCCGGATGTTATGATGTTGTTAACAATCACTCATCAAACTTACTTTAGTATCTGTAACAAGTGGTTTTGTGTCTTTTAGCTAAAGTCTTAGAAAAATAGTTCCTTGTTTTGAGCTAAACGGAAATCTAGATGTATGATATGTAGAACTGCAATCAGGATCACAATATTACAAAATCTAAGGGCTGCATGGAGGCAGTGTTCATTAGGATGAAATGTTTAACATGTCATGCATTCATACTCTGCATAACTGCAAAACATTTTTCTAGTTGAATGTCCTTGTTGCCAACACTAAGTAGATTTTATTAGCTGAGATTTAAAGTTAGTGGATAGTGATAGTGATGTTAGTTAAATAGTGAAGGAAAAAATATCGAGATTTATCAATACTTTTATTGGGATTTCAACAATGATATGATTTAACATTGTACTGTAGTTATACAGCCCTAATCAGAGGTTTTTGATGATTAGTTTCCCCTCAGGTTATAGGCCCATTTAAAATGACACATTTTGGTGAGTAGCCATATTTGCCTTTCCACCTTGTAAAGTGAAAAGGTGTAGATAAACTCAAAGGTGTTGGGCACTAATAAAAAGAAAGCAGGTCTGTTGGAAGGCAATTGAGACAAAAGCTATCCCATTGGCAAAATGGAGTCGGGGAAAAATATCTGTCAGGGATTGCAAAAGGTTTAGTACAAAACTTCAAAGGAAAAATAAAAAAATAATAATAATAATTATTATTATTGAACTTTATTGATCTCAAATTGTAGAAATTTACCTGCATTTAATTGTAGAAATTTACCTGCATTTAACCCATCCCCTTGGGGAGCAGTGGGCTGCCATTGTGCGGTGCCATGAACCATTTGCCGGTTAAAAATAAATCCTTACAAAAACTCACTACTGCAATAAGTTGAATTTACAAATTTTAAAAGTAGCATCAAGAATTTTTGCTGCATTATTAATTTTGAAGAACTATTTAACACTAGATTCATCAGGGTTTACCAAAGCATGATCTTATTCTTTTGACCGGAGAATCTGAAGCTGTTCTAGTGATGGGTGATAAATGATGATTTCGTCTTCTGTGTGTATTAAATATTTATGCCTCTAAAACTCCTTTATATTCAGGCATATGGGTACGTAAAGAGTAATAAGATTGTTTTATGTAGCTGAATATGTAGAAGAAAGTTTTGTTTCTTAACCACATGCTTTAGTGGGATCTACGGACTTTCCACCTCCTCCACACGGTTCCTGCTCTGGACCAGTGCAGAATAGTTTTCAACAACAGTGGCACTGTCATTTATGGAGGTAAATGCTGCCTGATGTTGGGGGTGGAGTGCGTTTCTCTTGAAGCTTGCAAACAGGCTCCCAGTCAAAGTGTAAAACTGTTGTGTTAAATGGAAGTTTGGTAACTATAAAGCTAACTGAGCATGTGTGCATTTGTAGAAAGGTGTGAACAGGGCTTGTAGAGGAAGGTGTGTGTGTTTGTGTGTATTTAACGCCTCAATAAGTCATAGCCATGTGGGCAGAGGACCCCATGTTGAATTGGCATCAAAGCCTAAGCACCTTTTTCACAGAATAGTGGCCCCTTACTGGAAGTGCCATGGGCATGCAGCGATGGAGCACACTACTTAGGATGCAGGAATGCAGCTCACCAGTTTGTAATTTTCTGTCATTTATTCACGTTTCTCTCTTGCTTTGTTTTTAAAGCAATGTTGCAAGCTGATGATGAAGACGACATGATAGATATGCAAATGAAAAGTCCATTTGGTTCCTCGTTCAGGACCTTCAATGCCACAGATTACAAACCCATCGGTCAGTGTTCTTTCCTTGAACTTCTGATGTTTATTAAGAAATCAGTTATTTTACCAGATGAAACTGGATAGTACTGTTGTGCATTTTTCATATTTTCTGCTTCTTGTAATATTTGAAGATTAACATGCTTTTTTTCAAACTTCCTCAGCCACCATTGATGTCAAGAAAAATATATTTGACCTTTGCACAGATACAAAAGACTGCTACTTAGCTGTGATTGAGGTAAATTATGAATTTATATCACTTTATTTAAAAAAAAACGGCGTCAGAAATGATCCTCTAAATACTTCCTTGTCCATGTGTCCCAAAGAACCAAGACTCTGTGAACACAGACACTGTGTGTCGACTTTATGAAGTCGGCCGGCAGCGACTAGCAGAGGAAGAGGAGGATGAGGAAGATCAGGTTTAAGCTTTGTTTTGGTGTTTTTTAGGAACCTCTGTAGCTTCTTAATGTAGATAAAAAAAAAATTTATTTGTTTCAGGAGGATGACGATCAGGAGGAAGATGACGACGATGACGACGACTCCGATGATGACATAGACACGGATCCTCTCATCGCTGAGCTGGAGAACGACAATGGAGGCGAGGACGAAGATGATGAAGATGGAAACGATGAGTTATCGGACGAAGAGATCTCACGTATTCTGCAAGACGACGGTGATGGCGGAGATGATGACGATGATGATGACGACGACGATGAGGATGACGACAATGACGATGATGATGACTCTGATAATGATGTTGATCTGGATGGGGACAATGGTAAGCCACCTTTAGAAGGAATCATGTGAATCACAGTAGAGATGGATTGTTCTCCATTTCTCAAAGTGAAGAAGCCACACATTGTTGTTGTTAAAAATCACGCTTATGGGAATAATGGTTCATATTTAATCCCTTAGATCTTTGCAGTATAACCAAACAAACTGATTTCTCAGTATTTCTTTTTTTTTCTTCCATACCCAACTGTTTTGCATTAATAGTATTTATGGAGAATGATCATCAATTATGAATCATTAAGTTAGGTCAAATGATGTGCTGCCTTAGCTTGGCCAGCTAGATAAGGCGTATGTATACACGGCATATTAGTCTGGTAAAGAGCTGCTCCAACTGGATTTCGAAGGCAGGAGTAAGAGGGTCAACCCCATCAGGTTACCAACTACAGATGTGATGCAAAAACTCCAAACAACTCGGACATTTTTCTCATTTTGTAATCCATCCATTAATCCAACTGGCCTTATTAAAGGGCCTTGTACTATATAATCCTGGAGTACACAAGACCTCTAGAGAGACACGGTCGAATGCCTTCTCCAGATCCACAAAACACATGTAGACTGGTTGGGCAAATTGCCATGCACCCTCCAGGATCCTGCTGAGGGTGTAGAGCTGATCAAGTATTCCATGGCCAGGACGAAAGCCAAACTGCTCCTCTTGAATCTGAGATTAGACAGTCCGACGGACCCTCCTTTTAAGAACCCCGCAATAGATCTTACCAGGGAGGCTTAAGAGTGTGCCTCCTCTGTAGTTGGAACACATGCTCCGATCCCCCTTTTTAAATAGGGGGACCTCGAGCCCAGCCTGCCAATTCAGGAGAACTGCCCCTGATGCCCACACAATTTATTTATTTTTTTTCAGATTTTTATTGTCATTAGGGAGCCTTAAAGCCACACCGGTTAGCAGTGTGGGGGTCTTTGGTCAGGGACCCAGAGTGACAGTCTGTGGGAGTTCTATGCTCTATGCCCTAACCACTTGGCCGCCACACCTCCGTCCACCTCTCAGGAGCCTTGCCACCGAAGAGTTCTGTAGTACTTGAAATATTTTAAGCCGTTTAAGAAACTCTCCAGAGAACGATAACTGCTGTTTTTTCCTAAGAAAAATCTGAGCATACAAGGTGTGCACACTTCTACATTTTTATTTTTTATTACAACGTTGTGCTGTTGCGGTCACCAGTTGTCATTATGCTATCAGAAAAGCGCTGCTGCATTGTGGATTATTCAGGCACCGAGAGTCAAGAAACAAAGTCCTGGCTCCTCCGCTGTGATTGGTCCTGACAGATCTGGCTGGTTACCAGACTTAATTATGCTATGTGTAATTCAGTATTGCTTAACAGGCTAGTGCTGCCAATTATATTTAAAAGACTGATCAAGATAAAATAGTTTTTATTTTCTCATCAGTATCCAAATCTGTCAAAAATAAGTTATAAAGCAATAAATATTTATTTTCAAAAACTCTTAAATAGTTTAGTTCCCACAGAATGGACACTTAATTTAATCATAGCAGGACAGGATTCAGTAAAATAATTCACTTCCAAATGAAGTATCAACAGATAATCTAAACATGCAATTTAAGGATTTCAATTCATTCCATAATAGACATCTTCCAATTCAGTAATTCAAACTACTTGTTGGCCTGTTCTTCAAATAATTGTCCTTAGCCAAGATGCTCATTTCCTCTTTAAATGCTCAACATTTTTGCACCTAATTTGGGTTCTGGCTGGTAATTCAAGTCAAAGGGAAAGTGTGGTAAATTAAGAGAGAAACTGAAAGTTTTTTTTTAAATGGGCTTTCTCTCAGGGCTGTGTCTGTGCTTTTTAGCCTCATTGTTCCCTTTTCCCACCTCAGTTCTCTGACTGAGCACACAAGAATGGTGCACTGAACCTGATGTCTTCAGCACCTGACTAATGGAGGAGTTTATCTAACCAAGGTCAAAAAACAATGATTCTTTTAAACCTTGTGGTTCAGGTTCACAATATTGGATAACTCTTAAGGTTTTAGACATCCACTGAAACCTTCGCAGGCAAGAAAGAAAAGTTGCATTCAACAATTTTTTTTATAAATATATATTCATAAATGCATCTTGAAGCAAATATGTCTTGAAATAAAATAGTTTAATAGATGAAAACAATATATTATAAACGATATATCAAGTAATAAATGACTAAACAAATGAAAAAATATGCTAAAATAATTTTATTGTATGTCATGGATACATTTTATTTATTGGATGGAATATTTATGAATCATTTATTAAAGAGAAAATTTGCTTTTTTAATATTGATTAAAATGGGTCTCCACAAAAAAAGATAAATGCTGGAGTATGAAATGTCTTTTGCTTTTCCCCTATGCTGAAAGCTTCATAGTGATCCTTTTTCATTTTTAAAATCCCTGTGCTGCCACTGTGATAGCTGACTGTTAATTAGGATTAATTTAGCTGATGCTAGAAAAGTCTCCTTTTTGCCTCTTAAGGGCAGAAAAAGGTAGATCAAATAACCCAATGTGTAAACCTTATGACAAATGTGCTTCGCAATCAGAAGAGTGGAGAATTTATTTATTTTTTTCTTTCACATAATGCTGATAAAGTGAAATGCTCAGTCTTGGTTTGTTTACTCCCAGTTGCTTTTTATTGTAGGTTTCACATTCAGGTCCCACATCACTTGACTGCCATCTTTTAAGTTTATGTTTAATGTATAATATGCTGATGAAGGTTCTCAGTCATCCAGGTCATAATCATTCCGTAAAAATTTTCAATTTCTCGATTCAAATGTGAATCGAGAAATTGAGAAAGCTTCCTGGAGAGGTGGCGAAACGTCTTCAAATCTTGAAAACCAAGTCCAGTGGATATTTTTTGAATTTTTACGGAATTTAATGTATAATAGTAATTCTGACTGGTTTAGAAACACGTTTAACTACCCTTTATAGAAAGTGTGTTTTAAAAGGCCTAAAAAGCTATTGATTGGGGAATATGATTTAAAGGTGATGAAGAAAGACACAATATGTCCTACCTCTGATAAATTCCCTATAGTATATTTTTTAAAGGCTACTCTATTTCAACTCGACAATGGCAAGCAAAATTTTAGAAATGATAAAAAAAAAAGAAATCCCAAAAGTTGGTTTGAATTTTGCCATTTAGCACTTTTACCCTCACTCACTATCCTACACAGCAGAAAATATTTATACCTAAATTTCTAAATCTGTGTTTGTCTGTCAAACAAACAGACAGCTCGGACAACTCTGACCTTGAGGATGACATCATCTTGTCCCTGAACGAGTGAGGATGGAGGCCATCAGCATTTTAACACCATGGATCCAGAGACGTCAAAATCGCAGACAACTGATCTCCACCGGATAAGTCATGAAAAGAGAAAACCAGCGGGTAATCTAATCAGAACACTGCCAGTTTGAATCTGTAGGTGTTTGAACAGTGAAAGTTAGAAAAAAACAGACATGATTGTATATGAAATTTTATTTAGGAGAAAAGTTATCCTTTGGCTGACTGGTAAAACCTGTGTGAGGGTGTGATGAGTTTTGACGAGTCTTTATTTCATAAAGCATCTTTTTACTTTTTTTAGTTTGTAAATTACCTGTTGAGAATTACAGGGTGAAGGGTTTGTGTTGAAGATTCAAACACCAAAACATCCTGAAGTTTTCTTAGCAAAGCTCCAGGATTCTGCCTTCAAATTAAATTTTTTTTTTTACAAATGCTCACCGTGGTGCACAAAGGCAGTGCCATTGAACATATACTTTAAGGTGGCCTGAACACTGTAATGACATATGGATCCAAATGTCTACACAAACTATTCAATATTTTCTTAAATTCATTTTTCATTTTTACGGAAGTATTTAGCACAGTGGCTGATTTGTTAAGGCTGGTCTGAAGATGAAGCTCTCTTTCCCTGGAGCGTTTAAAAAAAATAAAAATTATTTAAAAGCGTAAAGTTAAGCGAAAAAACCGAAAGAAATGAATGTTACTTTTCCTAAGACAGTGAAATTTAGAACTGTCATTTTGTAAATTAAAGGAAAATCTGGCACATGCACAGTCTAGTTGTCATTTGTTTTCCCATATGTTTTTGCCTTGTGTGTGTATGGGTTTTAATTAGTTTATTTTCCATTAGAAAACCTATTAAGGTCCTTGAAAGTTCTTGTACAGATTGTATGTATCTAAAGTATTTTTACTATAAATAAAGTTTCAGAAATCCTTTCTGTTTGTATGCGACTTTCTTTTAACTTTTTTGGTTTATGCATTTTTTTTTTCTTATTGTGCATTCCTTCATTCTCAGAGCACTAGTTTAATGACTTGGAGTGAAGTGATCTCTAACCCCCAGATTCTACATTCTCCATCACCGTTCTGCCCTGCTGAGGTATGTCGTGTGGAGCACTTGCGCAGTAATGGTAATCAATGAGAACTGTTCCACATCCACCGCTACTCCTCTGCACATCACCATCCACCTACGTCTTCTCTGTTCTTCACCGTCAAAATATGGAGCCAATCTTTTTTTTTTTTTTTTTTTTTTTTTTTTTTGGCTCTGCTCCGGCACATTGTAACCGACCAAGTCAGGATCCATAATTGCACCAAACAGGAAAAAGACAGGTTTGTCAAAATAAAATATAACAATAAGTCAGTAACTACAAATTAGAGCATAATTCTTATATATTTCCAAAACTAAGACCGTTTATTTAAATCATTGGAGGCAAACTATTTGTTTGCATTCAATTTATACTCCAATAATGTGTATATACCGGTACTTCAGTATACCAGGAAGCGGATTTCTCTCTAATTAAAACATTTTATTCTGAGGCTTAAAAGTTTCATCAAATCCAGTCCCTAATACTTCGAAGAGTGCATCTCACAACTTCTTATCATAGGCATGGATGAAGAGATGCTGAGTTTGGAAATAGGATCATACAAAATGGGTTTTTTGACTAATTATCTCCATTACGATTGATGCTCATGGTGAGAACTCCGGTCCGCAAGGAAAAATCAATTGATCAGTATCTATACCTAAATCTAATATGTTCCTTTAGCGTTAATCAGTAAAAAAAACAAAACATTTTTTTGTCACGATCACTGAGTCTGGGACCAGCCATTTTTGCCCAAATATAGTAACACCTCACTCCTGACATCTTCCAGCAAACGTCCAGTGTGGTAAGCTGAACGCCATTCACCCTGCTTTACAAGCAAAATCAATGGGAACTACAAGAACATTTGCAATCAACAATTATTTAAGATTTCGAGTGGACTTCACCCATTGAAATTCACGAGAGCCATAGTTAAACTGACAATGAATCATGATCCGCCATGGACGGGTTTGTTGTTGGATAAAGTTTAAACTTGAAGGAGGATTTGCCATACTTCTGGCCAGAGAAAAAACATAATTTGTAACCCACATTTCGAAGGAAAAGGTTTTCAAGATGACTTGGATAGTAGTGCTTTGTGACAAACACCAGTTACAGCATTGGGACTTGCTCAACACCTGATACTGCACCGTGACGTCACAAACCGGTAGGTGGCAGTATTGTTCTTTAAAAAACATGGATGTCTCCGGTAAAGCACATTTAAATGAAAATTACTTAATTAAAACCACATCCTTTATTGAACAGTATGTAATAAAGTACTTTCAGAAGTTTGAATTGCATGACCTGACTTCTCCTGTAATTATGTCATATTAATTTAAGTGTTTACTTCCGAATATTTTGCTCCTAAGTATTTAATATCTCAGATGATCTCCTCGAGCTCCAAAGAAGTCGGAGCAGAGCAAGACTGGAGGAACCGTAGAGGCTGCAGGCTTTGCTTTGTGTTGGCATTCTGGAAAAGAGTGGAGCAGGGCAATAACGAAAGATGTGAGTTTTCGGTGTAAGATGAATGCATTCGAGTTTTCAGCTTTTAGACCCTTGTATTCTTCATGGATACTTATTGAGTGATAACAATGACAAAACACTGTTCTATGCATGAGCTACACCATTATAGTTGCTATCCATTGTTTTCTTTTTCTATTGTTACCAAATGTTTCTTACTGTTTAAATTCAGACTTGTTTAACATTCGGTATCCTTTTAATGAAGGGGGAATAAAGCAGTATCAGTATCAAAAATCAGCAGCTCATATTGGGGATCGGCTTGACTGTCAAAATAATTGGTATCGGCATTGGCCCTCAGATTTAAAATGGACATTTACAACTCTTGAACATTTAATCCTTAGTTTCCCTCATCCAAATTGCATGGCAAGAAAACCTCTTCTTCTTTTATCTTTGTATCGTACACCAGGTCCTTACTCTGAAGTTTTAGATGAGTTTTCAGAGTTCCTATCTGATTTGGTGTTACTTACTGACAGGGTCATCGTAGTGGGGGATTTTAACATCCATGCTTATACTGAAGGTAATAGGTTAAGTGCAGCATTTAATGCTATCTTAGACACTATTGGCTTTGTTAAAAATGTGAATAGTCTCACACAGTTTCATCTTCATACTTTGGACCTTGTGCTGACATATGGCATAGAATGGGAGAAATAACTTTTTTTCCTCACAACCCTGTCTGACCCCCTTTTTAATAACCTTTAGAATTACTTTAACTGATTTCTCCTCCCCCAAAAGAGGGTTTCATTTAAGCAGATCCTTATCAGATAGTGCAGTTATTTATTTTAAAGAATGTGTTTCATTTTTTCTCTCCTCTTACTCGCAAAACAGTGCTGCAGAGGACAAAAGTTTAGTTTATTCCCCTTCACAGGTTCAGAATTTTGTTGACGGGATTGTTCTCTGCGTACTGTCTTAGTCAACGCAGCCCCTTTTAAAAAAGAAAAATGTTGGTTAAATGCCGAGCTGCATACTCTGAAGTAAAATGCTACGAAATTGGAGATAAAATCGCACTGCACATGCCTACGGGAAACCTACCTAGTCTCGAAAAATAGTTTACTGCTGCATAAGAGAACCCTTCATAAAGCAAGGGCAGCATATTTCTCCTTATTAATAGAGGAGAATAAGAATAATCCTAGATATATTTTTAATACAGTTGCCAAACTCACGCAGGGCCATTGCTCTGTTGAACTGTCCATCCGACCTACTCTTAGCAGTAATGATTCTATGGGATTCTTCATAAATAAGATTGATCTTATTAAAAGTAAGATCATTGACACTTCTCTAACTATGATTGGTTTGTATCTGAAAGGTGAGGCAGAATCTTAGGTAGCCATAGAATCTGAACCAGGTTTAGACTGCTTTGACCCAGCTGAACTTTGAGTTAAAAAAAAAACATTTTCTTCATCTAAGCCTTCAACTTGTATGCTATATCCAATCATCCTTTCTTTTCTAAACTTCTTGAGAAAGTAGTTATCAAACAAGTCTGCGATCACTTACACCATAATGAACCTTTTGAAGAGTTTCAGTCTGGCTTTAGAGCTCATCATAGCACTGAGAAACTAGTCCATGCATTTGTTACTTCAAGGCTGGACTATTGTAATTCTTTGCTATCAGGAAGTCCACAAACTGTAGTTAAAAGCCTTTAGCTGATCCAAAATGCTGCAGCCAGAGTTCTGATGAAAATTAAAAAAAGAGATCATGTCTCTACTATCCTAGCTTCTTTTCATTGGCCTCCTGTTACATTCAGAATAGAATTTAAAATCCTCCTTCTCACATATAAAGCCTTAAATGGCCAAGCTCCATCTCATATCAGATAATTGTTCCTTGTTTTCCCAACAGAGTACTTTACTTTCAATCTGCAGGTTTACTAATGGTTACTAGAATTTCTAAGAGTAGAATAGGAGGCAGATCTTTTAGTTATCAGGCTCCTCTCCTGTGGAACCAACTACCAGTTTTAGTCCGTGAGGCAGACACCCTGTCTACTTTTAAAGGTAGGCTTAAAATGCTCCTTTTTGATAAAGCTTATAGTTAGATAGCTCAGTTTATCCCGAGCTATCTCTACAGTTATGCTGCTATAGGCTTACAGTCATGGCCAAAAGTATTGAGAATGACACAAATATATTTTCACATGATCTGCTGCCCTCTAGTTTTCATGTGTGTATGCCAGATGTTGTCATCACATGCAGAAATAAAATTGCAATCATATTATGAGTAACAAAAGCTTTTATTGACAGAATGAGTTAATGCAGCAAGTCAATATTTGCAGTGTTGACTCCTCTTCTTCAGGACCTCTGCAATACTCCCTGGCATGCTCTCAATCAACTTCTGGACGAAATCCTGACTGATAGCAGTCCATTCTTGCACAATAAATGCTTGCATTTTGTCAGAATTCTTAGGTTTTCATCTGTCCACCTGTCTCTTGATTTGTCCGCAAGTTCTCAATGGGATTAAGATCAGGGGAGTTTCCAGGCCATGGACCCAAAATCTCTGTTTCGTTCCCTGAGCCAGTTAGATATCACCTTTGCTTTATGGCAAGGTGCTCCATCATGCTGGAAAAGGCATTGTTCATCACCAAACTGCTCTTGGACAGTTGGGAGAAGTTGCTCTTGGGGGACATTCTGGTACCATTCTTTATTCATGGCTGTGTTTTTAGGTAAGACTGTGAGAGAGCTGACTCCCTTGGCTGAGAAGCAACCCCACACATGAATGGTTTCAGGATGCTTTACAGCTGGCATAAGACAAGACTTCTCCGAACCGAATCTTCTCCAAACAAGCTGTTTTCCAGATGTCCCAAACAATCGGAAAGGGGATTCATCAGAGAAAATGACTTTGCCCCAGTCCTCAGCAGTCCACTCCCTGTACCTTTTGCAGAATATCAGTCTGTCCCTGATGTTTTTTCCTGGAGAGAAGTGGCTTCTTTGCTGCCCTCCTTGAAACCAGGCCTTGCTCCAAGAGTCCCCGCCTCACAGTGCGTGCAGATGCACCCACACCTGCCTGCTGCCGTTCCTGAGCAAGCTCTGCACTGCTGGTAGCCTGATCCCACAACTGAAACACTTTTAGGAGACGTCCTGGCGCTTGCTGGTCTTTCTTGGGTGCCCTGAAGCCTTTTTGGTAACAATGGAACCTCTCTCCTTGAAGTTCTTGATGATGCGATAGATTGTTGACTGAGGTGCAATCTTTTTGGCTGCGATTCTCTTTCCTGTTGCACCTTTTTGTGCAGTGCAATGATGACTGCACGTGTTTCTTAAGAGATAACCATGGTTCACAGAAGAGAAACAATGATGCCAAGCACCAGCCTCTTTTTAAGGTGTCCAGTGGTGTCATTCTTACTTAATCATGACAGATTTATCT